CACACACACACACACACACACACACACACACACACACACACACATAAGAAACAAATATAATAAGTAGTACGTAGCGATATATAATATATGTATATCCGTTTATCATTTTCTTGGACCGTGAAGGCGTGAAGGCGATCGAATACGAATGATTTTTCATGCGAAGTCATTCTGTGAGGACGAGAGAATACCGATACGGTATCAGACTATCTCGATATCGATAGTTCAGTCTAATATGTAGATCACGGATGAAAAGGCGTATTTATAGTTATTATTCGAATCTCATCTCAAGATCGTATCAGATGAGATATTCAGAATGGAGTTTTATATTTTAAGACGCGGGCGGGGTTCACGTCACTTCTAATCAATATTTTGATTGGAGATTAATTGAACGTGTGCTTAGCTAAAGAAGTGAAACGATTATTCATTTAAAATTTTATTTGAAATTTAAAATATTGATTAAAGCAGCATTATACGCTTTTTTGAAAATAATCAAGTTTTTCAAAATTTAATCAATGTTATGAGAAATTTTTCTTTTTTTATGTTACGTAACATGTTAGCTCGAATCATTTCTAGTGTATTATTGGGATGTTGCATGGACATGTCATTCGTTCGATTTTGAAAAAGGCTATTTTTAAACAAGCACATAACATTGCTTTAATTAATATTTTGTACCTCAAATAAGGTTTCACGAGTACGTATTCTGCTTCTCAATTGAGATTTTAAGGCTGTGTGGTCAATAAAACATTAAAGTAAGCATCTCACGTAATGATTATTCCAAATCGTCATACGTATCCTACTTTAAAAAAAAAAGAATAAGTGATTTCAAAGTTATAACGGTGGTGGAATACGGATAAAGAACGTTCGATATAAAGTTCGCTTAAGTCAGACTTTCTATCATAGCGCGTTAATAACGTTCTCCTAAAATTATATATATATATATATATATATATATATATATATATACATATAGACGGTATATACATAAAGAACACGTATCGTAAAATAGAAAAATAACTCTTTATTCATATTATTATCAGAAAGGTCACGTGGTTCACATACAAAAATGCTTTATCAGGAATGAGCGAAATACGTCAGGCACATAATCGGTTTCGCAGATTTTAAGTAAATAAAGTTAGTAAAGCTCAAATGCGTAACATCTGCCTTCACCGATCTCCGCATTTACACATTGATCATATCTATCACGACGATTTTTTTACATATCGTACGACTTAATTCTTTGGATAAATATATAAGTTATATATGTTACACATATATATTGATATATACAGAAAAATATATAACGTGTTACACCGTTATAAATATAAATATTTGTACATCACCACTTAATGCGACATATATAAAAATACGTGCATTTACAAAGACTGCATCCTTATTTGTTCGTCTTTCTAACAAATGCGCTACGTACACAGATTATTTTGCAAATAAGTAAATTAGAATAATCGCTCGCCGGTAAGCTTTAGCTTTGCACGTTGTAATCCTCACGTATGGCTAATTTCCTACGCATTTAATTATTATTAAACAACACGATGGTTGAATATATCAATCCAAATATGATTTTTACTGTATGAAACAGCATAAAAAATGTTACATATATTCTATGTAAGTTACAGATTCTCATTGCTATTATAAAAAAACACGTGAAAGCCAGAAAAATAATTATATAATAAAATGATTATATCTATGGTTACTATTAATTTTCTTAAAAATTAATTTGTTATCGGATTATTATCGAATGGAAAAAAACCATATATATGGATATATACGCTTACACCATCAAACATACATACATTAATAATGGCAGAGCCAGATTGTCCACTTGATTTGTGCGTGCCTCGATCAACGATATTGATGCAGCCGCCAAGAGGCTTCTCAGCAGTAGTTGGTACGTATCCATGAAACCTGGCAAAATATAAATAATCTAAAATAAGCAAAACAGTTTCATAAAAAAAAGGCGTTGGAAAGGAAGATATAAGAATCGAAATCTACCACAGCATGTTAGCGTGAGTATTACGCAAACTTGGCAAAATATGCATGCGACGGTGCCTTCGATAGTTTTTTCCGTGTCGAGCCACTTGTGTAAACCCCATCTGTTACCGACAAAGCTTGCAGCAGTGTCACCGATCCCTACCGTTAGCACGCCACTGAGTAATACCACTAGTGTCAAATTATTAGTTGGCATCCAAAGAGGTAACGATAAACCACACAACAGATATATAGGTGTTAATGAAAGCAAACAATCCTTTTCGTCGGCAAATGCAATAAATCCTTGCTGTAAAATCTCTCCTAAAGGCGGGACTTTTAAAAGTCTGATTACCTGAAAATAATGAACGATCATTATATCAAGCACATAGAAAATAAATAAAAGTTACATTAGACCATTAACAGACTTGTATAACACTAAAAAGTAATACGTGTAAGTACCTCAAGAGCAACAAATAGTATCAACATCACACCACTGGCAAGATACAATAGCAAAGGATCGTATATCATGCCAGGAATATATACAAATGTGGCTAACACATGAAAATTTTTTCTGGTTGAACTTGTAGCTTGTGATTTTGATGATATCTGATAGCGTAGGATAAGAATACTTAGCAGAAGACATATTCCCCAATACATGAATATTGCACGCTGCAACATACAAGAATAAAATACGACCGATGATTAAAGAATACTTATTTGTAATCTATATCCTATATATGATTCATCCATTTTAAAAGTAGCGTAACGTACAACGAACCATTATATCGTTACTTACCCTTTCACGACTGCCAAGAGCAAAAGAAACTATCCATACTATTGGATTTTTATCAAGAATAACGTAAAGTAACGGAAGAGTTGCGAAACACAAAAGGCTGATTATCGTTAAATAAAAGTATGTTGTGCTGCGGAGGATAGGAAAGTATCCACATAGGAAGCATATCGCGACTACATACAATATCGCAACCTGTAACATATGATGTATCAAGGAAAAAGTAAGCGACATTGTAACACGTAATTTTTGCCGTTTATTACCTGCAACAAAACTGTGCTTATGTCACTGTCATGAATTGGAGGTAAATGATATCGCAAGGGTAAATTGGTAACAGCCGACATCAAAAACAGGATAAAACTATGCGTAACCACCGTTGCCTCTCCAATTGTAAAGCAAGATGGAAAAACTGACATTAGTTGCAGAACGCCCCATGTGCCCAAACTTCCGACGGTCAAGCCCCATGTGACACTCGTCAATAGTCCTGTTCTTATTTAATATAAAAATATAATAAGAACTAGAGTCGTACTATGCGATATATATAACTATTCAGTTCTACGTATCAACATGCATCTATCATTTATATGTATTCAACAGGTTTTCTCTAATGAAAAAATAATTTGCGGATTGATATACCTTTGTTAGCAGCAAGTAGAAATAGCACAGATGTTATAATCGCTGGTACAAAGTATACGGCATGAAAATCTTTCGCTACGGTCTGTTTCATTGAAAGCCGCACATAAAGGCATAGAGAACAGAGAACAAGACCGAAGCCTGTGGTTCCTACAAAGAGACATATTTCGGAGTAACTGCTCTCTTCTCTCAATATTGTAACTGCTGCACTCAGCCCGACTAAAACACCTAGCCATAATCCACTGCTCGCGTTTGGCCTACAAATGATAAATTCATAATATTTAAATCCAGCCTTGCTTAGGGCAACTTTGACCAAATTCTGATCAACACTTATCAAGCAAGTGTACTATCTTGTTACAAATGTCTTATTGGCTTATTGTCATTGTCAGATTATAAGATTATAAGGCAATGTACGTGTTGCTGAAGCTATGCCAACCGAGACAAACGTACGTTCAATGACGCTCGCTGTAATTTTATAATAAAACGTAATAACCGCGATGAAAATCTCGTGGCAAGGTTAACTCGCTCTTGGGTTGAAGAACGAGTGTGTCGATGACGTACCGGTGCTGTATGCCGTTGCGTTTGACATTTCGCAATATATTTTCCTCGAGCTGAGTATACTGCGCGACCAACAACTCCATTCTTTCTCTCGACTAGAAGAGATCGCTTCTCATAGCACTAGCGTGACGCCATCCACCACATCAACCACCATCAACGCACTTTTATGTTATGCGCTTTCGGTTTCGGTTTCAGGATTCAGGTTTCGGTCCCTTATTTACGGCTTGGCTTTCACTTGACCACGTCACCTCGATCGTCGAACGTTGAACTTGGAACGCGAAAAAGGTCGCGATTATAATAACAGTGCCGCTCGGCGCTCACCTACACACGTGTCCGTTTAAAATTGGAAAAACCAGTTTGTCAAATAGGAAGACCTCTTTGGCGGCATGATACTTACGAGAATGATTCATGGACGTATTTTATAAACTGCAGATGACAGCAAGAATCGACATATATCGGTATCGCTGCCCACGTGCAAGTTGTTATTAGAGAAATAGAGCAATCTAAAGATATTAAAACGATCAGGCAGTTCATTTAATGTTATTTGTAATTCGGCATATAGCACAGAATTAACCAAAAGTTAGGTTAGGTTCAGGTTTAGGTTAAATTAATTTGCATAAATTAAGTGAGTCAATAAGTAAAATTTGATTTTTAAATTTAGAACGTAAGAACATTACTCATAAAAATAAAAATGTAAAAGATAACGTTGGAATACATATATATGAAATATATACGAATGAAATAGGATCGTTTATAGGATAAAAAACACTCAAAGTTATCCCGTACCTCAGAAAATAGAAAATTCAAGAAAACCATTGAATGTTTTGTTGAGGATAAAGTAAATGTATTGCTACACTACTCTTACATTTTACTCATTTAATTTTTACATTTATATGCTTATATATTATAATAACTAACATTTATATCTTCCTATTCGATATATTTATATATAAAATATCCCAGATTACATTCAAATAAATTAAAAGACATTATTTTTATAATTATAACTTTTCTGATTTTCTGATTGCAGTAATATTGTAACATTGAATTACATTGTCTTTTTCTTTTTGTACATTAAAACGAATAAAATTCTGTATGCCACAACTTAAGTGTGTTCTGTAATGTATTGACAGTATTAAAAATCTACAACATATGTAGAATAAACTATAAATTTTAAATACATTTTTTTATATATGCTTTATCACATGGACATCATCGTAACCCAATACGATCATAATGTAAAGAATTAAAAGTCTTAAAGATATTTTAAAAGTTATATGTTTGTGGCTCTTGCAATCTTTTTTCATCAACTACGACAAGTACACAAGTTTATATAATTCACGTATATACTCTGATATAATAATGTAACTTTAAATATAGAGCTATTTACGTTGTACCTATTTTAAATATCTTGTAACAAAGAATATAGCTAAATAAGTATATTTAGGCTCTGTGACGTTTAGCAAACGCTATCAAGCCATTAGTTGATGAATCATGCGTTGTAACATTTTCTGCGCTAGCCAGTTCTGGTTCAATGGCTTTAGCTAGCTGTTTTCCCAACTCCACGCTATATATGAAAACGTTATTATTATTTTTCTTTTTTTTCTTTAGAGACGTGTACTAAAGAATTTTCTATATAGAAACTTTATGTTTCATGAAGAAATATAATTTTTTTTCTTACCCCCATTGATCATATGAATTGATATCCCAAATAATGCCTTGTACAAAGATTTTATGTTCATACATGGCTGAAAAAATAGAATTGTAAAAATTTACAAGTATCACATATAAATATAGTTATATTTTAAGTATAATATATAGATTAAAGTCCAGTTAATTATATGATGCACGCAGCAAAGAAATAATTGCGAGAAAATAAGAAATGATTCATGAAAAAATAAGTAAAATTTGTGGAATAAAATGTTTTCGATTTGTTGCATAACTTTCAAGAAAAGTTTCAGATATGAAAACAATATGTATCGATTTGCTTATAAGTTGACACTTATTTTTTACAAAGAATATTTATATCACCATGTGATTTGCCATATAGTTTACACACAATATATCATCATTATGTATAAGAGATATTTACCAATCAAAGCACCAAGAATAAAAGGTGTTAATTTCTTTACTACAATGCTGTTTGTAGGTCTGTTTCCTTCAAACAACTTATGTGGTAGTAATAAGTCCACTTGTTCAGCGCTCAACCCTGATTTTTGCAACTCTGCTCGAGCCTCTTTTTCATTCTTGCCTTTCATTAAAGCTTCAGTTTGCGCAAAGAAGTTAGCAAGTAAAATCGTGTGATGTGGAACAATCTGCAATAAATAAAACTGTATAATAGCAGACAAGTCTACTGGATACGGTAATATAGCTTATATCGAGAACATTATTTACCTGATTTTGAGATTGAACAGGAATTATAAAATCTGCTGGTACAAGTCTTGTACCTTGGTGCAACAACTGGTAGAATGCATGTTGTCCGTTAGTGCCTGGTTCTCCCCACACAATCGGCCCTTACAAAAATAATAGATTTTTATTAATCAAGAATCTATATATTCTGTATATTGTAGAACATACCAGTGGAATACGTTACGCTTTTCCCAGAACGAGTAATGTATTTTCCATTACTTTCCATATCGCCTTGCTGAAAGTAAGCTGCAAATCTGTGTAGATATTGATCATATGGTAATAATGCATGTGTTTCAGCCTTATAAAAGTTATGATACCATATACCAAGTAAAGCCAATATGACAGGAGCCTAAAAAGATTAAGATAGATCATTACGTTAGTTCATGACTCGAGTACGTTAAATCTAGCGTAAAGAAATGTCTAATTAAAGATCGAAATATAGTTTTAGATGTGTATCCATTGATATGTCTTTCGGCTACGTCCTATAATTTCTTATATTCAATATACTTACATTTTGCTCTAAAGGTGCTGTGGAAAAGTGTTGATCCATAAAGTGAGCTCCACTTAAAAGCTTTTCAAAATTATCAAAACCAATTGACAAGCAAATTGATAAGCCAATAGCTGACCACAATGAGTAACGCCCACCAACCCAATCCCAGAAACCAAACATGTTTTTAACGTCAATGCCAAATTCTTTAACCTTTTGCTCATTAGTAGATAATGCTACAAAATGGCGGGCTACTGCAGCTTCCTGAAGAATTTTGTATCATCGCATTAGAGAAGAAATGATATATATATATATATATATATATATATATATTTATAACATAATCAGTACGCTGAAACTCGTGCGCTTACATCTTTTAACGTTTTCAAAAGCCACAGCTTGGCGGTAGTTGCATTCGTTATAGTTTCCTGTGTTGTAAATGTCTTGGAAGCTATTATGAACAAAGTTGTTTCGGGATTTAACTTCTTAAGAGTTTCAGCTATATGAGTGCCGTCTATATTACTAACAAAGTGAACTCTAGGTCCAATGCTGTATGCTTTTAAAGCTTCGGTTACCATAAGTGGACCCTATTGGAATATAAATAAGTATTAAATCTTAACGTACTATCTAACCGTTACAGAGAGAAAAAAAACTTTTGTCTGACGTACAAGATCAGAGCCACCAATTCCAATATTAACAACATCTTCAATAGGTTTACCAGTGAATCCTTTCCATTGTTTTGTCAATATCTGTAAACAGACATATTTCAAGACATACATATAGAGAAAACGAACGATAAACTTATCTCTTACCTCATTTGTAAAACTTTTCATATGTTCCAACACTGCATTAACATCAGGCATCACGTCCTTTCCATCCACTAATATTGGTGTCGTGCTTCTATTACGCAAGGCAATATGCAAAACTGCTCTATTCTCAGTGAAATTGATCTTTTCGCCACTAAACATGGCATTTCTCGCAGCTTCGATTTCCCGTGCACGAGCCTACAAAATTATATAACGAGATGGTATAATGAGATTGAAATGTTCAAAAATATATGAAAATACTTTTACATAAATAAATTCTAAATACCAGGTTAAATAATAATCCAAGTACTTGTTCATTAATCTTATTCTTGGAATAATCCAATAAAATCGGTCCATCCTGTGGGGTAGAGAGCTCCAAGCTGTTTTACACACAATGAGAATAATTTTTAATATACTTTGCAGAACCAATGCAAAAATGTAGAACCATTTGCGATATTATAATGACACAAAATAATTACCTAAGAGCGTGCATTATTTTTTATTACGTTTAATAGAAAAATGGTTAAATGTTTATCAATTATCATTATAAAATTCTATGTATAATAGAAGAACACGCGTCAAATATTTTAAAACAGTTTTTCTCACGCGTCGAATAAGTAACCTTTTTAAAAGGTCGTCCCAAGGTCACTTAAAGTAGAGACTTACCTAAATTTTTCGAAACGTTTAGAATCCTCCTGAAACATATTATATATGTTGATCTTCGAGCCATTGCTGTCAAAGTATTGTTGCAGCTGTTTCCATGCAGGGTCAGTCAACAAATCCGTCTTGGATTTCATTTTCCAATTTAAAGAAAGCCGCGCGTGAAAAATCTGTTAACCACTGTTACCAGTGACCGTAGTCGGCAGTCGGCGCGACTGCTAGCATAGCATAGATATTAGAATACAGAGATGAGGCATGGCACGTATTTTCCATACAAGTGTGATTGGTTGGATCCAAAGGTAAGAACCAACCACATTCTATTGCTACTTAGGGCCCGGACACACACTTTTTCGTAACAGTAAAGTTTTGACCAATCGCGTTGCTTGAATCGGGAACATACGGCCGTACGTAGCAACGCGATTGGTCGAAACTTTACTGTTACTATTACGAAAAAGTGTGTGTCCGGGGCTTTAGCAGCTGAGCCTGGGTTTACATGGAGCGTATTTCGCGCAATGCGTAACTAACACAACCAATTGGAGATCAGAGTTATGCTAGGTCTACAATGCGAGTCGTAAAGAATTGACCAATCACAGTCGAATTTGAGGAGAATAATCGACTGTGCGTGGTCAATTTTTGCGACTTACGACTTTGCGACTCGCATTGTAGACCCAGCATTAGGCCCGGTCTACAATGGATGTCGGAAGTCGGAGTCGTAAGAAATTGACCAATCACAATCTATTATTCTCCTTGCGGTCGAAAAATAATGAACTGTGATTGGTCAATTTCTTACGACTCCGACTTCCGACATCCATTGTAGACCGGGCCTTACTGTTGTATCCTTCAACAGAAATACAAAACTGATTTGCGATTGGTTCTCGCAACTTATGCGGGGTCTACAATGCGAATCGCAAAGTCGTGAGTCACAAGAATTAACCAATCACAATCGAATTTGAGGAGAATAATCGACTGTGATTGGTCACGTCTTGTGGCTCACGACTTTGCGACTCCCATTGTAGAGCCCGCATTACGCATTACGCATTGCGCGAAATACGCTCCATGTAAACCCAGGCTGAGTAAAGCCTTGTGTCCACAATGCTAGAACTGTGTCCGAGTTTCGGTTTAAGCCAATGAAACTGCTACTTTTCTGTAAGAGCTTAAAGTTGATTGGCTTAAACCAAAACTCGGATGCAGTTCTAGCATCGTGGACACAAGGCTTAATGAGGTATTTTGAGACGAGGTGAAAATTACAAAAGTGAACAGATTTACTAGATTTCGACAAATGAAATTGTAGATTCTCTAGTGAATTTCCTCGTCCCAAGATACAGAATCGACCCCGCCAAGACCCAATTCCCCAATTGACCAATTGTCGACTATCGACTTGTGTCGCTTGCTGGAAATCTCCCTATATGTATGCGGGCAACGCTCATAGCAACGACAGACACGACAGTACGTTTTCGATCGATTTATAGGATATTTCGCGAGCACCCCCGGCTATATCGCACATCGCGCTTACGTTAATTCCTTACGTGGATGCGTGGCTGCGTGGTAGAAAAGAAGATCGATTTGTACTTTGTGGGATATCGCCACGCGAGAAAGAGGAAGCGAGAGAATCTTGTTTGGTGTTTGGTATTTCTACGTGTTCCAACTTTCGACTCCTTTTCGCGCAAGTGAACTTTAATCTGTCAAATCTCACTGTTGATCTGTTCTTTTTCCTGACCCTTGACGACACGATAAAACATAAAACCATTTCCACGACGTAGATCAACGTGCAACGTGGACATTCGATTTCCCGAACTTCCTTGGGGTCATCACCCGCCGCCCGCCGTGCGCGTGCACGCAGCGCGACGATGCCGATTTTACCGAGGACGTTTCCAAGGAAGCGTGTCGTACGTGCGCTCAAGTCGACTTACGAATTCCGAAGCCCGTGCGAAGAGCTCCAAGGACTCCAAGAATATCGAGCGCGCGCCGGCCGCGCTTAAGTGCTCGCGATTTCGATCTCTACGGTCTCCACGGTGTGAAAGAAAGAGAGAGAGAGAGAGAGAGACATGGTTACACGTGTCGAGGATGCGGTGCTGTTCCGTTACGATGCTACAACGTACCTTTCGTTCTTGTGTGCTCGAGAAACATCTGTAGTTGATTGATACGTGCAGCGGTGTACAATGTCAGCCCAGCTAAGCATGCAAGACAAGAAGGATTTGGAGAAGTTTACCAAATACCTTGCACTGAGGGCTGCCCAGATCATAGTGCAGTCGAGGTCGGGCCAGAAAGTCAACACCGCGTGCAAGCCAGACTCGTCAGCTGGCGACTGGGTAAAAGTAAAGTTTGCTCTAGTCCATACACGTTATCTGGTTTTACCCTGCTGATCTTCGTTCCAATCTATCTTGTATGTTTTTCGTTTCAATATGTATATGTGTATGTGTATATAGGTGGATGGCGGGATATATAGATGCAGTGAGTACAGTGACGACAGTGAGAGTGCTGTCTATATCTTATAGAACGTATCTTTTATAAAAGAGCTCTCTATCGCAGCAAACGATTGGATTAAACCAAATAACGTGGATGGTTCACATAGTCCGTTATACGTCTACTGTTTGTTATTCGAAGGACGTTTAAATAAACGTATATCTTTATCCGATGTTGTAGTTCAATCTGGCAATAAAGGAACTACCAGAGGTCTCGGCTGACGCTAAGAGAGCGTTATGTGGAGAGATAGTAAGTTCAGCTGTACCTCTGTGCATAGAAATTTCTCTGAAAACAGTGGAGGGTGACAAGATGGTTTTGGAAACTTGGAGTCTCGGTGTTTTGCCAGAGCAAAGTGATCCAACTGTACGAGTAACGTATACTGTGTATAACAGAATGGGGATTTTGTTAAAGTCCTTGATTTCTGTATCAAGAGTTACACCCGCTTACAAACTGAGCAGACGGCAAGGACCTGATTCTTATACCATGTGCTATCGGATGTACATGGGTGAGCCGCAGCTACATAATTTAGGTTAGTTTATCAGCCAGAAGTTGACGCTTATTTTCTTATTTTTTAAAATTTATATGTAAAAGTTACACAAGTATTTACAACGAAGTAAAATGTGTTGTCTATTTTATAAAGCGTATTACAACGTTTCTACGTTTCCATTACACACCTGATATATTTAAATATTTTATAACATTTATTATTACGTTTCTGTATAACATTTATGGTTTCTCATTAAATGTCACGTTTATAACAGGTGATAACTATAAACATGTAAGAGTAGGTCAATTGTGTACTCCAGTGGGCACTATACATCTGTCAGTCTCTTACAGAACAAAAATGACTATATCACCCACTCACAAGGGACGAGATTCTATTATGCTTAAGAGCGATCATTTTCATTCAGACTTGAGTCCGCGTCATGCACGATATCAACAGAGGTCAGTAAATGTGAAATTTATGATATTTGAAAGTACTTGTACAATAAAAAAAATATAGACATATCTTAATAGTGCTTTAAATCAAATACGCAGCGAGGAAACATCAAACGCACTAAGCGACACCATTAAAGTTGGCGCATTTGTAATAAACAAGCCTGTCATTGTCAACGAAGAGGACCTTGTGATACCAGATGTACCGTTCAGTTCGTTATTAACACCCAAACAAACGTCGCCTCCTCCAATATCACTAGTGGAACCTACGACAAAGACTGCACGGGCAGCTGTTACAACTGATAGCAACAATGGAAATACGGAAAGACTTAATAATGATAACGCGACTTCGAAATGCGCATCCCAAAACGGATCTAGAAGAAGTAGTTGTTCAATGACTAGTGCCAACGATGATTTTATTATGGTAGATTTGGTAATTGATGCTCTTAATCCAAACATGATATCACAATAATTTATTATATTATGTTCTACGGTTATAGTGTGAACGTTGCCTAATATTGAGAAACAATATTCCATCTAGTACTTAATAAAATTTATGCATATATATTTGTAGGAAAAATATTTTTATTCTCATAGCTTGGGCAAATTTTGTACTGTATTTGTATATGAAACAAACTTCGAATATTGTTGCAGAAAACTCCTTTTGCCGTCACGAATACCAATAGCGATGTAGGAGCGTTTTATCGAGAGTGTCAAAGTGCTCCGCAATTGCAAGCCTTTACGGAAGAAAGGACTCTTGCGGAACAATTGGGAGATCTTACTAAACAATTGGAAACATTTGAGACAAATATGCAACACTACGAGGACATTTTGTCATCCTTGTGTCAAACAGAAAATAATAATTAAGGCCGAACTCTGCTACGAACTGATTTAAACAAAAACACGATTTTGAAAAATTATAAACACGTTGATAGAATGTATGTCGAAACGTTTAAGACGTGGAACAAATGATCTTTCCTTCAATACCCTTAGTAAACGTGTGTTCGCTCAAAATGTTCTGCTAATATATATATATTGCAAAGATTTTATGTACGTATAAAACAATTAACGGAGCAAACACATTAGTTGTGATAACTGATTACTTAATATAATTTATTGCTTGTATAAAGTGTAACGTGCACTTGAATATTCTAAGACAAGACGATAAATATAAGTATAAGTTACGTATGAAGTGTTCTATCAATTTTTTATTCAATCTATTAAATCCGATTTCACTCATTTCAATGATTACAGACTCATAAAAATTCGTTTCCGATGTTTGAACGTATTGAACGTACATGTAATAAAAGAGATACGTCAAAGAACAGAAATATTGAGACAAGATTTGATCTATATAAATATATTATTATGACGTGATCTGTAACTTGTACAATCATTATATCCGCATTCACATTACTTTCCTAAAGTACGTCATCCTTATGAATAGCATCATCGATGAGAGGAATCAAGTGATCCATGCGTGCTAATCTACAAGACGTTTATTTGTTATCATACATTTTTGTCAAGTCACAAATGTTATAAAAACTGTACAGTCTTACTACAATATATATCCATGACGATGTCTTTAGAAATATACAAAGATATTATCCAAAGAAAAAGACGAGATGCTTTTGGTATAATGACGTTGCACTGTACGGAATCATCGTTAATTAATTTGATTCCTCAGTGCTGTTAACTGCTCCGAATATTCGAGGTATAACCTTTGCCAACGAAGATGGCCACCGACTACAGCCAGTACGTCGCCCAAAAGTTTGTGTTTTTTTATTCCCTATATGACATTCGACATAAAAAATATTAACGTTATACACGTGAATTAAATTTATAATTTAAAGATTTATATATATATAGAGGCAATATTACCAAAATAACAGGGTCCCATGTACTTTTGGAAGCTGACGTGTGACTTGGGCCCAAAAGATCGTCCAAAATAAGCCTTAGACGTTTCTCCAAACCGTCTAAAAAGATATTGGACATAATTAACAAATTTCGGATTTGATCCCTCATCCTATGTATGCCCTAATATTTTATACAAGGTTATAAATAAGTATGAGATGAATAACCCGTTTCAGAAACCTATATTTCATATTTCAAGAAATATATGAGAATGAAATATGCACGACGCGTACCTTGCGTTAATAAGAATGACACCAAAGCCATGAGCCAATGAACGTACTCTTGGGCGCTTCCAAGAGCTTTAGATGCGAGTAACTGTTGTTCTAAATAAGAAACCACGCTTGGTGCGCTATGTGGTACGCGCGGATTTGGTAAAGTATTCCCGGAGGTTCTAAGCAACCCTTCTTGTAGTGATGACAAAGGTCCCCTAGGTGCTCTACTGCCGGAAGTACTCAGTACACTGAATGACGACCATCGCCACACAGGGTCTTGACTATCACCAATTAACAGCCATGTTCCTATATACAAAAAATATAATGATTTTATATATATATATATATATATATATATATATATATATATATATATAAAAGAAAAAATAACGAGTTTTTACTATACCCATATCTTTATGATATATGTATGCTCGTGCATTAGTAAATGCTACATGAGGCATTCCATTATACAAAGTACATGACAATAGGGATGTTCCAGGTGCTGCTAAATGAGCAGCCGAAGTTGAAACGATCATTCTGCACGTCGTTCCTATTTCCCATACGCGAACCGCGCCACAGCTCGATATCACCATCACCTATTAATTTTTTTTTTTTTTTTTTACAACTATAAATGAACATTAAACATACATACAAGATGAAATCGGTGAATAACGTACCGCGTTTCCAACTGCATGAACCTTCGCCAAAGGTGCCGGTGGTGCTAACGGTGGTGCTGGCCGACATCCTTTCGCAGGATGAAATGTGTGAAGACTTCCGTCTTCCAAACCCAAGGCAATCACAGCCGGTGATGCGGCTAATGCCACAGCGCTATATCCTAAATAGAGATCCCATGTCGGCTCAGAATCAGTGCCTTTAAATACTTGCAAATGAGCCAAGCCCTGACTATTAGTGACAGTCACAGCATAATGACCCGCTTGTTGGGACAATGAACTGGATGGCTTCAGTGGAGGCAGTAACATCTGACCTATCGTCCTGTCAGATATGAATTTAGGCTTCTTACTCGGCGAAGAATGGTGAACCTTCGGTGTCGTTTGCTCCTTGCGTTTTAATGTAAGAGAGGATCCCGGAGTGTCGGCAGCAACTGGTTTTACGGACGAAGTAACATTGGGTGCAACAACGTCGTTACGTTTTTCTATCACAATCGAGCTCTTTGTTTGTACTTTACTCGTGAACGTTGGTGTGCCTAAACTACTACTGATATTTGTATCTCTGAAACGTGACAAAAACGTGTTACGAGATTCACGGTTAACGTCCCAGACTAAAATAAACAGATAAATAAAAATGATATATTAACAACTTACGTTGTATCTGCTGGTGGTGGAATGAACATAGGAGTGATTCTTCTTTTACCGTCCGAAGTTCTCGTTTCGATTTGTTTATTGATAGGTCCCTTAACCGGAGTAGTCGCAGGCGTAGTGACAGGGGGAATGGTGGGAGCAGCGGACACTTGAGAAGCGTGATTCGATGCCGGTTGTTTCAACGTAAGAAGTTCTGGGGCTTCCATCACCATACAACCTCCTTGAACCAATGGCTTACCATACAATCGTTCATGTAGGCTACTCTATAAACACAGAGAAAATAATAATCACGTCTACAAAAGACATAAAAATAATAATAATACGACGCATATGTATAGTCTGCTTACTTGCTCAGCAGGATCGAGAGGTTGTCCTAATTCCTGTTGAGTAAATTCAATAAATACAGCTGTTCCATCCCAAGAACATGCGGCAAGACGAAGACCACACGGTGACCAACTAGCATCCAACACGGAATGTGTGAACAACTCGTGAATTACGACTAAAGGTCTTTTTAAGGATGTTAACCATACAGATAGAGAACGATCTCGCGATCCTATTGCAACACAACAATACTGTTGTGGTTTAGAGGAACCTGGCTGCTTCTTCTGCAGAATATTGCCATTAAATCTCTATAAAAAAATATATATAAAGACGTATACACATGCTCATATAGATACTTGATAAAGTCTTGATAATATTAAGAGAGAGAGAGAAAGAAATAAATATATGTAATGCTTACAACACAAGTTACTGCTTTCCTATGTCCAACAAAATCTTTATCCTGTGTCCATCCGTCCCTTTCTATTATTTGAGCCGTAGGTCCTCCTCCGTTCATAGCATGGGCAGATACCAAATACTGACCATCTGGACTCCAAGAAAGTCTCAGCACATGAGTCGTCCCGCCACATTCGTCGAAAGGCTCAGATATTAACGCTGCTTCCGTCCAATCCGTAGTACGCCATACTCTCAACGTTTTGTCGTCAGATTGAGATGCCAAATATTTTCCCACAGGATCCCAAGTAATCCCTTTTACAAAACCTGTATGACCCTTTAACACAGCGACCACAGCAGGAAACTTGGAAGCATCCCATACTATTACACTGTTATCTACTGAGGCAGAAGCCAGCCATGGACTGTGGGGTGCCCATGCAAGATCGAGTACGTCAGCTTCGTGTGAACGCAACGTCGCGATACATCTCCAAGTTTCCACGCTAGCTTTTCCACCAAAAATCGAACTCCCGCCTGATCCAGATAATCTCCAGATCATAATAAGCTTATCTACACCGCCCGACGCCAACATGCCACCCGTGCTCCATCGTACGCAATTCACACATGCTATATGAAAGTAAAAAATATATATATTATACGTCACGAGGTTACGAATATAAACAAACGTAATCTTTACCAAGATGATTGTCTAATTGGCAAAGCATCTTTGGAACATTAGAATCTAATTCAGCAGTCTCGTCAACTACCGGTTCCATATTCCATATAACAACCCTTCCTGAATCGCCACCTACGATTCAAACATAATAATAAGTATTATTTGTATTTTCGTGGCATTTCTAGTGTATTCGTCCAACTTAATACACATATATATCTTTATTAAAAGATGAAATATACACGAGATAGATATATACCTTGACCACCAGTGGCAAATCTCTTTCCATTGGGATGTATGTCGATAGAGAATATCGGATACCCTGGCGAAAAATATGATAAGACCTTCGTTAAATCCTTCATTAAAAATTATAATGATTGGAGATATCGTGCAAAAGCAGTAAACACAAACCATCGTGAGTAACCCACGTAGGCTTGACCAACTTCATTGTTTTCGTCGTCTGAGACTACGTAACTGTCACAACTTGATAAGCACGCTTTAAATCTTGCTACATCTTAGAACTATATATAATCCTCACTGATCCCCGTAAAGAACGTGTCCCCGGCACAATTTAAAAATTTGCACGAGACATAACCTTAGACTGCCGTACACAAAACATGTCGGGTCGGTAGCATCGGTCGCATCGGTACTCGCCACTCGGTACTATCGGTAGCGAATAATCGAATATAGCGATCAGTAGCGATGCTTTATGTAAAGGCTGGTATCTGCCTTCTTCTATCATATTCTATCAAATAATCATCATGAACAGTTCACTGCGAGTAGTTGAGTTGAATCCAATTGATATATAGAAGAAGATAGAAGTCTGGATAAATCGCTACATATTAATTTATTTTAATAATAGAACTTAAAGACGCAAAAGGAGCAATTAAGTTTCGTAAAACGTAAAGGGCCATCTACAATGAGTCGCAGTCGCAAGAGTCGTAAGAAATTGACCAATCACAGTTCATTATTCTTCGACCGCAAGGAGAATAATGAACTGTGATTGGTCAATTCTTACGACTTACGACTTACAACACTCATTGTAGACCGGGCCTTAAGGTTTCGACCAATCGCGTTGCGCGTTGCTCGATTCTTACTTCTACCTTCTACGGTAATAGACGACCGAATCGAGCAACGCGATTGATTGGTCAAAACCTTACTGTTATGCTAGGTCTACAATGCGAGTCGTAAAGTCGTGAGTCGTAAGAATTGACCAATCACAATCGAATTTGAGAAGAATAATCGACTGTGATTGGTCAATTCTTACGACTCACGACTTTACGACTCGCATTGTAGACCTAGCATTACGTTCTACGAAAAGTGTGTGTGCCTGTGTGCCCTGCTTTAATTATAATCGTAAGGCCGTAAGAAAATAGACCAATCACACTCGATTATTCTTCGAGCTCAAGGAGAATAATCGACTGTGATTGGTCTAATTTCTTACGGCCTTACGATCATGACGTAGGAGGCCCAAGCTGCTGAGTAGCAGTCGAACGTGATTGGCTCTTACTTTTAGAACCAACCAATCAACGGAGAGTGTTGATAAGACGAACTCAACAGTTGTGTCTGCTAAACGCGGCCAATGCTTTGTCTGTAATTATACCTATCTATGGCGACACTACATAACACAACTGGTTAAATAAAAGAGGTTAGAAGTGGTTTGAGATATCTCACTTTCATTGCTACGGCATGCACGATTGAAATATTAACATTTTCCAGGAGAAGAAAATCGCACTTGGAAATTATATAATTAACTGTAGCTTTGATGAAAAGTTATTTTTATTAAAATGGAGGTTTCTACAAATAACAATAAGCCTGTGGAGAATGGCACCGACACGTTAACATCCTCCGTTTCCTTTACCGAATCACCCAAGAAATGCAATCTGTCTTTTTCAATTAATTTTGACTTTAATGACGTTAATAACGAGAACTCGACCGATTCCGAAAATGCAGATCTACAAATCGATATATCCGAAGTGGATAATTATGAACCGTCCAGTAAGCATAAGAGAGAAGCTGTTGAAGAAGCATCAATGCTCAATGAAATGGAAGAGGAGATTGAGAGACAACTCGATGCTAAAGCTGCCAAAACCACGTTAACTGCCACTAATGTTAAAAATATTTTGAAACGCGTAATCCCCTATGAACACTTAATGACAATAATGACAAAGGTACAAGAATGGCTTCAAGATACAGAAAATGACGTTAACATTGGCCCGAAACTCACGAGAGCTAAAGCTAAGTATGTCGTTGTCGTATTTAGAGATCGTTAATCTTGTTATTTGTACGTGTAATACGTATTTGCAATATATATAATTCTTGCCTTGTTTTTTTTTTTTTTTATAGAAAATTAGCTGCTGCAAAAGTCACGATACCATGGCCCATCACTACGGCGCAAAAAACTTCCTCAGAGGTGCAAGCTTTGATTCAGGAGGAATTACCGGAAGATTCATCCGATGAAGAATATAATCCTGAACATGATAAACAGAGTGACGATGATAGAGAAGTGGAAAATACAGCGAGTGATATTGAGTCACAGTTATCAGTGTCAACAAATAATAAGGATATAGCTTTTTCCGAACAAATGTCATCTCATATACAATATGATTCTGAAGGAATTTTTAAAATACCTGCGTATGTGTGAAAAATCTATATTATATTATTTGTTTGTGAATGGACGTTGTATTATTTTTCATATATATTTTTTAAATATTTTTGCTTGCGTAAGATATCTCTTACCACGTTATTTTAATAATACATGATAAATATTATTTTCAAGTATTCCACATGTTGCGACAGAAGAAGAAAGTATTGGTCAAAGAACACGCTCTAAGCTATCTTTAAGCGAAACATCTTTGGAGGAAATAGAACAAGCATTTATACCACCTGATATAACTGCCGATATGACTGACGATTGGGATTGTGAACTTGATGAAGATTGGGATAACTTTTTGAAAGAATTCACGCAACCTTTGACGCAAGAACCAGCCATAGAAGATGATCCAGAAGCAGATCCGGAGTATAACATCTTGGAAGATGAAACAGATTTGTGTATGTATTATTATATAGATTATAGAATGATAGACGTCGCCTTTATCATATTTTATTTTCTTTCTCTTGACATATTCTGTATGTGAAACGTATATATTTAACTTCAACAAATATTACTAGTGGACAAGGAAGAGCTTAGGACAGATAGAGCAGTAGAAGTTCCTCGTAAGGAGCAATATGATTTAATTGCAGAATTACTTGAATTAACTCCTATGTTCTCGACACAAGACCAAGAAGTTGAAAGTTCAAGAAAGAAGAAAGTTCTAGGTACGACAACACCACCGATCGAAAGTGATGCTATGGTAAGAAAACGTATGTCACGTTAGAATATAAACGCGAACGCAAACTTTAAGAAACGTTAAGAGAACGCTATAGTACGTCAAGTTTGTGCTTTTTATGTTTTCAGACGTGCTCTGCGGTACATCTTTTGCCAGTACTGGCAGAATATGAACTACCAAACGTGGTGAAACCTGAACAACGTCTTCTATTAGCGACACAATTTCAGCAACATGTACAATTAATGACACAACATTTTGTTATGACTTACATGCATCCAAAATATCATTCGCTGGCAAAATTGTGTAAAGAAAACTTGAATAGTTTAAGGTACGATGGATGTATATATATATATATCAGCGTATATCGTGTACGAAATCAGTCGAATCATGAATTCTTATGAGAACGTATTGATATTTATTAGAAATTTGAGTACTGGGCCAACGTCTGCATTTAATGCAAAGAATTTGGAAGCAGCTTTAAACGTGGTATCAACTTGGGAAAATAAGTTTAATGATACCAAGTTTTATGCAAACTTCAAAAAGAACGTAACAAATGAAAATGCTACAACTGAAATATATCGTGCCACAAAGTGGAGACATACTGAACAATTTCTCCCTGACGTAGAGAACGTATTTGTCGAAAGCAAGGCTCTTATGTATCCACAACTTCTACCGCGGATACCTTTTAGAAATGTTAAATACGCAAAATACACAAAATCCGCATATTTGAAATCGGAAGAAACGTAAGTATACTCAACGTTATGTATATTATATATAAAATATTTTTATTTTATTCTATTTCAATATGACTTTTCCAGTTTAATTGCACTGGGCATAGAACAGTTCTTACCATTTGTTATGTCTAGATCAAAAAAGTTTCATACAAAGAAAATGCAATTATTTGATGCAGCTCAACTTATTGGTTGTTATTTGCTACCATGCAGAGATGCGAAAGGAATATTTAATCATATTAACAAACAACGCTCTTCCAAAGATAAAAATCCAATTAAGGTATTGAATATTTGCGTTGAATGTTATGAGATTTATATCGCAAATATACGTAAGTAAAATTTATTGCAGCATTATTTTGAAAAAGGTTGCGCTCCTAGAATAATACATTATATAATGCTTGAAAGTAAACTGAAAGCTCCAAAAGATCAACCACGAGAACTTTTACCTCCAAACTGGCAAATGTATTTTGTAAGTATAACACGTATAATATTGTTTATATATTTACGTGCAGAAAGCTATACGTTATTTGACATGTAATACTTCACTTATACATTACATGTACAACACAGCTGTAACAGCTTAATGACTTAATGAAAAGAAATGATTACACATTAATTTCTTATTTATTATTACAGCAAAAAAAGCACAAAAATACGTTGACAAAAAGTAAATGTATATTTGATTCTTACACGAACTTCTCACTTGAAAAGGAAGGGATTGATATAAACGCAATAATAAAGTCTTATCCTAGTATCCCTAATAATCATATTTTACGAAATCCAGTTGTAAATATGTTACCAAAAATATTACCTGCAACTTCAAATCCCAAAACTTCATCTAAAATTGATACGTCTAATAAACAAAATCCTAACGTCGATGATAGCGGCGATAAAAAAGTATTTGATAATGTACAAACGACGGAGGTGCATAAAAGGAAAACGGCAGTGTATAAAGCGCACGCAACGTTTTGCTCCTTAAAAGCGACGACTTCAGATGTAAAGCCAACGCAAACAGATAACGCACTAGATAAAAATAATACAAACGTAAATACTATATTAACTAGAAGCTCAAAAATATCCAAGGACGCACCACAGATATCATCAGACGTACCACAAATACGAAAGACCACCCCACGCGTAGCAAAAACAAAAAGCGCCCAAAATATGAAATTGATGGCCCAAGCTTTAGGTTCAAAGACGTCATCTACGTGCGGTACTATAAAATCTAAAGAAAAAGATACCGTAGATAAGAATATTGATGAACCGTGCTCCACGTCAAAAGTTGTGAGTTCTATTTTGCCTTGAAATGACATATTGAGTAATATCTATCTAAATGTGTGTTTTTTTTTCCACATAGGACAATGAGGAAGAAATAGCAGAATTAATGTTAGCAAGTAGCACAATAATAAAAGATCCTGTAAGTAGGAAAAAGGCTAAACAAACTAGAGAATTAGAAATTATTAAAAGATTATTAAAATCTGAGAATCCCGTGACCGAAGAAGAACGCGAAGCAAGTAAGTTACCGTAGTTAGTTAAGGTGATTGTGTAATAAAGTGAACGTTATCCGTTATTTTTAAAATAATTTTTTTATCTGTCTATTTTTATAGAATTTGCAGCGTCGTATCTTCAGAAACTGCACTTGATATTAGAATCCACGAATCCAGAAACATTTAAAGCTGTGATAAAGTTATATTTGGATTATAGTGAAAAATTAGAAAGTATTAACCACCCTGTTCGTGACGCGTCCATAACTGATGAGTCCAAGGAACGTTCAGCAAGTAAACAGATGTTACAAGATAGTGCACGTAAAAAAGATATACTAACAGTCCAACTATATCAAGAGGTCTGTACAAAATTACAAGATTATCCAGAAATATGTACAGACTTTCTATTATTTTTAAAACCGCATCAAGCCGCAATGATTGGTAAATCTATAGAATATATCATGTTACAAAAAATGAATGATTTTGTCCATGTTGCACAAATATATTTTACTAAGCAACCATCTCGGATAGCAAAGATGATGCAGGCAATTACACAACTTTCGTCTGATCCACATATGACTTTAGAAAACATTTACTCCGTTATGAGTTCTGTTTTTAAAGGTCACCCACTCGTTATGGATATGTTCTTGCAAGTTTTACCTACTGCAAAACCTCCTGAAAGGTAATAGTTTTATGTAAATAAAAAGTAAATATTGCAGATTTTACATATTGTTACGTGTATAACACGGCTTTAGGCAAAATCTCTAATGTATGAAACAAGAAAAAAGTCATGTAATCTCGTTTAGGCTTTATTCTGTGATTTCCTGTCAATTTCCTATATATAATCTATTTATATCATTTATAGATTAAGAAATCTCACGTGTTATAGAATTGTATTTGATATTTTTACCAGTTTACTTGCACCTCATATGTTTGAAAACATGACATGTCCGCTAGGACCTTATGATAAAAATACAACTTACACTGAAAACGCATCAGAGCTATACGAGAATATAGACGTACCGACAGCAACGTATCAGGAAGATCCATATGGCGGGGAGAATTGTAAATGTGACTGCCATACGACTGACGAAGCAAATCTGAAAAATACGTCTGATCATTGTGTTGCCTGTGGCACGCGGGTATGTATTATATGACAATATTTACGTACTCTGACTTTTGTATCTGTCTTCCTTATTAGAGATATGTTCACGTCACGTCATTTGTATTCATTTTCTTTTTCTTAAAACAGTTTCTCAATGGAAGAATTTATCTTCAAACACCTGAAGGATTACGACCTGCAAAAATTACATTTCCCGGAGAGGATCGGGAGAAATTAGAAAATATAGCGCGTATATCATTAAAAATTGCTGACAAAGCCATTCCACCAATCTCATCTAAAAAACGACGGAAGTCATCGAAGAACGATCCTAGTCACGAGGATCGTTGTCAGAAGCAATGCGCTACGAAGCAATACTCGCCGTTAAAAGATAACGAAGATAACGAAAAGGCATTAACAAAATCTAAAAGAAATGCTAACGTTACTACACTCAAAGCAGATCAAAGAAAAATTTTAAAAAGAATCGGCACTGTAGATCACGCACGCGCAGATAAAAAAATGCGTATATCTCAATGTAAGAATAAACGAGAAAAAAAGAATGAAGAAAGCGACGCTTCGTTAGAACAAAACGAGCTTGATCTTATAAAGCTAGACAAAACGAGTGACGTTACGGAAACAGAAACTAATAGTTGTACGCACGTATCCATGCAAGATACGTCCTTAAGTACTGAAGTACGTACAAAAATGCAGCGTTCTTCAAATATAAGCAACACGACTGGTTGCACGTCAAGTAAGTCTTATTTAACGTATATTACTCTTAAAATTTATAAATAATGGAAGAAATATAGTATAATATTCAAGCAATATACTTCTTAAAATTTTAATATAGGTAACAAAAATGTAGGGACAATGGTTACAACAATAGCACTGGAAAATAATACGCACGCGAAATCTGATTTACGTAACAACAAACCATGGACACGTCAGGAAGATATGATTTTACTACAAAGTATCAAAAAGGAATATTCTGAAAATTCATTCCTATTGATCAGTGAAAAATTAGAAAATCGTACTATCGATCAAGTAATAGCTCTTTTACCTTTATAATTCGACACGTATATGAATTTTTTACACACACACATCTATATAATAATAATTAAATTTTTTATTGTAGGTCAAAGAGAGATGGCAAACTCTGCTTTCTTTACTGCAGAAAATGATGTAAATATGTATATAAGTTATAGATTTGTACGTTTATATTATAATAAAAAATACAACAGGACGTGATCAGCAGATCTTATGTGCGTTAATGTATATACATTTATACATAAAATTTGTTACTTGCACTGATATTTTCTTAATTTTCTGCATATGTAATGATTTAATAAAGATGATGTATATATTTGTCCGCTAAAAAGAGAGAGAGAGAGAGCGAGCGCGCGCGTTAAGAATAAATTGAGTACAGAGAGTGCAAAAAATCCGATCCGAGTGTAAAGAGTGTAACGAAAGCTCCTTTCGTTTACACGCGTGATTAGACTGATTAGTCATTCGTAAAGTTCTTTTCTCTAGCACTGGACTGCAGAATTTATAAAAATTACTTTGAACGTGTTAGAAACGTAAATGTCTATTCGCCTAATATATATGATTACAGAGATTGTGTATTAAGTACGTTTAACCTTAGTTAACCTAAAATTGCAGTACTGTTTTATGCATTACATGGCGTACTGAAGTTACTTGTGATAATGCAACTATATTTACAACGTTCACGCAACAAGATGAATATTTGAGAAAAGGAAGGAAAGATAATTAAAAGTGAAATTATGTCGTACGATTCGACGTCAGCCCGAAAAATCACAAAGTCTAGTGTGGTATGTACGTTGCTATAGCAACTGTATCAATATTCTAAATTACATAGTCAAGTGCTACACGTGATTTTTTTTTAGGATAAAACTATAAAACTCTTAATGAAACATAATGTGGAAAGAAAAAGACGAAGAAGTGTGGAACAAGTCACAAACGATCATAAAGTTGCCCATTATTGTAAGAGGTTCAACGGAGATGAAAAAAGTAGGACGTCGGTTGTAGGATTTTCGAAGAGTTTGGCATTGTTAGAGATGCAATCTTATATCGCCCGTCAAGACTGGAAGCATGCATTAAATTTATTTCCTAGGCTCCTCGAATGCCCTGTCGAATTGGAGCCTCTAATATGGAGATATGCATTTATAATTTTATTGCATACGAACGATCCGTCACATCTCCGTCGATTCTTCGAACAATGCATTGGTAGTCAGAGTTCAAATAATAGCGCTTTGTTAGAAAAGTTATTGTTATTACCTCTAAAAGATGATACGTAATTTCAAAGTAGTCTCTTACGTTATGTTGGCATCGTCATGTTAAGTCAATATACAGTATTTGTTAGATACAAATCTTTGTACAATGATTGTATTACATCTGATTATACTACATGCCAAACTGCACGTTCCTCGTACGTTTTTTGTACATTCTTTAATAGTACATGAATTATTTTATACATAATTATATTTATACATAAACAGTTTGAATAGAAAAGCACGTCATGAACATAGTCTACTCTAAGTATTATACAGTCAAATATTTTTATGATAATCTTACACACTTTTCATTCATCCTTATCACGTATTTCTATCTGTAACTCGTCGGATGTAACCAGGATTCTACAAGAAAGACGTGTGATATTTATATAATAGCTCTTTTAAGAGATACATTATTTACACGTTTATCTTTTGATTATTTGTTTAAACAGTCAATACACTAGCATCGATACTTCAGAATCTTTAGACAAATATTTTACGTTCCACGATTTTCAAAAGGACATTACTGAAAATAACATATAAATCGATATAAAAGAAAATGCCATTTACGGTCCGAGCCGGACCTTGGTAGTTTAATAATATACATGTGTATTTCCAGATACACATATTTCCAAGCTAGTAAATTGTGCGCCGATTGTTTGTCGGCTTTAAAATACATCTTCCGTTGGAATAGTGAACGTCTCCTCCCCCCTCCCTAGCTAAATCGGTAATCGATTTAACTTTAATGCTACGAAGCATTCTATTTAACGTGGAAAGACTATTGGAAAGCTTAATAAGCTACCAAGATCCGGCTCGGACCGTAAATGGCATTTTCTTCTATATTGAATTGTATATTTCTGATATTACCAGTATGATTGTTAGTACTTTTGTATGTACATATGACGGCACTAGCTAAACCAAACTGAGCCACACGCACTTAGAAAAATGTTCAAAATGATAAGTAATAACTTCTTAATATTCTAATAAAATGTCTTATTAAATGAAATATTGATCACTAAACGTAATCTCGATTAGAGGACGTGCATCACTATATTATTCGCTTTTTCGCAATCTATTAACGTATTAAAAAATTTAATTTCCGTCTCCCTATAATAGCTTTATTTTTAACAAGTACGTTTGAATACGTGGAATACGTTCCCGTCTATTGACGTAACAGTACTTGTTGATTTGATTTGATCAACGCTACGAACGTATACACTTAATACTATTATTGTTCCAGAATGAGATAACAGTAATGGAACATAAGGCAATAAAATCCATATGCCAAACATTAACAAACTTATTACCATCGTTACTTCGATATGTCAATATACGATATTTTTTTACCTTCATGATATAACGATCTGATAACACATGAATGTTGATGATGATGCTGATGATGATACGTAAACTTATAATATACATGACAGGTTGGCGCAGCAACTGCAGTAATAAATAGATGAATGAAAGAAAGCACGGTAAGATGAACGCTGGTCAGTCAAGGGGTAAATGAACACGTGAATCGCTAGCTGCTAATTTAACGAGTGTCTTCTTCACCCTAAGAATGGGCAGCCTGGCCGCTGGTTTCCCATGCCAACACTCGCGCATTAGCTTTCCCATTCCAGCCAACGTCTGCGAAAAGTATTTAACTCATGTATTCATGCTAATGTAATAAGCGCGAAACACGTCGAATTTAATCTACGTGTCTAAAAATGTGTTTTTGCTCTGATAAAAAAGTAATACCAAGATAAAAATGCGTTACCGGGTCAGAATGCCACCTATTGGGAAGCGGTGGCCTTCGCTGGTCAAACGAGACCACGTTACGCATTTCTTCTATGGAGGGTTCTTGCGTACTGCTCGGCAACCATTCGCTGTACGGCAAGGCGTATTCTAAGGCTACGCCATTACTTATACATCTGCGACAGACTTCCCATAGTATCAATCCTAGACTGTAGATATCAGCTTGTCTAAAGCTCTCTAAACATTCGACGTTTACTCTGAAAATGCGGAAGAAGCGTCCGTGAGATTTAGCCACGTTGTATGACGTTAAAGGAAGCACAAAGTTTACTAACGTTTGTTCAAGAATTTCAGGACTCATATAGCGTTTCGTTCCTTGCCGTAAGTCGACTCTGTCCGCTATAAGACGATCTTGCGTAGCTGCTAACGCGAAATCGGCAATTACGCAACCACCATTGGTTTTGACCAAGATATTCTTCGATTTGAGATTACGATGGGCCATAGCTGGCTTTCCTTTAGTACCATGAATCTCCGTATGCAGATAAAGTAAACCGTTAGCGATACTCAGACAAATATTGAGCGTTTGATGAGGTGTCAATGGATGTGGCGACCGCGTGAGATGATCGAAGAGCGAGCCGAGAGGATGATACTGCATCACCAACCAGAGTTGGGTACAACTGGCTCTGCTGGTCATATCGCTACCGATATATCCTAGAATATTGTCGTGTCTGGACGGTAACAGTTGAGAGTAAACCTCGGTCTCTCGAGCCCATGCGGCTTCGTCTCGCGAGAAATAAATTTTTACAGCTACATTTTCGCCGTGCCAAACTCCTCTCCACACTTCTCCACCAAATCCTCCACTGCTACCATTACCGAGACACTCTACTAAAGCTACTTGCTTAGCTAAAGTTCTTTGTACTAACAAGGGTAATCCAGAACCAGAACCACTGGTCAAACTTCGGCCATCTAAGTACTCCTGCAAAATACAGTTGGCACTACGTGATTAATGCACTTGTCGTGCTTCGTACGTAATAAATATAAGGACAGAGTACTACGTACTTTAAGCGTACTGTCACCAGCAGCCGTTGCTCTAAGCTCGTGTGGATGCATAGTGGCAGATGATGCAGGCGAGGAAAACGAGAAATGCAACATGGAAGGCTCACGTTCGGAATCTAAAATAAGTTTATTTCGACGTGGGGCCCGCGGTCGTTTCCTTCGTATTCGATGCGCCAATAGACCGAGTACGATTCCTCCAACAACGAGCACGCCGACCAGTGGTCCAAGAATCGCAAATGTTAATTTTATTGCGTAATATTCCTTGTCAGCATCTAAAAGCACGTGTCAAGAGTATAAAAATCACTTTTAACAAACTATATCGTCGTAATGCTATTTAGTTTTACACAACTTTATATGAATCTTTCTCTTTCACACACACACACACATATTTTTCCTTTTCAAAGTTACGTATTGAATATTTTATTAATTATCTCACTGGTTGAATAATCTTCCAACTTGGGATATGGTCCAACGTTACAAAAGTCTGCTTGACAACATTCCACAGAGAATTGAGCACCACCCGACAGCCCTCTAATATTTCTTCTTTTAAGTTGATCTAGATTTTGGGCATTTTCTTTATTACACATCAATAATTTATGCTCCTCTGATTTATAGCAGCCACGGCTAACGTACTCTGTACCATCGGCTTCTCTCACCCTGGATTTCCAACACTGAAAGTAAAAAAAAAAAAATACTCGTTTGAACAAAAAGGAATATAAATCTGAGGAAACTAGGCAGAATAATATAAAAGCATTTTTACAATAATTGCATCGGTGCAGACATTAGATGGCGAACACGCGGAATCTTCACATATATGGCATTTAAAACGTTTTTGGCCACGTGTATTGAAACTGAGACTATGATCGGAAGGTTCAGGTGGATCCGCATTCTCATTTTCAAAAGAAATATCTTGGTCTTGCAAGGCAATATCTCGTCCACCTGGAAAATTAAATAACGTGCATAAATATAGTACAAGTAGAATCCAAAATATGTCTGATAGAAATACGTGTTTAGCACAGTGCAACTACACCACAAAAATACGTGTACAATGGAACGTGTTGGAAAATATTGCAAAAGACGTGTGAGTTTGAGGATACGCCGTATATTGTATAGAGTTTGATTTTATATGTACTTATATATCATAAAGAGATAAGAACTTTTAACACGTATAAGAGACAAGCATAACTCGGTAAAAAGTTAACAAAGATAGAAATACAGATATTTACAAATCTATGTAGAGTTATACACGTTACATGTTACATGTCGAATATCGCTCGTAACGTGGCGACAGTTTATCTTCATACCTGAACATAATCTGAATGTCAACAAGAGTATGAAATGCGTGATAAATATAGCATCCGCCATTTCTATGCGCGTCAAAACACTGGACTGACTGGACTACTCGCGTGAAAGCGAACGTACATTAAAATAAAGATCTCGCGACTCGCGACCTCCTTGCCGCATTCGTCATCCTCGTAGTCCTCCCTCTCTCTCTCTCTCTCTTTCTCGATAAAACTCGATAAAATGTTGTCAAGCGTGGAAACGCATGACGTTGTCATTCATTCGAGAGTAACGAGAGCGTTCGCTTTATTTACGTTCGACACATAATTTTCGGAGCATCGATGTACTCGAGACTCGAGAGCTTATATCATCGCATGGCAGAGACAGAGCCTCTTCTAGTCTTCTCTTCTCGCGTGCTTCTCCGATGTTCTCTGAGAGAAAAGAGTGAATCTAGCTAGCGTTCCATTTTATATCGTCTAATCTGTAAATCTGTTATTTGTCCCTTAAACTTATGCTTAATCTCTCACATATATATCGAACACAAGTGTTAAAATGTCTGACACACAATTTTCAGTCATGACGCACGAATATTTAAGACACGACACACGATTGACACGAGGGCGACGACTGACGAGAACGATCCAGACTATCCGGATTGGTGATTGAAGATTGCAAGAAGTAAGGATTGGACATTGGACCAATCGAGATAAAGCGGACTGATGTTGACTTTTAACTTTATGCGGGGTCTACAATGCGAGTCGTGGATCCGTGGGTCGTAGGAAATGGACCACGCACAATCGAATTTCAGGAGAATAATCGACTGTGCTTGGTCACGTCTTGCGACTCACGACTTGCGACTCGCATACGGTCGTCCCGGGTCCGGCAGCGATTAAGTTTAATTTTCATGAATTCTCCTGTAATTCCAAACGTATTAAATTCCAATAGACAGCAAATTACAGTGCACGTACATACAATGCAAGATAAATAAATAAATAAGGAGACGACTTTGCCATTATTCTCGATCCACTCTACGCATAGGAAATAAACGGATTCGAGATTCCCGGTTAAAGAGACGAGCGAAGGCTCATTGGTCGCGTTCAGCAGACCAAGCCGCTCAGTAGCAGTCGAACGTGATTGGCTCTTACTTTTAGAACCAACCAATCAACGCAGAGTGTTGATAAGACGACACTCAACAGTTGTGTCTGCTGAACGCGGCCATTGTAGTCGGTAGTGGGTTGATTTTAATCGTGCCCTCTCTCTACACTCTTTACAGTCAGTACACTCAGTACAGTCTCTACTCCGAAACTCCGAACTCCGATCCGATTGAGATTGAGGATCGGGTGAATCGGAAGCGCTATTTAGTAACCTTGGATAAAACGTCAGAATTGTCCGGAAAGCATCTGATTCGGGACAGCGCAGGACAGCGCAGGCAGGACATAGGACAGCACTGACAACAGTGTACTTAATTTGACTTGGTTACTTAATTGACGAGGCGATCGTGTATGATCGTATGTCTCTTGGTGCATGTCTTGGAATATTAACGGAGCCCAGCTTTGTGGAGCTAATAATATTAGCGCGTGACACAGTGATGAAGCCGTTGCACTCGTAATCAGTCACGCTTGTTATGCGCTCGTCGAGATATATCATCGTGTTAATCGGGTGTCATCCGAGTCTGATAACCGTAACCTTGAATATATTCACGATCGCGAATCGGCATCGGCATCGGCATCGACGGTAAGGACGGAGAGTCTCAGTCTCGACTCTCGAGAGAGAGAGACAGGAGACAGGAGAGACTCGAGAGCGGTCAGCGCGGCTCGAGCTCGATCCACCGCCACCGCCACCGCCACCGACTCTGCTACTCTGCTTAGTCCGCGCGGAATAGGCGCGAGAGGAAGCTGGTGCTAACCTAAGATGCGAACATCCGTGAACCTTGACGCGCTTATATTACTGGCAATTCATTTGTTGTCCTGCTCCCTCGGCACGGTAGCGGCTAGCGGCGGAGCTCTCGATTCTACCCCAACCTTCCAAACCGGTGCCTCGAGCACTTCACATTCCAAAATAGCAGCCTTCTCCGCCACCCTTACCAATGGATTGGCCCAAGCGGTGGCTCACGAATCTAGTAAGTTACCTCAGACCCTCAGACTCGAACCATTCCAGATCTCTACTCTACTACTCTCGCCAAGAGATATTTATCTCACTCGCCAATGTACACCTGTATGAGCATCTTGTACAGTCTACACGTATCCTGGTTAACTTGTTTCAGATGCTGATACTTGTAACGATGACCTAGCTTGCATCACTATGGCTTCTCACGATCGGTTAGGTTTAGAGGCTATAAAATCTCTCCACAGTCAATTGGACGACGACGCTAATGGAAATGTCGATTTATCTGAATCGGATGACGTAAGGATACTTGTATCGCTTTAGGAACGATCTTTATTTGTATACAAAACATTACAAAGATATACTTTTAACTTTGACAGTTTTTGAGAGAAGAACTACAGTACGAAGCTGGTTATGAACGGAGGCAGAGGGCTTTCCATCACAATGACGACATGCATATTAGCGTACGAGAACTCTGGGAAGCCTGGTTGCGATCAGAGGTACGACTACCAGATATTTTTATCATTCACGTTTTATGCTGTTGTAGATAGCAACATAGATAATCTTTCATTGACATTTGTTTTATATATATATACATAATGATTGTGTATCTTATTGTGATAGGTTCATAATTGGACTATAGAACAAACGTCAGAATGGTTAACTTCCAACGTTGAGCTTCCTCAATATGTTCCTACTTTTATACAACACCGTGTAACTGGTGCTACGCTTCCTCGGTAAGTTTTTTCAGACGTAATGACGGATAACACGATATTCATACTTCCATATTCATCTCGCGATATATGTATATCGTCACAAATGATATTTGAAAACAAAAGTTCTTTAAACAAAAACATTTCATTTATTTTAGATTAGCTGTGAACAATATGCAGTATCTTAGCAATGTTCTGGGTATCAAAGATCCTATCCACAAACAAAAAATTGCTCTAAAGGCAATGGATGTTGTTCTTTTTGGACCCCCCAAAGGTAAGATTTAATATTATGCTCTAGAGTCGCGCGGAGAGATCTATATCTATATTGCATCTAAAACTATACATAATACGTAACAGATGCTGGACACAATGTCAAAGATTTGGTATTGGTTACATTATTATTTGGAGCACTTATTGGTTGCTGGTATGCATATCAACAAAAGAAAAATTCACAAAAGCATCTTCATAGAATGATGAAGGACATGGAAAGTTTGCACAAAGCAGAACTCGCACTGGAAACGTTGCAGGTAACTTCTTTTAAAGATATATTGAAACGTGACCCTAACGAACGTAAAAATGGATATCTTTAACTAGAAAACTTTATTAATCGTGCATTACGTATAATCACGTGCAGAAAGAACTGGAAAGAGCAAGAATGGAACAAGAAAGTGTGGCAACTGAAAAGCAGAATTTGGAAAAACGTTTGCAAGATGAGAGCTTGGGATTACATACTTCGTATTCAGATCTTGAAGTGTCACAGTTGAAAGCGGAAATCGAAGTTAATGCCGTTCTACCTTTATTTTATGCACGTCATGCAACGTAATGTATTTTTATCACGTTATCACGTAATCTTGCAGATGTTGAAATTAGAATTGCAACGTGCTGAGGGTGAACTTGAAGACAGATGCTGGTCACCACCAGCTGGATTGCAGCACTGGCTACAATTGACTCATGAAATTGAAAACAAAGCGTACACGAATAAAAAAATATCAGCTGAAAAACAACTTCAACAAGCACGAGAAGCGGTAAAAAAAACTAATCTTTTTTTTTGTCTGAATCATTTGATGCAGTTAATTCATATATTTGTATTGGATTATCTCGAGGAAATGAACGTACCCACCTACCTAGCACTAACGAACAAACGTTCTTCATTATATTGTAGTGCGAAAAATTGCGAAAGAAACGTTCCAGCCTGGTAGGTGCCTTTGTTTCGACTCATGGAAAGTCTATCGACGAAGTTGATAAGAGCATTGTTGAAGCAAGAACTGCCTTGAACGAAGTAACAAATGAGTTGAAAGAAAGAGTGCATCGTTGGAAGCAGATTGAATTACTCTGCGGTTTCAACATAATTAACAATAATGGTTTAACGTACTTAGAGACAGTTTTATACAGAGGAACACCTAATGGTAGAGGTCTCGGGCTCAGAGGTATCTAATTCCAAATTAAAATAATGTAATATTATTTATTATCGGTGCTTGTGCTGAAAAGATTGTACGTGCAAAAGGAGAAGGATAATGCTCGTAAGATTTTTATGATTTTACGGTTTTGTAAAATTCTAAATGTATGCACGTATTTACAGGACGACTCAGTAGCCAAGATGATTTAGATGATGAGGCAAGTTCAGTGTACGCACCATCGTCAGTCAGTGCAGTCACTGCAGGTAAGCTGGATACGGATTCCAATGAGTACTTAGATTGATGTACCAATGCTCATTTTATTATTATCATCATCGTGGCCTGTTTATATGTCGCGTATACATATACATCGGCCACATGATATTGAACCCTTTTTGACGATAGTTTACTAATGAGTTGAATTCTGTGTTTAATAATAGAGAAAATATTTTTTGTAGCATTGATAACTTTATACCAATAACAGACATATAACATTATAAAATTTCCGTACGTTGTTAACATTGGAATATCGTGTGCCTTAGGCATGTACATTGTAACCATTGTATAATAACGTGGCTAACATGTGCATATGAGGAATGCAGAATGCAATCCACGTTTGCATATGTTATCTGATAAGTGAGAGATTATACAAGAAGTAATAATTAAATAAATGATGCCATTATCGTGCCAATATATGCTAATGTATCGATATTTTGAATATGTGATATGTGATATGGAAAGTAAAAATTAATTTTACGAATACTCATGAATCAGTTAAAATAAGTCAATTAAAAAAGGTGATACATCAAAACAATGCTATAACAAATAAGACGTGAATTATAAGTATAAACGCTTGAAATATGAGAGTTATGAAAGCTACTGTGTCTATGTATCTATCTTGTTTTATGTACAATCGGCTCTTTTATGTTTATCACTTTTTAGGGACTATGTTTTCTTAAGATATAATTTCAACCTTGATGATTTGATTCAGTATTTAATAAATGGCAAAGTGATACATATCTCATGTACATATAAACGTAGTATTTTTACATACTTAATACTATAAAGAAAATTATTAATCGTATAAATTAAAAGAAATTTTTACGCAAAATAACATGACGAATATGATTTTTCTTTAAAATGTTTAATTACATTCCACGTATCTAGCATTATGACAGTATTAGTATTAGATCTGATTGCAACATATACATGACGATAGTGTGAGAATTATTCATTGAAGAACTATTACGTAGAACATTACTTTTATATGGCTACGACACAAAGTAAAATATTAAATTGTACATAATAACAATGTTTCATAAATGTACATAGATACGGATCTTACAATCATGGGCAAAGTTATATTATATATATATGTATATATAATGGAAAAAATCCAGATGTGCAATAATTTTCTATTAAAATACATGAATTCTTGTCAATCTTGATATAAGATATGATGTAGGATCATAAAACCGTCGATAATTAATGTATTATGGGCATTATATATGTAAATAAGATATATATATATATATATACATTTATATACACAATATTTTTAGGATCGATTTTATTATTCGACAATAGTCGACGTGTGTGCAGATTTAAAACAGCTTTGTACTTTGTCTCAAATGTTGTCTTGTTGTCAAATGTGACACCTTGTTATTCCCAAGGGATCAAAAACTATTCAGTTGTAAACGATTAGCACGTAGAATTTAAATTGTTGCTCCTAAAATAATTTTGTAAACCATGTATTGTTCTGCAGTTATCTATTTGTCAAAGAAACGATGCCTTAAAATGTATTCCATATATGTAAATTACAGTGAGTTTTTTGTTTTATAAAGATTACATAACATAATGGCGTTATTTTTCTGTATGAAACATTTAGTACGCGCTATTAATAAATTCAAGCGAGCTTGGAAAAATAAGAACATATGGGCAAACTTATTAATATGACCTATATTGAACTCTAGTACTCCGACTTGTTGCATGTTTTTAATTTCAAAGCCTAGCACACATTAACGTGCTAACATAGTATTAGATAATGGACAGTCAAATTCATCGACCCTCAGCTCTTGTTATTTCTGATGGTTGCAACTTTATAAAGATGATAAAGATTGTGCAGTTTTTTTGTATTTGTAGTTTAGATAAAGACATTTTGAAAAGTGGACTGGTACTAACGTAGGAAACTAACTGATTAAAATTATCTCATAAAGAAAAAATAAGTCTCATTCAAACTTAACATTCTATGCTACATATGGATGATGAATTATGCGAGAAATGATTCTGAATGCAACTGAACGAATCACATTTTGCTCTAGTGCAAGTTTGTACAATATATGACATATACATTTTAATAATTCTAATTTATATCATACATATTTTAATATGGCACAATAGTGTAAAGAAAGACTTTACGGGATGCGAGCATCTCGTGTACGTGTGTCAATGTGTCAAAGCGCTGCACGAGAGAATCAATTTTTCTACTGTATATTTGGCAATGCAAATCGATGCTTTCACTTCTTGCAGCTTTCATTAGTACCATTGTCCTCTTAGCGATAAAGAAAGGAATTTGGACATCATACATCATACACTTGACATATTCGTAGGTATTTTGGAGAATTCAGCGTGGAAGGAATCATCGGTGCCGCCCGGTGGTCGATTTGGAAATGAACTCTCCGATTCTTCGAGCAGCGAAGCGGAGAAAGAAACACATGGGATCGTTCACTTTGTACTAGGTGATGGACCAGAAGAGCCCGCTGGAGTCTCCGGGAAAACTGCGCCGTACAAAGAAAAGTTCAGCATTGTACGTTCTTACAGCCAGGACACAAATATATTGGTCAACGAGGACAAGACTTCTTCGTCGTTTCCGAAAACGTCGTATTCAGAAAATTCACTCGACATCTCGGATAGGTCCAGTTGTCGTCCTGCGACAGCGTTGACGACTGCAATGACGACAATGACAGCGGCGACGATGACAACAACGACAACGACAACGACAACGGGCGCAAAGAAATTGTTTAGAGAATTACCTACAGTAATGTCAGTCGACGATGAGACGCTCTCGACCGATTCCAATTCTACCGCCGACAACGATGAGCTTAAACGAAGGCGCAGGAAGCTCTTTCCAGCCTTTAGAAAGAACAAAACTAAAATTACGTGATGTCCGCTAGTCACATAATCTCATTTGTTACTTACGTGCTATCCGTTATAATTAGTTGTAATCGCGACATGCACTTAAGAATTATTTTACCAGTACGTATTAATTGTTAGCTACTATTATTCACATGACAGACATACACAAACACATACATTCTCTCTATCTCTTTGTTCTTTTTTTTCTTTTCCTTTGCGCGCGTATAAATTCACGGAAATGTAACGATCGTTTAGGATGTTTGTTACCCCGGTGTTCCTTCCACTTTGCCAAACTTGCGTATGCGCAAAATAATAACGAAATATAAGTCAACGGATACACCACGGAAAGACATCCGACCTAGATAAATAGATTTTTAGACGTGCAATATTGAAAAGTTTTAATATTATGGCAATATATATTTTCGGTATGTACTTTTTAGGAGACCAAACGTTCTCCAAGCCGCAAACTTTTATGAAATAAGATTTTTTCACGATGACGTTAGTAATAATAATAATAATAATTATCGTTAGTGTAATCTTTTTTATCGCGATATAATTCCGTAGTTTTAGTCATCGTCTGGATACTGGGCTGGGCACAACGTTAATGTTGAAAGTATACTCTTGTCTTGTCATTCGCTTTTACGTATACGTGTTATGAAGAATGATTAACAAAGATATATGGCAGCAAGCAAGGGTATCCTCGAGTAAAACGTAAAATGATATCAAGTTATTAAAATTATCGTTACGTCTCATACCGTCCATATATACTGGCAATACAAGTGATTTACTTCGGCACTTTGGCAAAGCGAAAACGTTATAATACAAATTTTATACATTTGTACTACATATGTACTCGTAAGTAGATTGAGTGTAAAATACCGTGCAAGATTTTATCAGAAACGCGCGCTTAAAACAATTAATGATAGCGAAATAATTTTTTCCACATCTTGTACAAACATATTCTAACAGACAACAATGGGATTTCCTTGTATTTGAATCCTTGTACGTACATCTTCAACCTGTAGAAATCTTTATGCAAGAATGTACATTCGTTAGATGAATCTTAAAATGAATTAGCTATACAGGTCGCTGCTGTATAGTCGTACAGAATTTTCGGTAAATTTAGACTGTTTCAGAGTGAGCACGTTCAAAGCCCTGTTTCTTTCCATACGTTTTTACTTCAAATCTTGATGCCGCTAGAACGTAATTATATTATATTGTGTACATAGACATACGTGATATATTTTAACATCGTTAATACTTGACCTTCACTTAATGCACTCAGCTCAGAATCAAATAGCTTACAGGATGGCTTACATCATAGCGAGGCTGGGACTCCGTAATTTTAGTACGTTGTTAAAAGATTGTCACTGTTATTTTACGCTCGCGCGAACGCGTAAATACAATTATGTAACTATTTCCCAACATGCTAGATTCGTTTGCAGATGATGTTTTGGCACGTTAGTCTATTTGAATAGTATTTTTATTGAATCTACGTATTCCTTTGCGGTATGCTCAAATATGTTAGTCGCACAATTTCCATCTTCATGATAAAATTGTTTTGAGTGACTTTGGTGAAAAATGTATAAATTTTCTGACCAAGCTGACCACGCATCTCAATTTCAGTATAACGTAACATTCAGAATGTTTTACTTGTAAACACCTTTTTTTCTGATGATTATAACACACTTTACATTAACGCATAACGACAAATAATTCAATAATTGTAATGCTGTATTATTAGTAATTTGCTGGAGCGTCAAACTTGCTCATCTTTATACAGAATTTTATGAACGGAAAAGTTAACAATTTTATCATTATTGCAAGCGAAAAAATATGAGATTGAAATGTGTCAACTTTGTCACAAGCATGGTCGCTAGCTCTCCACAAAATGTTCTTCCTTAGAGATTTTTGAAGCAATGAATTTATATTTGCAAAGGACAGTTTCCAAGGCTATATGTATCTCCATGTTATTTTTGAAATGAATGATAGATTTGACCTTACTACTTATTAAGCAGTATGAGTAAAGTTATATGAGGATTTGATCCGCGCTGCGGATCAAATTTTCGTTAAAGTTGAATATATAAAAATAGACAATTTTGTTAGTATATTCGTATTTAAATTATTATATTCTTGATACAATATTAGGATACCGGTTGCAAATGCCACGCGTCTTCCTCGGAATATAAAAGTGACAAAAATAAATGAACCAAGATTAAAAAATTGCCAAACAAATAATAACAGAACGTAATAAAATAAAAAAGTAGAATTACATTTAAAAAATTGTGTTTCTTTCGTATGGACTTGACGAACGTTGTTTTATAATTTGTCTTATATTCATTTTATTTATATTATTTTACAGACTTTAATAATCAGCCACGCGCCGGCTAAAAAATATTTATTATCAATCGATCACGTTCACAAAGGTTTTATTTGATTTTATTTAACATCACACATGCTATTATCAACTATATTCCTAACAAATCACTCGAGAAAATTCACACGTATCGATTACGTTCGATATTATTAATTAACGTCGTTTATACGAACTTAGATTTTGAAACGTAAATAAAGTGACCTATGCGCAGAGTTTACATTTAATAGCGATAAACGCAACGCCGTCCATACAGTATAAATATGTAATCTGCCGATATACAATAAATAAGCATCTCATCAAGATTCAAATACTGCGCAAGAAGTAAATTGCAATTTGGCTCAAAATCTTATACTTAGGACGATAAGACCGTTGCGATAATTTTTCTACGGATTTATCTATCATATAAGTATTAAGTCATAATATCGTTACATACACACATACATATATGTATGCATGCATACAAAGTTCGATGTACATACACAGCTATCGAATGACTACTGGCTATTGGGACTAGTAGCTAAAATTCTTTGACCCACGATCGGTGTAAATGGTACAGAGTTTAAAAACTCATAATCAGTCTTATAACATAAAAGTACAAATATATAACATATTCATATACATATACGAACGGACGGACTACTTCGTTAGACGTTTATGCACGTAACCGAAATGGATCAGTGTCGCGATTTGACAAATCCGCGTACGTTTTGGCAAAGAACGTTTGACAAGAACGAATGCATTTATTAAATAACGTCGCCCATTACTTCTTAATAATATTTATATTCGTTGGTATAAAGATATTGACATATCTCATTAAGATCTTGGTTAAAATTTTCGTTTAAAATACACAACGTACAAATATAGCAACATTGAATAAAGAATGATAGATATTTGAAACCGTATCGTGACAATTAATATATACTCGTTACGTAACGTCTGGCACGTTTTTGTACGTTTCTACTTCACTTAAGCAACACGTTTTAACATGTACAAAACGCCAAAAATATAAATATACGTACAGCTACATATCCTACGCAGGTATACCAGCGAAGATTGTTAATACTGAATTTGCTCGAAGACGTCGCTCGACGAGAATACACTTAAAACGTGCGACGCATATTACATATGTATAATACATAAAAATATGTATAGTTAGAGATAGAAATATTTAACTTGTATTCGATATATTCTCGTCGTCTTGTTGATCGCTGGTCTCAGCCGCGGAAGGTATCGTGGCGAGTAGCCTAACGGCCAGTCTTCCCGGAGATCCTGGAGGTTCCGGTTCCTGGATGGCGAGTTGACGAGTTAGTCGCGGCTTCGGTCTGATCGGTCTCGGCGTCGTACGCGCGCTACGTTCTAAAGAGGCACTGGATCTCGAGATGCGCCAGGTACTGGTGCTGGCAGTGGTCGCGGAACCAGAAGAGTCGTTACGCGAGGAGCTTAACGTCGAATCCTGCGATGGTTTCCTAGTGATCAGCCAAGAGGAAGTCCTCCGTTTCGGATCTAGCAGTCTGAGCGGAATGCCGCAGTGGTGCGTTTGTCGCCAAGAATCGGATCTGGACGAGGAGAAATTTTCGCTGGACGATACCGACGACGCCCGTTTATGCTGTTTCTGTTGAATCTGGGCGATCTGGTAGGCGTACTGATCGTTACGCGCGTGCCGTGGTCGGGAGTCGCGCGTACACGGCCAGAACATTCCGGCGCTCCACCAACGGTAAGATGAGCAACGGCTTCCAGTTTCCAGGAGTCTCGATGAGTTACAAGCGCAGGGTGTTTGAAGTCCCTGGTTCTCTCGCGACGATCGATCGACGAGACTGTTGGTATTGGCGGGTGTCTGCCGATTGCTAAAATTCGAACTATGTCGGCACCTACCGATACCTCGAGTTACACGTGACTCCTCGATCGCTTTGCATATCAACACGCAATCCTTCTTGAATTGTTTCGTAAGGATCGCATATAGAAAAGGATTGCAACAAGAGTTGAGCGGTAGCACGAATACCGCGAAAACTTTCGCTTGCTCCAGAGACACCAACTGCAGTCCGAAGGTCGCCGTGAGAGAGAAGAAGGCTATCGGTGACCAGCAGAGAAAATCGGTGAAGACGAGTAATGCCATTCTCTTCGCTATGCGAGAATCGTTGGAATTCCACGCCTGGGAGCCTCGTATCGCGCAGTACATCTTCAAGTAGCATCCCATTAATATCAGAAAAGCTACTCCGTTAATGAGCATGAGAAATACTACGTACGCGAGTGCCGCGTTGCCATTAGTTTCGAACGGTAAGCAAATAGCGAATTTTCTATAGTCCGAAACTCCCACGAGCGGCAGACTCGCCATAGACAAAGCGAAGCACCATCCTATCGTCATAATATAGCCTGCGTGCTTCAGCGAAAGCCGCTTGTTCAGATGCATCGCGTGCGTTATCGCGTAATTCCTCTCCAAAGTGATCACAGCAAGGGTGTACACGCTCAGTTCAGAGCTGAGGACTCCCAGAAAGCCAGCTAATTGACATCCGGCCGACATTTGCCACGGTATTGCGTACCGTCGAAATTCTCCTAATGTCGATGCATCAACAACAGCCAATAAACCTAAAATATACATCGTTCGTCGAATAAAGATCTCGAATAAAAGAAGTCGAATAAAAGAAGAGGTAGAATCTTTCACAAGTTAGTACAGCCACGGTGTAGATGCACGACGAACGTTAATATGAAATATGAGAGAAACGTACCTAGATAAATACCCATGAAAAAATCGGCAGCGGCTAAATTGCAGACTAAAAATCGTGGCACATCCATCTTGCTTCTCGAGAATATTAAGACAAACACTACAATGCCATTCCCGAGCATGGCAAGGAGGAAGACTATCCATACGCCGCATCGTAAAGTCCACCAGTCGAATAAATCTTGGCACGGTAGGAAAGGACCTGAAACGTTCACATTTCATAAATGTTTATTTATTTTAAATCGAAATGTTTAACATCGTCGTCGAGCATTCTATGCATTTCGAGTCATCGTCGACTCTCTAACATACCAGGTTGCGGCAAGCATTGAATTCGAGAGGGTGCAGTTCGACCTGTCGATGTCGTCCGACCGTTTAGATTCTCGAAATAATCTTCTACGTAGGAAGCCAGGTTTCCGGGATAGGTAAAGTCTGAACCAAAGTTAGCCAAAAGTTCATTTATCTGCGATCCGAATTTGTCGGTCAAATTATCTGTAAAGAAGAAAAATAACGTTATTACGTCGGTGCCGTAAAGAGTAAAGATCACGGATAAAATATGATGCTATATGATAGACGAGTGATGAAAATATTTGCTCTTTACATGCCTATATACGCAATAATCTCGTAAGACTATGCAGACTTTCAACAACTAAACTCGCGGTAAATGCTTTACAGCACGTAAGTATTACTTAAATAAAACATGATAAGCACTTAAAATATATACGTAAATATAAAATGAATAAAAAGTTAATGTATGAAAAAGGAGAGAGCATAGAGAAGACAGTTACTTACCCACGTGTGGCCAGATATCGCTAAATGTCGAATTCCACAAACTAGTATCAAAATCGTCAGTGGGAAACAAAATCGATTCCTGCACCGGCGATTTTGTGGCAGATTCCTCTACTTCGAGCGAGAGAAACGCGCAGCAGTGATAAGCGTATGACAGCAACATTGTTTGTACTCGTGGAAATCTTTCAGGAGATGGGAATTCTCGCAATGCAGGATTATTAAACGTCTTAAGATGCAATAATCCTGCAAGACCTCTTATCGGCAGTGTAGGGAAAACATTATTTCCTAAATTTCTATAAATAAATATCTGTATCTTACGTACGTTCAAATCGAAATTCAAATTTGTAAAAAGTATGAGACTTTACTTAGACAACGCAACGTATGCAAATGCACTTACAAGTCTTGCAACCGTTTCGTTTCTCTGAATGCATCGGGATGTATATATTCGATATAATTATTCTCCAAGTCTCTAAAATGTGATTAACGTGAATAATAGAACGTATTAGAAATACGTAAAATCAGAGTAACTTGAGCTTAAGCTTTGCACTCACAAAACTTGGAGTCTAGGTAATCCGGTAAACGCGTCACTGGAAATGCTCTGCAAGTTATTGTTGGACAAGAGAAGATCGTGCAGCATATTCAAACCTTTAAAGGTATCGTCAGGTAACGTAGAAATCATATTACTAGCTAAATCCCTAAAAAAAACATAAGATTTGCATACACTGTCTTCGATATTCAATGCTTCATATACATATATAATATATTGCATAATGTATTTACGTATTACGTTATTACATACTTACAAAACGCGAAGTTCCGTACAGTTCCGTAAATTTGGTATCTCTGTCAGAGAATTGGATTTCATGTCGCTGAAAAACAGATAGAAAAATGTATTGTCAAAAGGAGTAATAATTATTACAATAATAACTGTTACGAAAAGATTTTTCCTATTAAATAATTTCGATTAAACTTACAGACTTTTAAGTTTCGGACACAGCCGGCAAAGATTAGGAGGAACCTCCTTCAACTGGGAACGATCTAATCTCAATACTTCCAAAGATGCTACTCCATTTAGATTGGGAAAAAGCCGCACGTCCTTCACGTTTGACAATATTCTATAATCAATAGAAAAATGTAGCGCTATACTTTGTTTATTTATCGAATAAATTTTTTATCCTGTAAGCTAATCTCCGGCGTGCGATCGGTGCGCGGATAGACTGCGATATACGTGAAAATAAATTACTTACAACTTACGAAGTTTGCCAAGCGTCTGGAAGGTTTCGTCGTGTATCTCCTTGATAGGATTTCCGCGTAAATCGAGCGACAGCAACGTACTAGCGTGGCGTAACGCATCTTTCGTGAGTCGTTCTATTTTGTTATTCGATATAGATCTAGAGAGATACATGAAAAACTCATGAAAGTGCGTCGCACTCGGATAACGCGAGAGATATTTCAACGAGAAACGTGATGGGTATATATATATTTTATAGACGAACAGGCACCACGTTAATAGGTACTTACAATTCTTCGAGACTAGGTAGATTTATAGCAGCAGCCGGTATCTCGGTTAAATAATTTTCATCGAGTTCCCTGAAGATGAAGGAGAAATGAAAGATATCGTGTTACGGATACGGATATACGGACTTGTTATAATACGTTTCATATACGTACAATATACGAAGATTCGCTAAGTTTATAAACGCGTCATCATGAATGGCACGTAGATGATTACGTCGCAGAAATCTAAAAATAAAGATATATATGTGTAACGCAAAAAACTACTTCAGATTCCACGTGATATTTTCTGATTTCTCTCGTTATCGTCATCTCACGATCATTACGCGTGTATGCATACTTACAAAATTTCGAGATTGGGAAATCGATGGAAAGCACGTGGTGGAATGTCCGTTATATTGTTGTTAGTCAAATCGCTGAAACAGTCATGAACGTATTCTATAAACGTACCACAACGTGGAAATATATTTATGCATAGTAAGTACGATATAAGATATTATTATAACAGGGTGTCTAGATAAAAAAGGACAAAAAATGTCATGGAAGTCATGGACGTTTGTGACTTTTCTGGACGTTCGTTAACGTCTTAAAAAATGACCGTTTCTGTCCTTTTTTATCTAAAGAAATGTATAGCGGTCATGGAACGCTTCCAGGTTTCCATGACCGCTAGACACCCGGTTACGAAAGATACAATATGAGCACACAAAGTATTTCTCACTGCACATTTCGACCGTGGTTGTAACTTTTTGTTCAAACATACATATGTAACAAGATTTGCGGAAGGCGAAAATGTTAGCGGGCAAAGGGTCTCTGCGAGCGCGATGTCTTCTAAAAATACGTCTTTCGTCGAGAAATGATTGCGAGAGATCGTTGCACTCGTAACGTACGGACGTGTGTTCGCGCTAGAGCGAGATACAACAGGTCTGCAAGAAAAAGGATCTAGGATAGTACGTCCATCTTCTCGGTTAAAGTAAAACTAGTTAAAGCCACATTAGAGAGAATACGTAAACGTTATATAAGGGGGGCTCGCGACACGTTCACCAGCTTGCAACTTGTCGAAATCAGGATGAAACGTCGGTTAAGAATGGCTTTTACAGGCACAAGTAGCCTGATAAAACTAGGAACAGGACAATACTGAGAAAACTGGCGACGCGACACTTTTATTCTTGTGTCGCGTGAGTGTGACGCGAGAAGATCACATCAGACCGAGGGTTGCGTGGCGTTTGGCCCATTTTTATGAGTCCTTCGACCTCCTTTGCTCAGGATGGATCGATGTCTACTTATCCGCTTACCGAAAGGGGCAGCGAAGAGACAGAGCGCGGCATTCTATATATAACAAAATAAAGAGAGAAAAGTTGTTTAGCACAACGCAAAATGTTTCGTCACATTGACGTTGAGCGCGTAGTTAAAAGAAAGAAAATGTGTGCCTTATATAGGGTACATAATAAGATTATATTGTCGACAACTTACTTCGTGTTAACTTGTTATTACATAAACATAAAATAAAAAGAATAAAAAATAGATGACGAGAATATCGGGAACACGAAAATCTAATGAAATCTAATGTGTCCGTGTTGAGCGTCATTTGCCCGACATATTTACTCGCACGCTGCAACCGCACTATATCCATGAACTTGACTGACTTGGTGTGTATGCATGGCATAAACATATATTATATACATACGTATATAATGAAGAACGTTCTTTTTCTTTTCCATTACTTCACTGAGAAAAAAATGTTGTTAATTTGACTAAACTTGTTTAGTTGTAGTGATTTGTTTAATGCAAATATTAATATATTTAAATCAAATATACGTGAGTAATATCAAGAAATTCTGAATCTATTTAAATATAATATTTTTTGAATTAACAAATGTTAGCTTGACAGCCCGTGACCGCTGCATTTAGTTGAATCAAATAATATTTCTTTGAATCAACGATTTTTTTTTCTCAGTGTTGTAATCTCTTACTCGGTATTTTTCGCAAAATTTTAACACTTTACGCGTTTAATACTCTTAACACGCTCATTTTTAAACCGTGACGAACATTTACGTTAACTCGAGTTTCGATAGAAACGTGGAACGAATACGCGTCAGTCGCTCGCGCGGCACACCGTGTGTCAGTGAGAGCGTACAGTACGCAGTATTTTTCCTCTCGTCCATTCGTCTTAAAATAGAAAAAGCAGCGGTGCCTTACGCCTTACGATATTTTGACGCACGCTTTTTTCCAAGTTCCAAGTTCCACGGGAACTTTCTCGGCGCGCTTCGGCACGAACCGTGGGTTCTACGTACGCTTTCGGGATCATGCGTCCGTTACAGGCGGACCTTTGAAAACTTTCGATATTTCATACTCAAGATTCAAGGACAGCTTGACGTTACCGCAGTCTTTGTACTCTTGAGGTATTCGGGAATATCATATATCTGCAATATACGTATAGTATATCATACAGACGTATTTAAAAAAAATCTCCGTCATCGCGTTATGGATAAAAGCCGTATACTGAATACTGACGGCGAAGCCGTACTTTCCAAAACTTGTTCGATACTTGAGCTTTCGTACCGATATATGCGACGACGAGCACACGGTCGAGAATAGTGCTTATAACGCTCGGTTGCTTTTAACTTTTAACAAGTTCGGGAATGGACGTATTTTCGCAATAGATGTCACGGTCTAGGACATGACATTACATTACAGTCGGGATGCTACTGCATTAACGAGAGAGAGACCAGCACGAAAAAATTTATTAATAACGTCCGTTACACGCACCCCGAGACTGCGTGCGAGAGAAGCGCCGCGGCGCTTCGCACGAACACACAGTCAAGGTATTACATCTAATATCTTTTTTCCTTTTTCCTTTTTCGTTTTTATCTTCAGTCAGAAAGGGGCCGGAGACAACCACTCGAAGCCGGCGTGTTACTTCTCGAGGAGGCAAGCGACGACGTCGTGCGGATCGCGTCGCAGAACGCTTTATATAGGTATACAAGTTTCGATAAAGGCGAAAGTAAAGTGCTACTTTTTACTTAACAGAACCGGACACACCGGTAGATTAGAGCTCATTAGACATTAGACATTAGACACGTAGACGATAACGCGGTACGTGCGAGCCACGAGGAACTCGCGTTCGACGAACGAGCAAGATATCGAGAACGACTATAATAAAACAAGTTTTGCTCGTTCCCTTGATCTTCGCGTTAACGCACGATCACGCGCCATAGAATATCGACACGCGTCTGTCCGTTCCGTTCGGCGGTATGTAGGTCGCGCGCATCGTGTGGGGTACGTATTAAAAAAAGTATGGCGTTACTCCTTTTATCTTTTCTATCGCCCGATCGAAGAGCGTACTTTCGCATAGGACAGACTGGACAGACCACGCGCGGTTCGTGCGGTTGGCAAGGTTGGAGAAGAAATCTGAACTGAAAGAAACACGCGTCGAAGATTTATAGTTCGTTGCATGTTCGAAGCGCGCGAAGCATCGCTCGTCCATAAACGTCTCGTTTATCTCGTTTACCGCGAAATGCACGCGGACGATAATAATTAAAAGCCAGGACTGCCAGGAGCCAGAACACGTTTTGTTCAGCTGCGTAGACACGACGGGCCATGGGCCGGGGGCCGCGGGCCCCTACTGCATTCCGCAACTCTGCAAGGCCTAGACGCGTATGTAGGGCGCGCGATGACGATCGCGCCCGTTACGTTTACCTTCTATGCTGCACGTGCAAAGACGACGTTACGCAACGCTATAATCGCTAACACATTTACGTGAAGGGTCTCTTATTTTTTTCTCCAATATATATATGCGCAGTCCAACAACGAACGACGTGTGTGCTTATATTTTTCTTTTCGAAAGTAAAATACCGCGAGATTCGAATGCCGTGGTTATTGTTATTACTGTTATCAGTTTATTTTCTAACAAAAAAAATGTGCACGGCGCGAAATCATAGAGACGTCGAGATGTAAAAAATCAGAGACGGAGACGCGAGAGCTCATCAGCCCATCTCAACGTAAGCGCCTCAACGCCGCGGCGCCGTGCGCTACGAGCAGCTACGAGAGCGTCGATCCTCTCCGCTACGCTGTCCAACTCCAACTCCAACTCCACGTCAGCGTCAGCCGTGACGCCTCCACGCTCCCAGCTCCCACAGGGGTCGAGCGTGTTGTGAGCGCACGGCGCACAGCGCACAGCGCAAAGCGCGCGCGAGTGACGAGTGACGAGTCGTAAGGTACATAATGTACTCTGTACTCACATCCTCGTAACGTTAACAGGAACACGGGCTTTCAACAAGTCAACATCGTCGATAAGCTGAACGGAGAGCAGCGCGGTGCCACGGCACAGCAGCTCCCGTCCATCGGCGACAACGTTACACGGGCCTGGGCCGCCCGGTCCACCGCTCCGACAGCAGCAGACTCGCCAGAAAAGGATGATCGCCAAGATGACCGGTATCCCGCTCCGACGAGACCGCGTGCACATACCGATACCGGCCGACCCTGTCCCCTGTGCAGTGTGCGTGTCCGTAACTGCCGCCGCACGGTCCGCGCCTTATATTCACTTTCGCAGCTCTCTTTTTTCCGCCGCGCGCCGCGCCCAGGATACAGCCGACACGGGACACAGCCACAGGACAAGTCACCTCGACCTCACCGACCTCACCATCCTCTCCCGCGCCGCCGTCCTTCGACTTGGACATCCGCACGTCCGCGGTCCACGTCCGGGCACGCGTGCACGCGCGCGACCATCAACATCAACGCGAGCGTCGCGAGCACCCCCATAAGGAGCCGTCGCCGTCGCCGCCACCACTGCCACCCCACCGGCCACCGGCGCGGGCGCGAGCGCGAGCGCGAGCGCGAGCGCCCACCACCACCACTATCAGTCTATCACTGCAGCCGCCACCGTCACCGTCCTTTATCCCTCTTATCACCGCGATCGCTGCCGCGCCTCGGGAAAAGAGAGATCAGTCAACAAGACGACACTGACCGCTGACCACTGCCTACGTATATGTAGTTGGAAACGTGCTATCTCCAGCTCCGAAAAGAGCGAGAAAGAAAGAGAGACAGACCCCGCCGTTCGCTCCGCGGTACATTCACCAACTGAGTACTCAAATACTGAACTGATCCGATATATTACGCGCGCCGCGCGGTGCCTACCTCACTACCTGCCTACACGGATTGACACGGATTTCGTATTCGTATATCGTGCATCGTGCATCCCCCCTACTCATCTCGCCAATCTCACCATCCCGTCTCCCGTCATTCCCGTCCCCCAACACCCAGTACACCCACCCTGAATCTGAATCACTCGACTTTCTCGACTCTGATCTTGCCTTGCGCGATATGCGACTATTGCCGCAGAAAAAAAAAAAAGCTCCGGTGGAGAGCTATTCGGTTGTACATACATATATACTCGATCGAATATAGCTACCTGACCGGATAAGTTCGCGATAAGCTATAGCTTCGCGCTGAAAATGGAACCGCGGTACACATATATGTAACATACGCCTCATCTTCATATTTTTCCCATCGTATTCTTGCGGTCGATATTCCTTTTCGGCCAGTCTCCATTCTCTCCATCCTCAGGCACAGATCTTCAGGACTCAGGATTGTTCAAGCATCTCACGTTATTCTTTTTACTTCTTCACCGCAACCATACTGACGTATATTACATGTGTAAATAATAATATGAGAAAGTCTTACACATAGAGGCACAAAAGTCAACATTTTTTTGGAAACGGTGCAGCTGTTTCTTAGATAAAAAACGTGTAGTACGTAAAGTAACAGTTTAAACGGGAAGAGTACCTACGTATACTGCATTGCGTTCAATATCGAGCAGTTCTTTTTAGAATCATCAAACCAACACCTTTCAAAACCACCAAAAGTTATATTTACGTAAGCAACTCTCGCGGAAACGCATACGTTTGATATTAATAAAAAAAAGAATAAAGGAGATTAACTTTCAAGTTTTTACGTTTAATAAATGACTCCGTCCTTACGTTTTTGCCGTCTCCTCATATACGTTTATCTGTGTTACGCTATGCTTACATCGACGCTATCTGTGAGAATACCTATTATAAATATATATTTTTAATTTTTAATAATCTTTCGATGAACGCGCGCGCGTATTTATTATTATCGATCAAGCGGGTAACGCAGATCGGTTAGGTCGGTAAGTCAGACTACTACTACGACCCAGCGACGTAAAACGTTTTCACTCCAACTTACTGCGTGCACCAGTGTGCACTAGTTCAGCTCAGCAGTGCAGCATCGAAGCAGATATGTTTATGTTGATTTGTTTACGTTGTTTACGGTTATCGTCTACGCATATACACAAGTCCTGTCTTCTTGAGCTATTTTTCTTACGTAAACAACATTAACGTAAAATCCTTCTATTAGTAACTAAATACACGTAACGCCAACCGTTCCGTTTGTCGTGTTCCTAGACGTCTAACCTAGAAAACGACGAAATGTGAACGTGTAATTGTTTTGACGCGTGTCTATTTTTTGCATTTGTGCCCAACGTTCATCTTCTCTCAACTCTCAACAGACGTGCGTTAGTTTTTTTTTTTTTTTTTTTTTTTTTTTACAAAAATCACGTGTTAGATAACGTGATGACGTCGATGGGAATTGTTTCTAAACTGCGACAGCTCTAACAAGTTCTCTGACGGTGGATGTGGGTGTGGTGTGGAGTGTGGAGGCTTGCCACTTCCCTGCCTGCACAGAATCAGATTCAACGTTATCTGCTTTTAAACAAAACTTGCGTCTATGCAGAGAAAAAAAGCGAAATAAAAATACATGCTCTTTATTCGCTGCACTTTCCTTGTATCTTTCAGCCGTACGTGTGTATGTGTACAGACGTAAGAGTTTTAGCTTTTAAATAATACTCACAGGGTGGAGAGCGCGTATTTTTATATCTCTTTTTTTTTTCATATGTAAAAGTAGGACGCTCTATCCAACGTGGTTTTATATTAATAAAATATTGTTTTCCTCTTCACGTACAGTAACTACGTAAGATACATAAATAAATATTCTGATCAAGCGTACTCTTGCCTCACAACTTTAATCAACACATCGTGTTTCGTATTCTTTGTGTAAATCTCAAGTATAGTATCATCCATATTACGTTTTAATCTCTGTGAACCGTGTATCTTTAAAGGAAAGCTCAAACTCTTTTCGCTGGGCAACATTTCTTTTACGGGAACAACACTGAAATAATCTGACGTTGACAGACTGGTCCAGAACGGCTCGGCTGCTTTGAAAAAGCTAACGGTCACGGTTGCGGGTTGCTTCATTATGTACCGGAGGGAGTACGAATGGTAGACGGACGTACAGAAAATTGATCTTGTACGTCAGGATGTTGGCGTTCGTCTTCTATCGTAGCTCTGCAAAATATTTTTTTGACAAAAAATCTCTAATTATAAGTCGAACGTTCCCTAAAAGCCTAAAAAAAATAAGAAAGAAATATATACATATACATATTAGAAGAAATACACATACAAATGAATAAAAAGTCTCTTACTGAGAAATCAGACTCCACCCGCTTCGTCTACACGAATAGTGTCGCTTGTTACAGATATCTCCGCGTCAGCAGTATCGTGAACAGGTAAAGTATCATCCGTGCATGCTTCCACTGTGAGCATTATCTCAGATTGATGAACGCCGCTGCACAGATCGCTTAGATTTTGCTATTTAAATATACGTTGTCATTATTACGTAAACAATAATGAGACTAGAGACTAAATACGTGTATACACTTACAATAGAATCGCCAAGTGACGCTATGCCAGGAACTAGTTGCTCCCCAGGAAAACTTTTACATATGGGAAACACAATAGAAATGACGTCCTCATTTTCATTTTTAGTCAGTTCATCTGGCTTTATTTTGTCACACACACTGAGAAAAAAATATACGTTTGCCAGCGACGAAACGTAACGCCAATAAATATCTGTTTCAATATTTAGTGTATCTTTTACCTGCGTATTCGCCAGCGGGTCGGTTCATCACCATAGGTGATGTTTATCGTTGCGATGTGCGAGACTTCCGAATGTTGCACGAACGCAAAGTCTTCTTTCTTCGGATGAAACTGTATTGCTATTTGCTGAGATTCTTTAGCATTAAGTATCACTTCCTTCGGATTTATATGCCAACTGGAGTTTGTTGAAAAAGTAACTAAAATAAATGCGTTTATCTGGTTTATCTCTGTATAAGTACACATTATTCGTGTAAATATGTACGGCGTAAAGAGAGAGAATCGAGGGCGTACGTTACATAAATTTATATAAACCTTTTGGTATAACTGTGATCTTGGCGAATGAACGTAAGTCACCAACATTATCCAATCTAATATTTGCGCTCAAAGTAGTTTCAGAATACAACGTGCCAAGTGACAACCACATATTTCCATTCAAATCTTTAAATGTACCCGCGATTTTTACTTTGCTGCAGCCACCGTATCCATACAGAGGTATCTGTCAATTTAACGTGTAAATATTCCTTCTTCTTGTTAAAAAATAAATTTAAAAATATTTAGCAGTAGCATTAAATACACGCACTTTTGTGTACTGTTGAGATTGAGGATCACTACTTTCTTTCGTATAATGTTTGATGGTAATTTTTCCAACTACTGGGCCTACGCAATGCGGATTGAACGCGACTGCAAGTGTCTTAATTTCTTGATGTCGCATTGTCAATACCATGCTTGTGTTGATAGTTTGTTTATCTCCAATAAACTATAATGTAGATATTTATTGATATAACGTCCATAAACTCTTTTTCTAGATAACACTACATATACGTGTGTGTGTGTGTGTGTGTGTGTGTGAGCGCGCGCGCGCGCACACACAGTATAGGTATATGATATACAGTACCTTAAAACTCTTATTGTCGTCACATATGTCTATTTGAATTTCAATCTTGTTATTGCTCGTATTGTGAATCGTAAATTCTTTAATCTCACTTTTTCCTGTTTTGACACTATTCCATGCTAGGGCAGCGTGTGTAACTCTAATCGGATGTGTATTTTTTGTTACAGCTATACCGGATACCATACTGCGTGCAGGTGATTTTTTATTGCAAGGTCCAGATCTATATATAGAGATTCGTGCTTATTATTATAATAATGATTATTACATGTGTATTATGTTAAAATATACAAGGTTTTATTGAAAAAAAAATAAAAAAACATATACTTTATCTCAAAGTTTTATTAAAGATAAACTTAAAGCGTATACTTTTGTATAAAAAAATTATACTAGATATCTTACATCTTATATTACGTTTAGAGTACGCAACGCAACATTTGGAACATTTTTATAACAAAACTGTTTTCACACTACATTACATGTAATAGCATTTTACATTTGTCACATAAACATTTATATCTCCAATGCAAATTTTAAGTATGGCTTCGGTTAAAATTGAACATAGAATAATCACGTGAGAAACTACAACTTATAGGTGAAACCAACGTGTAACAGCGTACAACAAAAACAATGGACGTTAATTAAAAAAGAATATCTGAAAAGAGAAACGAAAGATCTTATTACTGTACGTGCTCCAGTGGTGCTGTGAGGTCGTGAAATATTTTGTTTCGCCTTATACTGCGTTCCGGCTCTTCCATCCTTTGCAAAGAAAGAGCAATAAATTTTGCAAAAGCGTGTTCTACAGATGCAGAACCAACATCAAACTGCTGCTGCTGCTGCTCATTATTTTTTTTTGAGGTAGCACTTTGTTTTAATATTTTGGATGGCGTTTGATCGTACAGATTTTTAGTCAAGTCGTCTCCGATATTATTTGGACGTGGTAAAATTTTTTTATAAGTTCTTTTATTCAAATTTATACTTTCTGTGACATTTGTTTCTGGACATTTAGTTGCATTCTTATCAAATGAAAAAGCAGGTATTCTTCCATTATTTTTTTTCATGCTTGTCAGAGTTCTATAAAAAATTAAAGAAAATTAAATCACGTAGAGAAATAGTGTGTATTGATTTAGATATTTCTATATAAAAGATTTTGCACGCACGCACACGCACGCGCATATACAAAAGATAGTAACCGTCTTCTTTGAATGTACCCATCTAGAAAGGACAATTCAGATAAAAGTGCAGATTTCTTTTTGCTACAAGCTATACTTCCGCTTTTCAACGTTTGTTCTTTTTTTAACCTCACATATTGCTCTCTCAAATTTGTCAACCTCCTTTTACAATATTCAGCCGTATAAAACGTTCCTGGAAAATCATATATTAATCAAATCACCATTTTATATAAATACACGTGATAGAGATTTAAAAAAAGTGATACTATTATATTGGTACGATACTATTATAAAAATAGCATTTTCTCTATTTACGTGGAGGGGTAAAAGCCATAGTGGTGTAAGTCAAATTTTTTAAAATATTGACTCGTGTACATAAATACAATCTATACAATATATAACGTGCATTTAAGCACGTGCATATTTTAAAAAATTTGCCTTACACCACTACTATGGCTTTTACCCCTCCACGTGTAATGTTGCAAAAATGATTTATATTCAGATATTCACCAAGGTTCTTATCTCTCATGATTGATGAAATCTCCTTCCAGGCATTACTTTTTAATTCATTGTCTTTAAAGTCTGGATGACTCTTATCATACAAAAATCTTCTTTCTCTATATAATTCAACAAGGTACGTATCATCCACTTTTTCTAGGACATCGGCGTTGTTAACAGTTGCATTTGCCATATCTACTTTGTATATAATATGTTCTTTTAACATCACATTTGTCACATCTCGGTTAAACGTGGCTATATCGACGATTTTATACTGGCTGTACTCATGATCCATATTTAAAGAAACATATTGTTGTATCTTTATTGTTATCCTCAAAAAGACTAATAATGTAATGTTGACGTATCTGAAAGATTATTATGTTAGATGTATATACAATATAGAGAGAAAAATAATTGAGTAAACAAAATATCATTGATAGAACATTATTGCAAGCAAAGACAAATCCAGGTTAAGATTTAATCGACATTAGTGAAATCAGGCATAAATGCAAAGAGAACCAGAAGAAGAAGAAGAAAGAAAAAGAGAACGTAGTCGCAAGTAGAATGAACTAATAACATATCTTATTATTTGTCAAGTAGATTGAATATGCATGTTAGTCAATTAATATATTTAAATGTTAGTTATGTTAGTTAATTAATATATTTAAAACTTTCATACATATTTTCGCAGGATTAATAGGCCTTTCGAAAGAAGTAAATCTCGCTTTCGGTCACCGCCGACACGTGACACTGAACTTGTTTAAATCTTCTTGACCAAAGCTTTTTATCAAACTCTTCCGTCGTAAAACGATTTGTAAATGTACATACACGTCGTCCCCCGGTACCTATCTCCGTCGGTCTGCCTATATATACGTCATTCAAATAACGTTACGTCCCTTTTTATAATCTCATTCATTTAAATTTCAAACTCATTAAACGATAGCACAATAAACACTCACTACATATAATATATATTTTCCGTAATCAAGAACGGCTACGTAGTATACGTGTATACGTTGTACAATGGGATGAGTACCATCTGCATTAGATAAAAACAATTTCGTAGACTGTATGCGGCTGTGCACTTCTGTAGGCATCAACAATCGTAGGCCGCTCCGCACAAGAACTGACAATTAAGAACTTCCGTGTTCCGTCCGCGTCCGTAAGCTTAAACTTCAGTCCACTTCAGTCGTTCAGTCACGGTGGTCACGCATAAAGAAATCCATATCCGTCAGGGTCGTGCCGTGAGACGTATGGTATTTTCCCACGTAACGGCGTAACGGATAACCACGTAACCAACTTGTAACCAATCACAAACGTGAATTCGTCATGGGTAGCGACTGTGTTTTTACACGACTTGAAGGGTTCTGTTCGGGGCTGCTAGGTAAGCGCAACAGTCGAACTCGAATATGCGTAACAGAAAATGCGAAACGCTCTCTCTTCTGATTGGTTACGCGGAAAATACGTACCATGGAATGTTACCCTAGCCCTATTGTTGTTCATCGAGTGTAACAAGGATAAATGATGCGTGAAATGGAAAGTAGCCCGCGATATCGGGCTCACGTCTTGAATTCATTCGCAAGAGAAACGTATGCGCAAATGTTGTTCTTACAGAAAAGTTGCACAAGTCGATTGGCTATCGCATGGCTTCGTTTCTGTGATTGGTCGCGTTCCCACGACTCGCATTGTAGACCCAGCATAACAGAACAGACTTTACAAACTATAGACTATAGACACCTATAGTGCCGACACTGCCGACCTGCCGACTGCCGAGAGTGCCGAGTGTCAAGTGGTGTCAAGAGAATGTCGAGTCAGTCGAGTCTGACAAGAACATGTCTTCTGTCTTCGTTTATGTCGCGTTAAATTTTCCAGCGAGGCTAAAACAAGTTATTCGTCACGTGTAATGTGTTAATCCTGGCCGTGTCGAGCCCATCGGTGTCGGTGCCACGGTGCCACGGTGCCACGGTGCCACATAACCCACATGACAGAAGAAGAAGTCTATTGTACGTTGTAGTGCCATATGAAGAAAATATCGCGTCAAAATGAAAACCGCATTGATGGTGGCTGAAAAACCTTCTTTGGCAGCATCCCTGGCCAATATATTGAGTAATGGACGATGTAGTACCAGAAAAGGTGCGTTGCTAACTTGACGTCAAGTGACGTGCTCCCTCCTCTATAATAATAAATTTTTTGTTCGAATGTCTCTAGGACTGAACGGCTCTTGTTCCGTTCACGAATGGGTAGGTCAATTTAGATCCGAGACCGTAAATTTTAAAATGACCTCTGTATGTGGACACGTTATGACGTTGGACTTTATTGGAAAATACAACAACTGGGACAAAGTAGATCCGGTAAAATTAAATTATATTGCATTTTTTGTTTTTTATTATGTATAGAATAATTGAATTTTTTGTTTATCTATATCTCAGGCTGAATTGTTCTCATGTTCAACTGAGAAAAAGGAAGCGGTACCGAAACTGAAAATACCATACTTTTTGGCCAAAGAAGGAGCGTCGTGTGATTATTTAGTATTATGGCTGGATTGCGACAAGGAAGGTGAAAATATTTGCTTTGAAGTTATAAATGCAGTGCAGCAAGGAATGCACAGAAAATTACACATAAATGTGAGTTGCTTGTACACTAACATACTTGTAGATATTGAAGCTATTGATTCTTTTTGTTTTTCTATGATGGCGTGCTGCGTATGATTTAAATATGTTTTTATTAAACAGCTTTCTCTTTCCGATAGGATATATGGCGAGCACGATTCTCTGCCATTACGGAGAAAGATATAAAATCTGCTTTGGCTAATCTGATAAAGCCCAATGAAAATGAAGCCAAAAGCGTTGATGCACGTCAGGAGTTAGATTTACGAATAGGCTGTGCATTTACCAGATATCAAACTAAATTTTTTCAAGTATGGCACTACTGTCTTTGCATTGTATTCGCGTTATGAAATTTAAATATCACGATATGAATAAGTTATTATACTTTCAGGGTAAATATGGAGATTTAGATGTATCTCTCATTTCTTATGGTCCGTGCCAAACGCCAACGTTAGGTTTCTGTGTACAGAGACACGACGAAATTCAAACCTTTAAGCCAGATCCATATTGGGTACTGCAAGTATGTATCTATATACGTGTGTTTTATCTCGAAATGCTTATATATTATATAACATTTTGATTTGAGATTCTCCATTCTTCTTTTTTATTTGTGATTGTCTATAACGATGTTTTTTTTTTTTTTTATTATTATTTTTAGGTAACCGTCAAGTCTTCCGATGGTCAAGATATTGTATTAAGTTGGACGCGTGTGCGTTCTTTTGACAAAGAAGTCGCAACCATGTTTTTAAGCCACGTTAAAGAACACGATCAAGCAACGTGAGTTGTGTTTTGCATATTTAAGAATCTTATCACGTTGAAAAGATTACAGCATTTAAAGTAAATTTTTGTATAGCGTAGTGAGTGTGCAAAGCACAGAAAAATCCAAATCGCGACCTATAGCATTAAATACAGTAGAATTGATGCGAGTTGCAAGTTCTGGATTGGGAATGGGTCCACAACATGCTATGCAAATTGCGGAAAGACTCTATACTCAAGGATACATAAGTTATCCTCGAACGGAGACAACATCGTATTCTGAAAATGTTGATCTGCTGTAAGATTATTTCAGATAAACAGTTACACATGTATGATGCTCGCGTCATGCGGCACTTGATATTTATGGTTCAATCATTTTACTTTATTCAAGTTCAACGCTGAAGCAACAGCAGACGAGCCCAGAATGGGGCGAGGAAGTTCGCAAAATAATAGCGGCTGGAATCAATAGGCCAAAGAAAGGCCATGATGCAGGTGATCATCCGCCTATAACACCCATGAAACATGCAACCAGAAATGAACTCGATGGTGATTCGTGGAGATTGTACGATTATATAACGCGACATTTTATCGCTACGGTATGTTTAATATTGAGATATTTGTAAAACTTTAAAGCAAATCTTTACTTGTATTATATATTTTCCCTTTCTATTTTGAATCGTAGCTGGCGCGGGATTGTAAGTACTTGAGTACTACGGTAAAGTTCGAGATAGGCATGGAAATATTTACAGCTACTGGTCACAGCCTGTTAAGTCCTGGCTACACAAGTATTCTTACTTGGCAAGCACTTGGCGGTAGTGATACCCTGCCGAAATTTACATCCGACGAGAAAGTAAATATACAGGAGGTAAAAGATATTACGTTGTATTTATTTACTATCTCGATTTCTTTGGCCAACGACCGCGACGTACAAAATGTCTTGTTTCCTTATTACAGGCAAAATTAGTCGAATGTTACACACAGCCACCGGATTATTTAACAGAGGCAGAATTAATATCTCTTATGGAAAAACACGGCATTGGGACAGACGCTTCGATCCCTGTGCACATAAATAATATCTGCATTAGAAATTACGTTACTGTCGCAGCGGGCAGAAAATTAATACCTACTTCTCTTGGTATCGTTTTGGTCCATGGATACCAGAAGGTATCTTTGGTTTTGATTGGTCAACATATAATAATATACAATGTCTTTTATAAAATACTAAATATGTATCCCCTTTTTTTATTAGATAGATCCTGAATTAGTTTTACCCACAATGAGATCTGCAGTGGAAGAACAATTAAACCTAATAGCATTAGGTCGAGCTGATTTTCATGCAGTATTACAACATACCGTAGAAATTTTCAAACAAAAATTCCATTATTTTGTACAAAGTATAGAAGCTATGGATCAGTTGTTCGAAGTTTCGTTTTCGCCGCTATCGGCATCGGGCAAAGCACACTCTAGGTATACGAATAGTCGAATAGTCTCATACTGGCGGTGCATACTGGTTGTGTTGATCTTTTGCCAATTTTTTATATTTTATTATGCATATGCATATATAACTTTTATATAATGAACGCTCTACATATTTACTCGCTCTTTTTTCGATTTCTCATCATGTATATGTATATGTGTTACAGATGTGGCAAATGTCGTCGATATATGAAATACATACAAACAAAGCCATCTAGAATGCATTGCGCGCATTGTAATGAAACTTATAATTTACCACAAAATGGAAACATACGAATATACAAAGAATTAAAGTGTCCATTGGACGACTTTGAATTACTTTCGTGGTCGACTGGTACACGAGGAAAAAGTTATACATTTTGTCCATATTGTTATAATAATCCACCGTTCAGGTATGTCACGAATATGGTACGTGGATTATAATATATGTCTATCGAAGAGAGAAAGAACTCTAAATATTCTTTCTCAAATTTAGGGATATGAAAAAAGGAATGAGTGGTTGCACGTCATGCACGCATCCGACATGCCCGCACGGCATGAATTCAAATGGCTTATCCAGCTGTTTGGAATGCGATCTAGGTATACTTGTACTGGATCCTTCGGCCGCACCCAAGTGGAAATTGGGATGTAATCGTTGCGACGTTATTATCCATCTATTTGAGAACGCGCATAAAGTGACAGTCGATACAGATACGTGTGCGTGTGGCGCACAATTAGTGACCGTCGAATACAAACAGGTAAGCAGAGACACGGTGCGCCGTGGTCGCGTTCATTCACATCTCGTTTGATTTCAGGATAAAAGTAAACTCCCCAACGAAGCGACCGAAATGTCCGGCTGTGTGTTTTGTACTCCAGCTTTCGCGGCGTTAGTGGAAAAGCATCGTGCGGTAGCTTCGAAACCAGTCGTCACGCGTGGTCGAGGTCATGCCAAGAGTCGTAACCGAGGCAAACCTAAACCGCCAAAGGACAAAATGGCACAACTGGCAGCATATTTCGTATAATAAATAATTTAGGCGTGCCGTGCATACTGTATAAAGCCATATACACGTTATACAGCCATATATAGTTGTTCTTTTTATATATCCTTTCTAATATAATAACAATAACGTCTCTATCGTCCTTGATCATTAACAGCATTAATAGCATTATGTGGCACATAAAAGCGATAGCGGTAAAGATGACGCGTAACCATTGTTAGCGTTTCCATTAAATAATGGACTGTATTTGTATCAGGTACACGCAACACGTTTTGTAGAACCGTGCGTTTTATTAAACAAACTTTACAAGTTCTGACGAAACGCCTTATCCTACGTCACGAATGGAATACGTAAAAATTCTCGGTACGATATTTCGCACGCAAGATTTATTTTTAAATAGTGACACGCATGAGAGTAGAGAACGGTTTGACTCTCGATAGTCTCGATCCTCTGATTCTGCACGCTGAGATCTATCAAAAATTGAAAAAGTGATAAATATAACACACAGTCGTGATGCTTGTTAAAAGAAGAGGGCGTTAGGCGTTGGTGCACGGTTGGCGTGTCCAGGCGTGTCGTCCACAGATCCACGCTTGACGCTTGACACGATATCACGTTTCCAGTTCCTGAATATTGTTTACATTCTCTCCATTATGGGTTTGTGTAATATCGAATGTGTAGAAAGAATAGCGCGATATCTCGATGTTTCTCCAGGAAAGCTGGAAGTTTCTGATAAAAACGTAAGCTCGTACGTTGACGTCGCGCGTCAAGAGATGACGCGTGACGGGATTTGTTCCGTGTGCATGTGTAAAATATAAGTTAACTGTAAATGTTGAACGACGAGAGAATATTAATATTCCCTCGGCCCTCGCTAAATGTTACCGACGCAACATTCGACGACAATGGAACATAATAGACACGTGTGATTAACGTAACATCGCCATATATCGCAAATGATTGTTTCAGGTAGTATTCAGTCCAGAATATGAAAAGACGTTGCCGCCCACTCAAGGCTTCAGCACTATTGTGCAAGCGCTTGTAAGGAGTTCAAAATGCTCCGATATACTTGGCTGTGTTGACACGGAGAAAGAAACACAAGCCGTGATACATCAGTGGTTAGAGTATATTGTAATCTGTGTCAATCATGCGGCCGTTCCTGTCAATGCTAAAAGAATATTAAATGTAAGTATATTCCCTATAGAAAAATGGAAAACATAACATCGATAACACAATGTCTTTTGATTATTAGGAATTGAATGCGGTATTAAAAGATGTACCATATATAACTGGTACAAAGAAGACTGTCGCGGACATTGCGTTGTATTACGTTCTACATTCTATAATGGTAATAGCACTACCACTAATAACCCCAATAGGGCATTCTCATTCACGTCTCATATTTCCCTGTCGTTGTTTTGTTACAGAAAGACGTCAACTATCAGCAGAAGGCACAATATATTCACGTGTCGCGATGGTTCGACAATATCCAACAAGAAGAGAAGTTGAGACGAGAACTGGATTTAATATCTTTTAATTTATTACATCTATTTCTGTAATCGAGATGTAATGTTTTGAATATATTTTTTAGTATCTGCGAGATATAGCGATTAACGTGATTTACGTATTACTTAATCTAGTAGTTATCGTTATTAAAATTATGTATGCATCACGTATTGGTACCCCGCGATTTAGCAAACGATGCTTAACTTTTCTTTTTGTTTATATGTATAAATAATAGATTTTTAGGATTCTCCTAAAAATGGTCTTACCGGCAATCAATAACGTACTGTCGGTATCGGTGTAGAACGTACGAACGTACCATCAAATACCATTAGTGTCTTGCAACTTGCAACGATACCGGATAGATGGCGCCCGTATGCAGATATTTTTTCGCTGTAAACTGTAACTAGTAACTGTTGGTAACTGTGCGTCTGCTGTGTCGTCTGTGACAGCTTGTGAAATGAGAGTCTGTGTCTGTGTGGTTGTGGTATGGCTGATGGTGGCTGATGGCTGGGCAGTGGGCAGTGGGCAGGCTGGGTATGGCTATATCGTTTCCAACTCCAACGAGTCCAACGCGTGCTTGACACGCGGCATGCGACATGGCCTTTCTCAATGAATTTTACTACACGTATACGTGTCCGTACAAGTGTTTCACGTAGTAGAGGAGACAACGATGATATTGACTGATGTTGACAGACTTCAGGCTGCTTCAGGCAGCTCAAGGCTCAAGCCCATCAGGCTCTCACTCCCACGCTAATGTCGCGATTGTTTGGTGACTGGTTAGTGAGTAGGAAGTAGTGACTAGTGAGTACCGTCGGCGCGGCGCGGCGCGGCGCGGCGTCGCGTAGATTGCGACGTGCGAGAGATGCACGGTGCACGGTGACATGACAGTCACCCGTCACCCATGAGAGATGTCAAGTTTTCACGATTATTGTGCCTGATAACGCGTGCGCGAGCACACGGCACAATGTTCTTGGCTTTGTCGCATAGCGGAGGATCGTAACTGTAACTGCCTGCAGTCGTTCGCCTTCGGCCCATTTTGGCCTACGTTTAGCCTAATACAGCGAAAGCTGTCTTCTTGATCCTCACAACGGTATCCTCAGGATCCTCACATAGACGACTAATAGCCGCACGTAGCGAGATGGCGGACGATTCGAGCGTACGCGTTGCCGTGCGGTAAGTAAATAATACATTTATATAAAATTGAAATCACTCTCGGGCTCTCGGGCTTGAGACACGCCGGTGTCGGTCCGGTCGTGAGGGCTGATCCGCTGATGAAAGACGCTTGAGCGCCGAATGAGTGGATACTGGATCAGACGACAATCTGCGACCCCGCGCGCATTCGAACACGCGCATTTCTCTAAACAGTTTCTCTAAATTCACGAGACAATGCGGAATCGGAATGTTGGAAATAATAAAAAGACACGTTGCCGTTGCAAATTCTCACGCTGATAGATACAAGATATGCTGCCCTTTATAACTTGTCACGTTATGCCTTCGATCTCCAATGTGTGCTTACTCCTTACGTCTTATGTCAAAACAAGGTTGACGTAAGACGTAAGGAATACCGCCGTGCCGGTGGAGAGTATAGGTATAATAATAAAAGGTGCGTGCTCAATATTGAATTTGAGTCTCCTCGTTCATTACGAGGGCGGAGGGTCATGAAACGCGCGCCGCGCGCGAGATAAGAGAAAAGAGATTCGACTTTTTTCGCGTACGTTTTACATTACGCCAGAAGAAACTTGACTCGCGAGGCTCGCGAGTCTCGAGCATGTCCTTTTATGACACAAGCGCGTAGGCCGCACGCCGCCGCGCCGGTGCGGTGTTGCGTCCACCTTCCGAGAGTTCCGAGAGTTGGAGATGCGAGCGACCTTCATCAACATCATCGACGATATTGAGTCGTCGACTTTCAAACAGGATTTCAAATATGATATATGTCATTAACTCATTACGATATGTCATTTATTCAAAAGCGCTTGTTCCTCATCGTTTTTTAATCGTTTTTTAACGCGTGTGGTTGTCTGTTGCAGAATAAGGCCTCAAGTAGCTCGCGAAGTAATCGACATGTGCAGGATTTGTACTCAGGTACCTCAAGGGGAGCCGCAAGTTTTTCTCGGACCTGACAAGGCCTTTACGTACGACTACGTGTTCGATACTCCGGTGAATCAAAGCGCGATTTACGAAACATGCGTGAGCCGTCTCGTGGAAGGCGCGCTGGACGGCTACAACGCGACGGTTCTTGCCTACGGGCAAACCGGCTCTGGTAAAACTTACACTATGGGCACCGGTTTTGACGTAGAGGTCGACGAGACTATCGTCGGGATCATACCTAGAGCTATTAGACATCTTTTCGATGGAATAGCGGATAAACAGCAGCGCGCGAGGGAACGCGTGCAAATGCCTCCGGAGTTTAAGGTCCGTTTAGCAACTTTAGAATACCTACTCTCTTTAATTTAGATGACACACAAACTTTCTCAATGACGATGTGTCTCTTGTCACCAGGTTACAGCACAATTCTTGGAATTATATAATGAAGATTTGAAAGATTTGTTGGAGCCAGGAGGACCGAGGGGTGGTGCGCGTATTCACGAGGATACAATGGGTAACATACATCTGGCTGGCGTAGAGCCGCGCGTCGTTACCAGCCCTGAACAAGCCTTAGAGTATCTTCGTGTGGGCGCGTTATCGCGCACGACCGGATCTACGCAAATGAACACGCAGTCCTCCAGATCGCACGCGATATTTACGTTGTACGTCAAACAGCAAAGATGCATCAAAGTCGAAGATCCTGACGCGGATGTCGACACGAGTGGTGTCGACGTAGCGAATGAATTTGAAACGTTAACCGCCAAATTTCACTTTGTCGATTTGGCCGGTTCCGAGAGATTAAAGAGAACAGGCGCTACCGGTGACAGAGCGAAGGAAGGCATTTCTATAAATTGTGGATTGGTAAGGGTAGATCCTTTTGAGGAACGCACTTAAATAAGAATGCGTGTGTGTGTGTGTGTATATCGTGACCCTGTATCTTTTTCCATAGTTGGCCCTGGGTAACGTCATTTCTGCTCTCGGTGATAAAACAAAGAAAGCCTTGCACATACCGTACAGAGACTCAAAGTTAACCAGATTACTTCAAGATTCTCTCGGAGGTAAAACGTCTCTATATCGTATATAATTATAGTTTAACAAAGAGCAAAGTACTTCCGAGTATGTACGAGGCGTTAAGATTTTATCATATTCTATTTTACAATATTCCATCACGTACATGTACATTGCAGGAAATAGTCAAACGGTTATGATAGCGTGTGTATCGCCAAGCGACAGAGATTTTATGGAAACTCTGAGTACGTTAAAATACGCGAATCGAGCGAGAAATATAAAGAATAAAGTTACCATTAACCAGGACAAGAGCTCGAGAACGATCGCTTCGCTACGACGAGAGATTCAACAGCTTCATGTGGAATTGATGGAATATAGGCAAGGTATGTTCGAAACTCTTCCTATCTTAAGCTCTAGTTACCTATCTTAAGCTCCCATCTTAAGCTTCCTGTCTTACGTGTAACATTATACATACATCTGTCTTTCTTTTCTTTAGGCAAGAGAATCGTCGGTGAAGACGGAGTTAACGACGCCTGGCATGAAAATCAAATGCTGAGTAGCGACGTACAGAGTCTTCGCACTAGAGTGAAAGCACTTTCGGAGACGGTTGAGGCATTAACCGCCAAGAATGCTCTGTTGTTGGCGGAAAAAGCAGCGGGTCAATGGCTAGCGGCATCGAGCAAAGGTGATGACCAAGTGACTAGCTTGATACAGGGCTACGTTCAAGAAATAGAAGAGTTGAGAGCTCGTCTATTGGAAGCGGAAGCTATGTATCAGCACTTAAAAAAAAGGCAAATGCAGGTATATCTCAGTTACCATGATGTAACAGATGTAACAGATTTACCGACCCCGATATATTGATGAACGTTTCATTAGGTTAACGCGGCGAATCCATACGGGGATAGTTCATTTCATTCCGATTCTGCATCCGTGTTGATCGACGCTAAAAGAGACGTCGAAAAAGAGATAGAAACGTTAAGAGCCTTGAAAGAACAACACAGTCACGGTGGTACGACTACCAGGTCAATGGACGAGGGAGAAATAGATGATGCGGAGACTGCACAGGATTCTGTAAGCGAGGATGATTCCGACGACGATTCCGATCGTAAAGGCACGTTTAAACGCATGTGTCCTATTCTTTGTCATGTATATATTTTTAGTGTCTTTTATAGTTATGTTTGCACACGTAACACACTTGGTAACAGAAACACTACAGCCTAATGGCCTAATCATATCATGTCATTTTCATTTTTGCAGAAGAAGACGAAGAAGAGGCAGCTATGGGTCGTGAATTAGAAGCGCTAACTTCCGATATCGATGTTAAGCAGCGCTTGATACAAGAGCTTGAGCTCTCTCAAAGACGTTTACAAACTATGAAGCAGCACTATGAGGATAAATTGTCTCAATTGCAAGCTCGTATTAGAGACACTCAAGAAGAAAGGGACAAAGTGTTGTTGTCTTTGCAGCAACAACCTACACCGCCTACCGAAAAAGTGAAAAACGTACGCGACGAGTACGAGAAGAAGCTCGCTAACATGCAAAAAGAGATGCGTCTTCTACAATCTGCTAAAAAAGAACATGCAAGGTTATTGAAGAACCAGTCTCAGAATGAAAGTAGGTTGAGAGGCCTGAGAAACGAGCTTTCGGAAATGAAGAGGGCAAAGGTAAAACTTTTAAATAAAATGCGGGAAGAAGCCCAACGGCATAAAGAAAACGAACTGAGACGCAATAGAGAAATAGCACAGTTACGTAAGGAAAGTCGTAGGCATGCAAACGTGATCAGAACGCTAGAAGCTGACAAGAGAATGAAGGAAGTTGTTCTTAGGCGTAAACAAGAGGAAGTAACGGCACTACGAAAAAGGGATAAAGGATTGAGTCAAAAAGCTGCCGGTCGTGCACCAGTCAAGCCACTTAATCCTAAAGCACTGAAGCAAAGGTGGCAGACGTTCGAGAGAACAATCGCTAAACAAGCATTAGCGAAACAAGCTGCCGCGGAAACGGAGAGAGAGATGGAAAGACTACTTCAAGAAAGAGAAGAGTTGGGAAGAGATTTGGAGAAGCTTCAAAAACAGAGGAGTCAAATTACAAGCGCGAGAGGTGATACCGTCGATATCGATGAAGAAATCGATAATGTGGAAAGTAAAATCAGTTATCTACAGGTAATACATTAACAGTTTAATGCGATTTAACGATCGTCCTTATTTCTATGTTACTATAATGTACAAAATTTTACAGGATAGTATTGCGGAATGTCAGCGGGACATGGTCGAGATGGGCGATGGTGAAGCGGAGAATGAACCCGGTGTCGAAACGCTCATCTCTACAATTCGAACAGTAGACGAAGCACAGTACTTACTTCAACGAATGCTCGCATTTACCGTGGAGCAAAGCTGCATAGCTGCGCAAAAGCAGCTCGAGGTGCGAGATATGGAATCACGACTCAATCAAGTTGCGCAAGAAAGCGATGTACAACATCAATTGTTGGAGCACGTTTTACGCGATAGAGATCTTTTATCTCTCACAAACACGCAGAACAATGTATTAGCTTATAGCCCAGCTAGTTCAAGAAGCTCCTCTCCTGATAAGTAAGTCAAGCGACAGTATATATCGCTCTTTCGATATAATTTTCCATTTTACTTCAAGTCTTTCGACGTGGCAGCATTTTTTCAAGAATGTAATTTAAATGTTGATTTCAACAATATTTTAAACTACCTTTTTCTTTTTATGTACGGATTATTTTTCGCGACATTTATTCTCTGCATTAATATTGTATGCATTTCATTTTTATTCATATCTCGTTTGATAGTGAAAGTTACGGTCAAATTATACTTGGCGAAGAAAGACAGCGTAATAGTAAAGTTAGAAGAAGAACAACGCAACCACAAGAACTTCTCTATGGTATACACGCTAATCCTGAAAATGTCAAGGCAGACGATCAGAATCAAAATCATAATCATCCTCTTACTAGGGTCCCCAGTGCACCAGGTAGTCTAAAGTAAGTATATGACTTTTGGACTTGTACGTGCAAATCTCATCAGTTTGCGAAAGTGATACATTCGGGAAATTTACTACATATAGTACGTCTGTAAGTGAATGTACACGTCTGCAATATATTTATGTTTGTATGTTTGTTTCAATTTTCGCGTACAGGGGACTGGTATTAACGAGAAATCAGTACGGTAGTACTGGTGGATCGCCAACTTTGAGTCGTCGCGACAGTACATCGCCCAGAGCTCTGCGACGGCCGATTCATCCTGGTGGAGGCTCCATGTGAGTGATTATCCTGCAGCACATTCTTGTTCTTGTATTCCTTATATATTTCTTTCTTGACGTCCTATTCCATGCACTATCTAGATGACTTTTATTTTCTCGGGATAATCTTTATTTTATTGATTTTGTTGGAGACAAGAATCAAGTGCAAGTATTTCGTGCCTAAGAATATAATAATTAATAATTTGAATGCGCGCATATTAAAATAACCGTAAGCGTGAAAAAATATTAAATGCTACAGATTTCATGGGTGGGGGGGGGGGGGGGGAACAAACTTTTCAGTACATAAGTTGTTACAAAATATACGCATTTAGTTGCGTTATATTACAAGAAGTATTCTCGTTTTTTTATTACTCTCCATAGATATATATAATGTCTCTGAACTTGTCAGGCATTACGATAAACATTTCCAAGAGTTATAATACATTGTGAAATAAAATATAACCTTATATGTGGATAGTATATATATCTATATATATGAAACTATCCATACTATACATACATCAATATATGTACGCACATGCATATAATATGGAGTATACGTTTTCTCTAATAATAAAATCTAACGGAAAAAAAAGTAAATCTAGGTTTATACATTTACAAATAAGTAAGACATGTACATTAATCGATTTTACAGTAATATATAATGTATATATTACTGCAATGAATCTGACACGATATATCATTTCTATATATATTTAACTCTTAAATTACATTAACATGTTATTAATAATTGCAATAAGAAAAGACATGTTTATACGGAATTTAGACTAGTTTATACGGAACATGTATCTTCAATATGTATAGACATAAGAATATTATATGTTTTGTAATATAGGATAAAGAATAAAAGACAAAATTTTAAACAACACGCGGAAATACGATAGCTATCGAAAGACCTCCTTTTGGCTGTTCCTTACTTACATATTTCTAAGTACGAAATTTGCATTTGATGATGGCTGAAATGATGAATACGTGTGCTTACGTGTGCACTATATTCCTATACACTGGATTAATATAATATTTCATTATCTCTTTCCTGTGCACGCATGTTTAATATAATTTTCAAGTCGGCATGATTATTAGCCAAATGCCGGCTAAACTAACACGCTAACATAACACACCTATTAGGGAGCAGGTAGCGCATACGGATATATCTTCACCTCCTGGATCACCGACTACGTACAGACGTTTCAATAGCCGCGAGGAAAACGTATTCTCCAGATTAACTGCGAACAGGCAGCTAGTCGCGTCTGAGCCACAACCAATGAAAGGAATTATCTCGCAGTATCAGGGCAAGGTAAGCACACAAACTGGTAATGAGCCTCCTGCCTCTCTTTCGGACCCAAGTATTAGATATCATTCTTCTATTAGGTGCAACCACGGGCCATTTTGCAATGTTCTCATGTTGCGGAAGGACATAACAAAGCTGTCCTTACTATATGCGTGACATCAGATTTACTTTTCAGCGGCTCGAAAGGTATAATATATATGAATGCCGTGAATGCGCAGATCGAATGGTATCGAGAAATATATATTTGATCAAGCATAACCTGACCGCAATAACAAACGAGTTACTTTGTGAATTTTTAGATCGCACCGTGAAAGTATGGGACTTGGAGACGGGAATTGAAAGTTTGACTTTAGGTGGACATCCCAATAACGTCGTTGCCGTAAAGTATTCCGCTGTTCATCAGCTTCTATTTAGCGTATCCGCGGCATACGTTAAAGTTTGGGATTTAAGAACGGGCAACAACTGCATAAAAACGTTGCTTTCTTCGGGTCAAGCTCAAAGCGGCCCTATCGCATTATCGACTCCGTCTAGGATACTTCAGGTCCCCATGGGCGAAACAACGATTAACGATTTAGCGCTCAGTTTGGACGAACAGGAACTATATACTGCAGCTAGCGATAAAGTTAGGATATGGGATCTTCGTAAATTGACGTACACCGCTAGATTGAGCACACCACACACAGCGGCCGTTATGTGCTTGGCCGTTGCTGAGGATGGTAGAGTAATAGCGGGTAGCAAGGATCATTTGATATCTCTCGCCGAGCCTAATATATCCGGACCGTCCGTTAGTTTAGCGCCACCACATTATGACGGAGTTCAATGCTTAGCAACAATCGGTTCTACATTATTTTCCGGTGCGTCATGTCGTTTTTTCGTCTGTGTATTACTGCGCGATCAAGTTCAAATCATTTATTATTAATTAATCATCTTCAGGCTCTAGAGATATGTGCATTAAACGATGGGATCTAAGCAAAATGGAATTGGTTCAATCCCTAAACAACGCTCACAAAGATTGGATTTTGGGATTGTGTACGATAAATAACGGTTCCATAATGATTTCGGGATGTCGCGGTGGTATATTGAAAGCATGGTCAGTTCCTAAAGATCATTTAGGGGAATGTACGCCTATCGGAGAAGTGCGAGCGCACGCTTCTGCTATCAATGCTATCGTGACCAATCAGCAGCATATATTTACAGCGAGCAAGTAAGACAATCCAAATGTTTTAATGCTTTTATATATCCAGCTCGGTGTGTCGAAAATACAATATTCGATAATACAATAACTCTCTAACGGTCCGTAAAATGACTGTTAGCGTATCAGATATGCATACTTCGGTTCAGCAATCCGCGACGTGATATCCCGAGTAAAATAACGTCTCGGATGTTGATTTCAGCTCTGGGGAGGTGAAGCTGTGGCGTATACCCGATTCCTCATTATCCATGTCCATCTCCACAGTTTCCCTTTAACCTTATTTGCTTTTTGCTTGTGCGTCACTGTGTGTTCGTTTATCTTATATTTTTCTGATAATGTGCATGCCGTTACCTGTATTTCAATATTCAAAAGATTTTACACATAATGCGGCGGTAAAGCTACATTATTTGTTATGCCTTCATCGAATGTTTTACCATACATTTTATACGCAACGCTATACCATACAATACAATAACTAAAATACTAAAAGCTTAAAGTCGAATAAAGATGTGCGATTACATTTTGTAAACTTGGTGTCTATATTTACGTTCGCATTATTTCTGCAAATCTTGTTGGCATAATTTAATCGCCGCTACAAAATTCATAGCCATTTTCAAAATTGAACGTCATGTTTGAGAGGATTAAATTTATAAGTACGCGAGATCCACGAGCATCTTCTTGCTATATACGAAATAAAATATGTAGATAATAATAATCATTCTTTTGCTAGTATAATAAATCCCAAAGATAAATAATTCAATAAAATCAGTTTTTTGACACGTGTAACAAGTCTATCAGTCTAGGGTGTATGGATGTTTAATTCGTTATTATTTGCTTCTATGTTGTTTACTCCACTTTGGTGCTTTGCATGGTCATCGTGTCGATACGAAGCGATGGAACTGTGAAATTGTGGAACTATAAACGAGACGCAAGGACCTTCCACAGGAGCAACTCACTCAAAAGCTAACACATGTGTGTCGTATACTACGTATTATATTTAATTTGCAATTATACAGTTTTAGTTTAATTTAAATGATAATGCACTTGATCCTTTTTTTTATACATTGCTATTGCATTGATTTTTTAATCGATTGTTGAAAATATTCTTCCTAAACGGTTTTTTTTATGTTTTGACTCTCGCGTAATTTTAATAAATATTAGGACGTGTGATAATAAAAAAAAACCTGCAGGACAATACGTATGTTTGTCGTTTAACTAACAAGATGACGAATTATAATGTTAACGTCTGTTTGGAATAGGAATAATGTGCATTATCATAAGATGCCTAAATGCAGGGCTTGGAGAAAATATTGTCTGATAGGAAAAAAAATTTATATGTTATCTGATATTTATTTTGTTATGAACATAAAGATATGATCGTACGTATAATAATTATAATATTTATTCTTAGTACAAATAATAATTGTTGGTTAATACTGTACAGTCTGAGGTCTCTGTAGGTTCCAAATACTGGATATTGTCAGGGTTGGTTATTAGTCAATTTTCTTCTGAAAATTTTAAAACAGTATTATGCCTTAATTATATTCATACGTGTCATGAAAAATAAATTGATTGTATAAAGAAAAAAAGGAGGAAAAAGGAATAGTACACGATAATTTTGCAGCATTTTTGTATGGATTTTTATATATATGTATGTATACCTCTTTTTCTTTTTGTGTGCGGTAAGTGATTCTTGACCACTGTCATCCTCACTATCTTCAGATTGACTACTGCTGGTACTGCTCGAAGAGCTACTCGAAGAACCGCTCGATGAATCACTGGCAACACCGGTATCTTCTTTCACGTCTATAGTTTCTGCTAAGGTTGCCAGTTCGGGTTCTTTATCGTTGAGTACTTTTAACCATTTTCGCGACAATTTTGGTCTTCCTCGTACCTGTTTGCGATCAAGTTATTGTTAGTTTTCATAGGGCTTGTGCATTATATGCATATACGTCCAAGTATCCTTGCTAAATAATCTTACGTTGATATTTCGTAACACGTATAACAAAAAATCATTATAATAACAAACGTATTTATATTTTGCATCGAGTTCTTACCGTTTTATGCCAAACTACCGGAAAGTTGGTACGCGAACAGAAATTCTGCGTGACCGCTATAGTTTCGTCCAGATTTAATACGATGTGCCACCATCCGCCGGGAATGAAGACGGTCTCACCAGGCGTCTGCAGAATCTCTATTGGGCGACAATCTTTTGGCCAAGTAGGTAGTTTTGTGCGTGGATAGACAATGGAAAACCACGTAATGGCTTCGTCTCTCTGTTTCCCACCTTCGGCTGCGGTTACTTTCAGAAGTTCGCGAGGAGTATGCGTAGGAAACAGACACCAGCGTTTATGGCCGGAAATTAACGCGTTCCACGCACTGGTACCCAATGGGTCTATATGTATCCCTGTACCTGTTGCAATTTTTTTTAGTAGAATGTATCTTTTTATGCTTCATTAACTGCTCATTACAACACACGAGACAACGTCGTATTGACGTATGGCATATAAGCGCCAAGTCTTTAGAAGCTCGTACAGTTTAAAAACAGCACAAGTACATAAATATTTTAATATTTAAACTCTTTCAAAAACACGTTCATATAAAAAAAAATTTTGTTTCACACTTTCAATATATTTATATATTTAATAACACGTACTCCTTTTTTGATTAGATGGAAAATTCAGTGACGCGCGCGCGCGCGCGCACATACACGCAATCCACATACCCGTTTAGTGTATTAACCTATTTACCAGATCTTGCAGGCCCCATAACAAACCAACGATACGGCGGTCTTCGATGTTCCCCGGCATGATGAAAAAGATCATCTCGAAAGTATTTAGGAATTACATAATCATCTAACAATTTTTTTCGTCTCGGATGTTCACCAAATGAGCTATCAAAAATGTATAAAGGAGAATCATCTTCATTATTAAACATGTATCGAACGTAGTACTTCATCTTCATTTTTACACTATATCCTTCATTGTCTTCTCCACATTTAAACTTTTGATTCCGATATTTCTTTGCTAGCCTCTGAAATCGAAGAAGAAAGTCATCGGTAATCCTTATATCAAACTTATTTCTGCAAGTTGGGCGTAAAGACATGACTAGACGTCTTTTCTTTCTCACGCGAATAGATAAATAAAATTTAGAGTTTGCTAATAGTCTCTTGAAATACGTAGGCGACGTAGGTAGTTTACGTGCTCGCAAAGGAGAAACAACCCGTGAACCCGGTGAGAGTCATATGTCATATGGGACAGAGATGTGTTGAGAATCCATTTACATGTACATCCTTACATATGTAATAAAAAAATGATGATACTAAAACCAACCTCTATAGTCCATTTGTGTTGGGCCCTCCAGCCATTTTGAACACCTCGTATTATCACAGGCTTATAAGGTTTCTCGTATTTTTCTACGAATTCTTCCGTAGTCACGTTGGACTCGTCGATTCGTTCGGCATTGTCTTGAACGTCCCAAAACTTTTGGAATCTCTTACTGTAGCCGTGCTGAATCCACGCTGCCTTATCCGCGAGCTCTAAACAGGACGCATTAGGAGTTTTCGGCACTGGACTTTTAATTCTCGGCTGTCATTTAAATTATTTTGTACAAAATAAAACTGCACAGTTGCATAGTCGCAATGTTACATATGTATGTAATGTAATAAAATAAATGTGTTCCCACAAATGCCATGAATCGCATTGGATGCCTAAAGGTGGACAAGTGGATTAAGATTATTCGGGAAAGCGACGTACATCATCGTCGTCGACTCGACCGTCGTTCGAGGGGTTCAAGGTCTCAAGAGCAGGGAATGGTACTCGATAACTCTTTCTTGAAAAGTCAACTCTTCTTCGAAATACGCGTACGTACGGAGCCGGTAAGCACGGTAATTTTGCAATGATTTCATTACACGTCAAGCTTCAAGCTTGGGCGTTTAACCGTTTAACGGATAACGGATAACGGATAACGCCACGCATACACGAACGGACACATGAAACGGAAAACGAAGAAAGGTTATATCGATGTATGTTGTCGACGACTTGTCAGTTGTCACTTTGCGGTAACTAACGGCAGGTAGGCAGGTAGGTAGGTAGGTAGGTAGGTAGGTAGATTATAGATCGCCCAAGTTTCATCTTCTTTACCTGGTCGAGCCTTCTTTTTCACCTCCTTGATCCTCTTTCTCGCGCGATGATCCAGCTTCCACTCTTCCGTCATGACTGCGTTTGTATTGTCTATATTTATATTTATATTCTAATATCAGAGAGAATATATTTACAAATCGCGCAATAGGTAACAAAATTTGAAAACGTTGCAAAACGTTGGACGACTCACCACCACCACGACTCACGACTCCGGAGTCACGACCACTCACGTCACGACGTTGCAAAAACGTCGTTTAGTAATAATCGGCGATAGCGGATAGCGGACTGTGGATGGCAGATCAGGCGGATGGTAATCTGGTACATACGCGGGCTCAGTGCCAGTCAGTGCTGCCAGATCGAGAGAAAAAACTTTACGCTTCTGCGCATTCAATCTACGTGACAGGTGACAGATGACAGATGACAGGTGACAGTAGGTTTGTTCGTATTGCTTGAAATCCCTAAAGGCCCGGGCACATATTATACGATTTCATTGGTCGTGTGGTCGTGTTCAGCAGACCAAGCCGCTCAGTAGCAGTCGAACCTGATTGGCTCTTACTTTTAGAACCAACCAATCAACGCGGAGTGTTGATAAGACGAATTGGTCAAAATCTAGTAAGTCAGTTCACTTTTCGTATTTTCACCTCGTTTCAAGAACCGTAATAGGCCCCCTGGACGCGATGAGCGACAGTGATATCCAATGAGAGCTCTGCTTTTCTAGTGAAAAATTCCAGTTCGGAAAAAGCAGAGCTCTCATTGGCTATCACTGTCGCTGATCGCGTCCAGTGGTCAACATCGAAGAGGCGAAGAGGGGAATGTCTGGACTCCGGACTGCTCCGGACAACTCCGGAGCACTCCGAACTCCGAACTCTCCGAAGTCCGGGTCTGGAGTCCGGAGTCCGGCAGCCGGACCGGACCGGATGTAAGGGGTCGCTGCTCGCTGCGCCGAGCCGCGCCGCGCCGCGCGAGGGAGCACGGTAGATGGAAGAGGCATGACGCCATCTTCGCCATGTTTTGATGTCGTCATCCCCCCCCCCCCCCAACCCCGAGCGCTGTTCCATCGTACAGAGAGAGCACGGTAGCCCGTGTTTTTTAGCGTGTGCTTTTTCGTAGATTCACGTCGCACGCCGCACGCCGCACGTTCTCGGCGGTCCGGGCGGTCCCCGGTGGTTCCCAGTGGTTCCCAGTGGTCCTCGGTGACACGGCCCGTCGCGCGTTCACCAGCGTCGTAGCCTCCCGCAGCCCGTCGATCTGCATGCACGCCGCGCGAGGCTGGATAACCCTCCTCCTCGTCCGCGTCCGCGTCCGCGTCCTCGTCCTCGTCCTCGTCCTCGTCCTCGTTCAAAGTTCACCGTGGGCGAACGGGGACGTTTTCTCTCGGACGTTTTCATGTCCGTGGAAGTAGCTGCGGTGCGGGGGGGATCCGCGAGCGTCGTCTACGCGGTGTTTTAGTGCGGGAGAAACCCAACGGGGCCCGGGGGAGAAAAGAGAGATCGATCGGATCGGAGCGGCCGTTCGCACGGACGAGAGCACTGTCACCGCCACCGCCACCGCCACCGCCACCGCCACCGCCACTTACGTTAGCACTGCCTCGTCGCCGTCGTTGTCGTCGTCGCCGTCGCCGCTGCTCATTCCGACCCACCGACCACCTTCGCGACCGACGGCATTTCCCTCGGCGTTGCGCGTCGTTACATCACGTCACGCCACCCGAGAAGGTGGATCCGAGCGGATCTCTCGAGTCCGTGCGGGACGGATAGAGCGCCTTACGTGCGTGCGTGCGTACGTGCGTACGTGCGTACGTGCCGCGTGCGTGCGTGCGTGCGTGCGTGCGCGCGTACGTTCCCTTTTCTCTTCTTCGTCTCGATTTCGAATACTCCAAGAGGAACGAGGGAAAGGACTCGCTAGGAAAAATGGAGTTGCGCTTGCACTCGCCAGCAGGAGCGGAACCGATCGTCTATCAGTGGCCTCTTACTTCCGGATCGGGCTCTGTGAGTAACGTTGTCCCCAGACCCCGACGGCTTTCGCGATGACAGTCGCAAAGGATCCATTCTAACCGAGATCACCTGTTATTCCTCGCCTCACCTATCCTCTGTCCTATCTCACCTATCGTTGTGTTATACCAACGTGTTTTTCCTCTTTTTTTCCTTTCCTCCCTTTTTTTTATCGTATTGCCCTCGATCACGCTACCACTCGAAAACTATGGCGCGCTCCATATTATATCCAAACATCTTATGTACGTATGTGTCGCAGGATCGTCACGATGGAGCGCTGGACGTTATCGAAACTATGCGATGGGTTTGCGAAGATTTGCCAGATCTGAAATTACCCTTAGAAAATAATGTCCTTTGTGACTACGATCCGAGAGACTACGAAAGTATGAAAAGCTTGTGCGACAGATTTAACAGAGCCATCGATAGTTTAGTACAATTGGTATGTTTATCTCTATGTCGCTATTACTCTATTTATTCAGACTGACTTTTATCACGACACAAGTAATGTAGGCTTTATTTTCACGTTTTTATTAGTTTGCTTGTGTTTTTGTTTTGTTTTGTTTTGTTTTTCCCCCTGTAAATCTTGAGCCCTTGAGCCCCTAAAGTGTCGACGTCGACGTAAAGATCTTAGATCTATGTATATCGTTGTCCATGTCCTATGCAGTCCATATATTGATGGTTTGGTGAAAAACGTATCTATAGGAAAAAGGCACCAGCCTGCCAACCCAGAGGCTAAATAAGAGACCTAGTAGAGGTTTACTTCGTCATATACTTCAACAAACTTATAATCAAGCTGTCGTTGAACCAGACAAGTTAAATCAATACGAGCCGTTTTCACCCGAGGTCTATGGCGAAACGAGTTACGAGCTTGTATGTCAGATGATCGATCAGATCGATGTGACGGTGGACGATGTCTTTGTCGATCTAGGTTCTGGAGTTGGTCAAGTGGTTCTTCAGATGGCAGCTGCAACTTTGTGTAAAATTTGTATCGGCGTAGAGAAAGCCGATGTACCATCCAAGTATGCACAGGTACAAGTATACACGAGTTAATACGTATAACGTACGTCTTCGACCGTTGTTATACCTATGTATTTATATATGAATGTGTGTGCACAACTGCCACGGATTGTATTGTAATAAAATGACGTATTGTGTCTGTCTCACTGTAGAGCATGGAAATAAATTTTCGAAAATGGTTAAATTGGTATGGGAAGCGATGCGGAGAATATCGTTTAGTGAAAGGAGACTTCTTAGCCGATGAACATCGCGAAAGTATCACTGGAGCTACGATAGTGTTCGTTAATAATTTTGCATTTGGCCCAACGGTTGATCATCAGTTGAAGGAACGCTTCGCCGATTTACGGGACGGCGCGCGTATAGTGTCCTCAAAATCGTTTTGTCCGCTAAACTTTCGAATAACGGACAGGAACTTGAGTGGTAATACGATAGTTTTTTTCTTAATGATAATGAATATATTTCCAAAGACTTTCATACGTATAAGAGTTTGCACGTTTTATCCCGACAGATATCGGCACGATAATGCATGTCTCAGAGATGTCACCGTTGAAGGGTTCCGTCTCTTGGACCGGTAAGCCGGTGTCGTATTACTTGCACGTAATCGATCGAACTAAATTAGAACGTTATTTCCACCGCTTGAAAAACAATAAACAAGGTGGCTTAGATGAAAACTCTGATTCTGTGATAAGCAACACTGCCAGCAATAGTAGTAAGATTTCTAATAGGAGTGAAAGAGGTGACAGAGCCAAGAGGGATCTTTCGAGGCACGTAGACAGTCCGAATCATTCGGAACAGCAAGGAACAAATAGTGACTCCGATCTGGACGACAGCGCTATTAAGAGTCGTCGACAGCCAAACAAAATACGGAGAAAATTCAATCGAAAAACTACAAACGGCATTACGAGAGCCCCAGCTAGAGGTAGACAGAGGGGAAGAGGCATTAAGAGAGCCAAGCCTAAGAAGGCAATCAATATATCCGGATTAGATCTATTACATAGTCAGACTTTACTCAGCACGTCACCCCAAGCTCTTGGGAAAAAGCCTCCGCCTGCTCCTGGTTGTGTAGACCAACAGTTGTCTTCATTGTCGCTTTCTTTGCAATCGCATTCCATTTCAGTGCACGAAGAACTCAGTATACCACCCGCTCCGTCCGCGACTCCTTACGCTTTACAAATACTTCTGGACTTGTACAGGTAACTATTTTACTTCTCTATCTTTTACATCTTTCCCTTCCTTTCTCTGTATCTCTTTGATCCTACTTTTCTATGTGTTGTTAATGTTGTAAATAAAATATATTTTTTGCCACAGGGACCAATTTATGCTTATGTTAGAATCGATGAGGACGCCCGCTTACAAAGTATCCATTAATACGGATATCCTAAAAGAAAGAGAAAGAAACTCCAAGCTTCAATCGAGAGCGGCGCAATTGGAGAAACAAATCAAAGTGCTGATAGATGATAGCGTAGCTCTCTTGAAAGCGAGAATGACTGAATTAGGCATCAATGCTACGTCACCCGGGGATCTGTTAGCGAAAGCTAAGGAGATAGTTCTAAGACATAAACAGTTACAGGCTAAAGCGAGCAAATTGCAAGCGCAAGTTGCGTCTATGGAAACTGAGCAAAATAGGCTAGTGGCGCTCAGACATCAAGAATTACAGGATAAATATAATGGTCATGCGAATGCGAATGGCATAATGAATCCACATCAACCGCTCACTGAGGATTATTTGTTAAAAGAAATTTCCGCCACGCTTTCCCAGCGTAAACGATTACACTCTCAAGTATGTATCTCGGTACATTTATTAATCGATCTAATAATTTTGTACATGTATACAGGGTGTTTCCTAATAAGTATGTATATACACACACACACACATACGTAAGTATGTATGTATGTATGCATATGTATATTTTGCACGGAGCAGAGATTTGTTTCTTTTGAATTTCATCAAATCATCTTTCGTGCAACAGGTTTCAAAACTAGAGCACGAATTAAACGTGCTGGAAAGGACAAGTAATGAAAAGCAAGCCGCTGCCATTGCTCAGCAGCAAAAGGACGCGATTGGAAGTAAACACTCGCAAAATCTACATTATGGTGGTCAACAGCAAAATAATAAGAATGGAGCAACGCGTAAAAATAGGGAAGGCCGTTCGAGGTCGCAGGAATGGCCCGACGTTCCGGATATGGGAAAAATACAGGAGAATAATCCAGAATTATTAGCGCAAAAGATTTTGGAAACGGGAAGACAAATCGAAGCGGGTCGTGTACCAAATAGACAGAGTGGCAATAGTACGTCCAGAACTAGACTGCCACAGGCATCTCTCAGTTTTTCCACGTCGTCCTCTATTTCATCCACACAGTCGCAGACGACGATAGCCAATAAAGACATACCGAATAGAACTCAAGAGCCACCCAGAGTCGCTAATTTTGAGGATAGACTAAAAAGTATCATCACGAGTGTATTGAATGAAGATCAGCAAAACAGAAATAAGCAACAACAGATGCAGTTGCAAGTTCACGTGCAAAGTCAGTCCGAATCCGAGAGGAAGCGCGTTCCATTACCGCAGAATGTTTCTACTCCGGATTACACTCAAGTGAGTATACATCGATCAATCGTTAATACTTTTAGCAATCTTTCCTGTCTCTTTTAATCTTCAAACACGTTCCTTATACGTTCATTCATGTAAATGTTAATGTAATAATAATAATAACAACGTGTTTCGAACGTGATGTGTTAAGCGTGACGTGATGTGTAATATTTTATCGTTTTGTAGGTGTCACCCGCAAAGCTAGCACTGCGCCGTCATCTCTCGCAAGAACGTCTCTCGTCGTCTCATTTGACATCGTCCGACAGATCGACAATCGAGCCTAGGCAATCGTCGACGTATGACAATGGGCTTGTAGCAGGTGGACGTGGGTTACTCGGTACTAGGACGATTGGTGACCTCGTCAGCGGAGAAATAGAAAGGACTCTAGAGATATCTAATCAGTCTATAACAAACGCCACCGTTGATATGAGCGCGATGATAAGACCCGAAACCGTCTACTCTCCCATTAGTAGGCCAGCAAGTGCCGAGGGAGACGCCGGTCTGTCGACGTTGGCGCACGTAGCTAGCTACGCGCCCACCTCTTCGGGAGCTTCTACCTCCACACCTACGACTAATTCGAGATCGTCTGTACTCCTCACTCCGGCAACGCAACCACCGAGGTATCTATTTCTCAAGTTGACGATTATTTTACGCGATCTGTCGAAACGCTTCAGGTGCAGATGAATTATTTCCATCAGGTATACTCACGTTCAATTGCCGCGAGCGGATATTAAGCCTTATCACGAGTCTTACTTTTCGGATAATCCCTCTCAGTCGCTCACACAATCCCATTCAGCGGCATCACCTCTACACTCGTCTCAAAACACATCGAATGGGGACGTGTTACCTGTGGAAGGGCTCGCAGCGTCGTTGCACGCTCGAATATTGAACAATCACAACAATAACGGCAAAACTGAGTCGACGCTTGCCGGCAGTAGAAGGTAGAGATATTTTTTTAAACATTGCAGTTGAGACCGGCAAGATGTAACCATGTAACACGACATGACACGCTTAGATGTATGTTCTATATATGTACACGTGTGTGTTTTTATTTATTTATTTATTTACTTATAGATATCAGCCATATCCGCGATACGCGACAAACAGTAGTAGTAATGGAAACGCGACGACGAGTGGTACGGTAACTGCGATTTGCCAATCACAACCGTTGATGTCAGTAAAAACGGAAGCGGTTGTATCGTCGGTAAGCACAAGTGGAGCACCTCTAAGTCCTCTTGTGGAACCGCATTCCAATACTTCGACGCCACTAGTCGATGAACCCCAGATGACAACGCAAAGACAACGAAGTGTCGTTGGAGATGATGGTAAGAAAGTCTTGTGCTTTTGGAACTTGAAAAAAATGTCTCGCTAGAATATTGATATTGAAAACATACGCTTGGAATGATCTGTACTCCAATTGAGTATGCTTTTCGGTACAGTAACTACGGAAGGTTTATCGCAATACGTGAAGCGAACTAAATACTGATTAAATACCGATGAAATTTTCAAAGTGCTTTGATTCCTATTACACTTTCACATATGTGATATATGACAAACATTTATATATATATTTATTAGTTGTGTTATAAATTCAACATGTTAAATAACGAAAACTATATATCGTAACATTGCCCTCATTCATCAATTCAATATGAAAAGATATGCAATTCACATGCAATTTTCTTTTTCAAGAGAACCGCGCGCGTACACACACGCACGTACGCGCACACACACATTTTTTCTGCATTTATTTTATATGTTTTATATTTATTTCATATTCTTGCTATCTTATACGTAACAAGGGTTGTAGGACAGTACGGTAGTACTGTCGACAAAAATCTTTGTGCTAAATACAATGCTAAATGCCACTTTGCTTAGGTCCTTCTAAATATCGTATTAGTTTTCACTCTTTCATGCATCTCCCTGCGTATTTATATGCACTAATGGTTTACGGAGCTAGTACCCTGACCTTTTATTTATATTTATTTTTGTTGTTGTTTGCTGTATTTGTTAGATGCACTGTAGCTGTTTGTTGGTTAGTTCTCTCTGTCACATACTCAATCTCAGAATCCCTGAAGCTTGTTTTATTAGAGATTGAGACGCACAGATCAGAGGGAGAAATGAAAAAAATACGGCTGCCTGTGGGTTGGTTCGTCGGTACAATCGCCGGTGAGTTGTCCCACGGGGGTCAAAAATCATTTTGTTATTTGATTATATTCTAATCGTTCCGTAAAATATATATACGTTTAAAAATTTTATTATCTTTCTTGCCTTATATAGGCATACGCGAGCAACGTACGTCCCTTCTACTTTGAAAACACACAAGAGATACTATTTATTAGAAATCAGTTTCCATGAAAATAAGCCAGACATGCGAGGATACAAATTCTACTTTGCCAACGAATTATATGTATATAAACGCATGATGAATCAGAGTTTAAGCGGATGTATTCTAATTGGTGGACTGTACTTTTAGTGCATGTTGCATGACAAATTTTGTTTCATTTCCTATTTATTTTACTATTTGCGATCCACTTTCAATGTAGCTGTTTCAGTTTAATCTCAACTGATAAAGCACATATAAGTGTATTAATATTAGTATATTTTGACTCGCATCTGTTTTAGCATGATGTGCATTTCACATTCGTAATAGTGCAGTTTCGCAATAGTTTCAAATTCAATTTGAGAAATTTATTTTGCTCTTCTTAAGATTAAGAGATGTACAATTAGTACATCTTTGATATTAGCTACGCAATTTAATGTTGTAAATAAAATTGATTTTAAGTTCCTAATTTGCACTTTGTTTCAACATTTGCATTAAATATTGAAACATAGCAACTTGTCTGGCACTTAAAATTTGCTTTAAAATTATTCAAATTTTTGCACACAATAACGATTTATATTGTATAAATTGTTCATCGATGGATAACGTATATGTAGACTTTGATTTGAATGTAGGCAACTTTTATCTCTTGTAGAATATATATTTATAAGATATGCAATATGTAATTTTTGCGCGTATGTATAAAAGAGGTGATTGCGAATTATATACTATATACCGCAACTATACTCCGTACAACCGTATCCGGTTAATGGCTTATTTTTATGAAAATTTAGTGACACATGATTTATCCAATGCTTTATTATGTGCATGTTACGATGATTAATTGAGATTTATTTTGCAGATGGAGAAGCTGACTGGCAAGATCGTATTAGCTCAGGATTTGATCGCTTGGTTGCGTTTGCTTCTACAGAATTAGATAAACGTAGACGATCGACTGAAGGAGTGAATACAAGTCCTGATAGTGGATTAGGTTCAGATAGCGCCGTAATAGGGCCACCACCTGTACTACCTTCTCCCGATGAAGCATTAGGACCGCCGAGAACACCTTCTCCGACTAGCCCCCGTCCCACAAATTCATCCAGTAGTAATCCCCCGAGTGGCACATCCTCCTCGGTACCTCTGAAATATCAACGACAACCAGATCCTGAGCGACATCATTTTAAGAAGAAATTTTATCGTCATGATTGGAATAATTCTGCAAGTACCAGCAAGTTTCGTCCTAAAGGCAAAGATTGGGATTGGAATCATTCCGGGCAATGGCCTTCGAATGACGAACAATCCTAACTTTATCTACATTGTGCGAAAGATATTTTTCTGTATAAATAAAAAAAATTTTTTTTTTTTTTTGCTTTTTCTTCCGAGCCTAGGTGAGGGAAACAAACGGAGCATTGTTTTTACTTTTAAAGTTATTAAATTATTAGAATTGTTCTCATTTTGTTATTAATAACTCTCTTTTATAATATAATGACGAAACGTTTTATCGTGAACATGGATAATATGAGCTTACAATATACAGAAAAAAGATATCTTATATAATTAAATAGATAAAAAATCACAGATTGTTTTTTTCCCACTTTAATCATATTGAACTGTGACTTTAAAAGAACGATTGATCATGTGAGCTTTTTTTGTTTTATTTATACATCGAAATAAATTAGGTTTATTAACAAGTAGCCGCAAATCTTAATCAACAATCATGATATTTGTTCTTGCTGAAGATGTAAAGATCCATGAGTGTACGAAACAACTAATTTAGTCTGATATACAACATGGAAAAATAATTCATATTTCTTACTTGTAACATTATAATTTTTCATATTGCAACAATAAGGAAACAGGAGCCTTAATGAAACGGAAAAGGAAACTTGTGTCTATATGTGAATACTTTAGTCGATAAATGCTTCTAGTACATTTAACTTGAAATGTATATAATTATTGTATAAGATTAATAATGTAATTAATCGATTTCAAGTTTATATATGCTGATTAAGATTGCAAGGCTATTAGCAATTACGCATGTTATATTGTGAAGAATTTACAAATTTTGAAAGAGAGTTATCAGATATATCACTGACGTAGTATTTTAACGTATTATTATTATTATTATTATTATTATTATTATTATTATCAGTAATCAAATTTTTTGTAGGGTTTTGTGAATAATTCTCACCAATTAGGTCTCTTGTAACAGTAATACAATATTGTTGAGATTGTATGCCATGTCTGTGTAGATTATATAAAGGTCTCGTAATCTACGCCTGTATACACATGCACACAAAACACATAACACAAACATAGATGCATACACATGGCTTGGTGTTGCTGCACATTAGACATGTTAAAGAAATATTATAATGTTGTAGAGAGATCATAATGTAGGAATGTATCGTAACGTATGTATGTATGTATGTATTGTGCGTGCGTGCGTGCGTGCGTGCGTATGTATGACATTTGATATGTATGTATGTTTGTACGTATGACGGTATGTATTACAGGCGTATTACGGTAGACCGAGCAATTGGCATTGGAAAAAAGAGGAAAAAAATAAGCCAGCAAAACCTTTGTGTGTTCGTAGCGAATATTGGCTACAAATTTTATATACGGCTATATCTTCCACCATTTGGAGGATATATACCTAAGTGTTCACTGTGGTTCATAGAATTATGGCAACGGATCGTAAAAAATAGTCACTTAAAATGCATTCGTATTTTAAGGCAGAAAGTTGAAGGAAAATTTTTGTTTTCGGTACACATCTACATCTACATCTACATTGTTGTGTGACTGTGCAAAATATCCAAAGAATGGCAGTTGCGAGTCAGTTTACAAAGTTTTATATGGTGCGTCATATAATTGGGCATCATGCATGATTTTCGGTGCTGCGGAATGAATCGAGCAAACGTCGAATAAACAAGTAGTACTTCAAGTCGACGCTTTAAAAAAGCGATGCGATATTATATGTATAAAGGTCCTTTCTTTTTTACATTGCCGAGTTATTCCGGTCGTGTACAGGGCGATTCTTAATTATATGTCAATCCAGCACGTAATCTATCATTTACATATTATGATTTTAGAATGTGCCACGCCGCACGTGTGAAAAATAAGGAGAAAAATGGGCAAACTCGGAACATCTTAAATTTATCACAATTCGAAAATCTGATTGTGAGGTGATCTGACCAATCTATGTTCATTTGTTTATGTAGATGTTTATTTTGAGCTCTGATTTATTGCCTGAACAAGTATTGACATATAATTTGACATCATCTTGTACATACGTGTTGTATTACAATTTTAGTATTTTATTTCAAATTGCACTTGAAAATATCGTTATTTGATATCGCTTATCCCACGTCCTATTTGATTCTTTATCTAATGATTTTGGAGACTAGGAGAGATAAATTCCCAATCTATCTGTATATAATGTACACTGGTACAGATATTTTTAAGTGTTATTTGAAATGAAATAATATGACTGTAATATAGATATACCTATACATATATATACATATATGGAAGGATCATCATGTTAGACTGTGAGAAATTGATTATCGTATTATTTAATATATCCTCTAAACGTCATTATGTATTTATAGTTAAAACGAGCATTGCCAAGCATGCTAGATACACTGCCGAATCTTCTCTATGAAAATTAATTTTATTATTGACCGCAATTATTATTTATTGTTTTTATTGAGATATTTTAATACTATTACTATTTGTAACAAGTAAAGTTTTTCTCTATTATTTCCACCTTCCCGCATCTAGCAGTTTTCTAGCGGTACTTTCGATATAAATAAAACGATTGCTTTGCGGTACTTATCGTTACTGCAGTTGTTACCTCTTTTATCGAGGCGCAGTTTATCAGCGTACAATAAATGACAAATTCTGATATGGATCTTAATTTTAGAACCCAGGAAATCAACGTATTGTCAAACTAAACTCAAGTGCGCGATACCGTTGGTATCGTTACGCGGTATACGTCAGCTACGGTATAAATCAGTTTTTCCAGCGGGTTACATCCGCCGCTGCAGGTAGCAGGTAGCATAACTCAAATTAATTTCTGCTCCAAATTTAAAATATATAACTAGCGTATAGAGGACATAAGTAGGTGTCAATGACACAATGGATATTTTTAAATACAGGTGCCAGCATGCACTTTATACGTGAACTTCCGAAACGATAATGTGAATACGGGTTTTATATCTTATGTGTATATATACATATATATGTATATATATATATACATATATATGTATATGCATACACAATATATATTTAAATATATAAAGAGCCGTTAAAATTATGTTCTTCCAAGTACTTGAACTTGAAACACACGGTAAAGAGCATGTTCTCTGTATCGAGGTTGATGTTGATAATTTTGTTGAACGAAGTGTACGCGCGTAGTATACGAGATACCGAGGTAATATTGCTGCCGATATGGGATTCCAAAGGCGCACCGGAGGTACGTTAACGTAAAGTTTTATCTATTTATTCTTTAAAAGCGTACGACTGTCAAAAATTACTATTCGATTACATAATTATTATTCGATTTACAGATTCCTTTAACTTTCAAAGCCTTTGGACAATTGATTCAGTTGAATCTACGTAGAAACGACAATATAGCATCGCCTCAGTTTCAAGTCTGGAAACACAATGCCAAGGGCATCACGGAAGAATTGTCGCAGTTAAATGCACCAGATCCTTGCTATTACCTTCACAAGAATCGCGTTGGTTCCGCAGCCATAAGTTTTTGTCAACATGGATTGGTCGGTGGTATTCTTTGAAGGGAAAAACTGACATATTTTTTTATTATCTCTTTGTATATGGATATGCGTATAGAATATTAAAAAAATGTATTTCTGTTGGCGACAGCACGGGCTCGTCTTTCTGGAGAACGTTACTTTGGAGATCACGCCTTTGCGAAACAGCCTCGCATCTTCACCCTTACTCGTCGACGACCGTTACGTTAAAGAAGAAGGCGATCTTTCGTTGGGTGAACCTCACGTGGTTAAGCGATCACCGCCGAGGCCACCCGTTGATCTAGATGTCGAAGAAACGAGGCGACCTCGAATACGGGATACAAAGGGAAAGTTAACGTTAGAGCTGGCAGTCTTCTTCGACGAGGCTGCGTATCGTTTATTCTCGCCATTCCTGGACGAAGACGACGGGAGGATTCGTGATATGTTGTTAGCGTACGTGAATGGTATTCAAGCTCTGTATCATCATCCGAGTCTAGGTGTCGCGATCGACATCTCGTTGATACGCTTAGACATAATTCAGAGGCAGCCACTCGATCTACCGCACTTTGGCGGCGAGAGAGGTAGCTTGTTGGATTCGTTTTGCAATTACGCGAACGCTCGCAATCCTCCGGAGGACGCTCATTCGCGTCACTGGGACATGGGTCTTTACGTGACTGGACTGGATCTTTACGCGGTCGAAAACGGAAGGAGGAACGGCGCTACCATGGGACTAGCTACCGTCGGTGGTTTGTGCATCCCACGTTATTCCTGCGTGATAGCAGAACTGGGAGTTACGGATCAACTTGGAAAGCCGTATCCGTCCGCGGGCTTTACATCAGTTTATATCGCCGCTCACGAGATCGGTCACAAGTAAGTCATACTTGAGCGATACGATTGCTTTGATATGGTATGGTATGGTATGGTATGGTATATTTGGCGAATCAATGATCCGTTCTCGTTTGAAAGCTTAGGAATGCCGCACGATTCGAGCGGCAATGCGTGTCCGAGGGATGGGTACATAATGTCACCCAGTAGAGGCGTTCGAGGTGAGACGGTTTGGTCCGACTGTAGCCGTGAGGTGGCCAAGACGCTTTCGCGAACGAAAATTTGTCTCTTGGATCGACCGGAGGAGCCGCGAAACACCTCGGATGCACTTGCGCACGATCATTCGCGATATCGCGATCTACCTGGGAGAGAATGGACCGCCAAGAGGCAATGCGAGTTACTTCTACGCGACAAGGACGCGGACGTTGTCACGTTGTATCAGGCTTGTCAGTCTTTGCAATGCGAAACGCCTCACAGAAGTGGATATTACTTTGCAGGACCGGCATTGGACGGTACGCACACTGCACACTATATACACACGGTTGCGAGTCATTCTTGAATTGAATTATATAGGCAGATTATTATAGCGCGTTCGGCGAATAGCTAATTGATTTTTTCTCCCCAGGAACTCGATGCGCATCCGGTAGAGAGTGTCGCGGTGGAGAATGCGTGCCCGTCCCCGAACCGCCGCGGCCGGAATTATCCGACAAGCAAAAAGGTAGCTGGAGCGAATGGAAGGAAGGTTCCTGCAGTAGCGGTTGCTTGCAAAAATCCAAAGGCGCTCGTATTAGACGACGGTTCTGCGAGAATCGAGATCATAGGACGACGAGAGATTGCCAAGGGCTGTATTACGACGTGCTCCTGTGCAAGGATGAGAAACTTTGCAAAAAGAAACGCAGGACGATCGACGAATTCGCCACGCTGAAATGTGGTCTTTTCGGCGAAAGACTATCCACATTAGACGGCGCGGCGAAAGGACTTCAGGCGGCTCACGAAACCGACCGGCCGTGGATGGCCTGCGCTATATTCTGTCGACGAAAGGACATTGCCGCTTATTACGCGCCACGCGTGGAATTAAACGACCTTGGCCTTGACCCGTACTTTCCAGATGGGACATGGTGCCACACCGAAGAGGGCCAAGCGTACTTCTGCCGTCAGCATCACTGCCTGCCAGAGAACTTTCGATTCGGGAAAAAATTGCCGAGAGTTTACCGGTACGAGGACGAGCACGATGACGTGGGACCGCAAAATGCACAAAATCGACTTGGAGTCGCTGATCAGTTTAACAACAGGTACTTGACATCAGGGCCAGACGGTTTACCCTTGCTGACTTCTGTATCGCGCAGCATCCCTTCTCCGCTCGACGAAGATGAATGGATCGATAAGGATTACGTCGACTTACCTCCATCCGTGTCCGGACTGCCTTACCCCATCGATTAATATAATTAGTAACGGTGAAAAATAAAAAGAGGTAAAAATGAATCGGGGGAAAAAGAATCGATAGCTATTAGGCGAGACAAAGTCGTTTGCAAGGAGGGAAGTAGACTGCTACGTAGAGCGGCAGCTCGGACCGCGCACGAGAGGACGAGAGCGAGAGCGCGATGACGTCATCCCCACTTCACCGTCTATTTTAAGAGTGTCCCAATGTTATATATTCGTATTTCCATAGGAACGGGATGGAGAATCGAGAGCAATAAAGAAGATGTGTATCGTATAACTTAATATTTCTCATATTATTTAGCGTACAAATAATTAATCAACCATTAAACTTAGGAGCACGTACATAACGGGACGTGTTCGCTCGACATCCGAGTGAAACTAATTCGGATCGAGCCTAATTATATGTTCGTTTGTGTCTCGCAATATTTAATGTAAAGAAAAATTCTTTATATTAGACTTTATATTAGACAGAGCGTACGTACGACAAAAATGATGTACAAGACTCGTCGCGATATCTGAAATTTTCGTTTCACCGTTCTTCCACAGAAGTTTTCTTTCCTTCGTTCTCGATCTTACAACCGTTACCTATTGCTTAAATATCGTTAAATGTGTCATGTGTAGTAACAAGTACGAACCCGCACTTGCGAGTGAAACGGATAAATGTTCTGATATTGCATCTGCGTTATCTTACAGATAGCCTTCGTACATACCACACGTATATTTCTAGGATGCTCTCGCATACACACTCACGCATACATGCACATACGCATAATATATGTATAATGGAGAAAAAGTAATTCAGACACGACAATCACGTGAACGTAGCAGATTCTTTATAATTATTTTATACGTTATAATTTAATATATTTATCTATATCTGTGTTTATTCTTTACGGTTTCTTTTTTACTCGATTGAGAGACCAATCGTGCTACATATAGACACCAAGTCGCTGACGTTCAACTCACGTGAATATCGACGTAACGTCGAAGAAAATACATATTTATCTTGTTTGATTTGGCCTCTAAGAGCAAATCTTGGAAATATTTAATCGTTCTCGATCATTCCATGTCATAGTCGTCGTCGTCGTCGTCGTCGCAGTCGTCGCAGTCACTATCGTCCGTGTCGTTGTCGCTACGCGTCTTCGCGTCTCTCCAAGTACTAGAACGTACACGAGACACGAGACGTATCCGTAGTTTTGCTGATTGAGACGATTAAAGATGTGTGAACGTGCATCGATATTTCTTACATTATATACGCCGCCGCGCCGTTGCGTATCTCGATCGATACGACGATACGAGCTCAATTGGGTAATGTGTCGTACAATATATCCTTGGCGCTTTGGGTTAAAGTTTCAGGGAATTTAATGTCAAACGAGACGAGAAGATCGCCCTTCCGCGACGGTTCTTTGGGGAAAGGTAGACCGTGTCCTTGGAACCTCTTGACCGTATTCGGCTTGACAATCTCCCTCGTTAAATTCAAGGGTATCTTTTCGCCGGTTAGCGTAGGAACTTCGACGATGGTGCCGCACAAAGCTTGCTTCAAGCTCAGTTTGCACGTATATCTAATGTCACTGCCTTCTCTCCTGAATAGCGGATGCGGCTTGTCCCTGATGATAAAAACGATGTCCGCCGGTTCTCTCCTCGGCGATTGATCGCCTTCTTTCTGGAAAGTGATCTTGGTGCCGGCTTTCCAGCCTGGCTTTACATTGATAGTGAGAAGCTTGTCCTCCTTCTTGGAGCTACCGTCCGGCTGGATGGCCCGTCTGCATATCTTCATCTTCTTGGTGCAACCTCGCAGAATCTCCTCCAAGCTGATGTACAAATCGTGCTCGATGGCTGGATCTTGGGCGCGATCTTTGCCAGTCCCTTTACCGGTATTCGGGCTGGCAAAGTTGAACGAGTGTGATCTAAAGGCGCCGCCTTGTCGCGGCGGTCCCATGCCGAGACCAAAGGGATCCATGTCGATGTCCATGTCGTCGTCGTGGAAGGCGAATCCTCCGCCGCGGTTGCCAGCGAACTCGAACAAGTTGTGAAACGGGCTGGCCGAGCCGAAGAATTGAGCGAACGTCGCCCTCGGATCGCCGTGGAAGGTATACGTCGCACCCCCTCCGCCTCCGCCGGCCGAGGCACCCCCTTTCAGACCCTCCTCGCCGAATTTGTCGTAGACCTCCCTCTTCTTCGCGTCCGACAACACCTCGTATGCCTCGGCTATTTCCTTGAATTTCTCCTCGGCACCGGGGCTCCTGTTCTTATCGGGATGGTATCGTAAGGCTAACTTTCTGTAAGCCTTTTTTATCTCCTCGTCGCTCGCTCCCTTGGCTATGCCAAGTATTTTGTAGTAGTCTTTTCCCATCTCCCCTATCTCTGCCTCTGCCTCTGCCTGTTGCCTCTTCCTGAAACAACACCCAAACGTCCAACGTCATACAATGTCCCACCTTCTTTTTTCTTTATACATATACAAATACTAACGTATTCACGCATATATATATATGCATATATCATGTCTCTCTCTAAACTCTAAATGGTATTATAAGCAGTAAAGTAAAGCAAATCACCAGAGAAAGAGAAATGCCTTTTCAACAACAGATTCTTCGATGCAACTTACGTATGTAATTTTTAATTTCAGAATCAAGATTAAGACGTCTGCCATTAAGGGCTAATAAAGGCACGCGACCTTTATATGTAGAATGGATCGTTGTCCTCTTTCTTCCAAAGTACAAGATACATTCTAGATATCTCTTTTAAATCTCTTTTGCTTTACTTAATGTCAATAACGTCGATACAGATGGACTCGATGGATTAGCTCCGAGCTCCGAACTAGAGTTTACCGAGTCTACGAGTCACGTGCGCGCGTTCGCATCACCCGACACCCGACACCCGACACTCTTCGCGTATCGAGATCGGCACCAGCAGGGCCGAATGAAACGAAACAAGTAGTAAGTAGATGGAACTAAACATGATCTCTCGGTCACGTTCGCTTTCACGGACATGCATTTGCACGCGTGTGCGTGCCCATTTGTCATATCGTCATATTGTCGGTAACGTGCCAAAGCCGTCGCGATACGAGCACGGGCACGGGCATGGCAATGGCAACGGGAACGGGAACGCGAGTATCTGTCCGCGATGCCACACAACGTTTCTGCCATTTTTTTTCGCGTCGAGTCCCGAGCGATGGAGATGGAGATGGAGAACCATCGGGAGCCAGCGCTCCAACCGCTCCAACACACCCACGTACGTATCACCGATATCTATTTCTGGCAATGATGACCGCGAATACGCGACGAATGTTTCGCTCGTTCGCACGATTCGAGCTGCAACGCAAAAATAAATACCCCACCCTTAGACAAAGTTTCGTGTCGTTGCCATTGCCTTGCCTTGCCTTGCCTTGCCTTGCCTTGCCTTGCCGTACCGTCGACGTCGTCGTTCCATCTCTCACAGTTTTCAGATTTTTCCTACGCGCGCGAGAAATCGATCGACGTTACGAGAATGCGAGAATACGAGAAAAGATTTACACGCGACAAACGTACGGAGGCGTCAGAGGCGTGCAATCGCGTCGCAAGGTTACGGATTTTCTCTCCGCCTTATGCCTTATAGCTTATAGCTGCCTGCGATCTACGATTTTGCCTGCTACTTATCGTTAGTCTACTTACTATCTCTATCCTCAAAGGATTATTCCTCGTAAGAGCACGTATATACGTTTCGCTTTCGCACAGAGACAGACAGACACTTGGAGCTTGGATCACAAAAGCTGGAATACGTTCGCAATCGCAACAGTTGACAAAGAATAATCGCGAACAAATCCAAACGACTCTCAACTCTCAACGTTCCTTGAGCGCGTACGTGTCAAGCTGTACTGCTGTACTAAACTGTCGCGTAACCTCGCCGTCCATATATATATAAACTTTCCATCTACCAGCCACTACCAGCTTCCGGAACTTTCGAGAATGAATCGACGGCCGACGCCACAGGGCACAGCTTCGCAGTTCGCAGCGCTCCCTCGATGACGTCAACCCTCGATGTCGATGACGCGTGCGAGGCGCTACCGTCGCGACCTGCCGCCTGCCGCGCCAGTTTCAAATCTCTCAAAGGCTCAAAGGCCCGCCTCACCAACTTACTACCCTGGAGACCACATTTCTGGATCGACGGATTTATTAATTAATATATACACGTTATTCCATTATTATCTACTTAAACGTAGAAACAGGGCGTGCTTGCATTCTCGCGACGTTGGCGGCATATACTTGTCGTAAAAGTCCTGAACAAACTCTTCCACTTTGAAACCGAATTTCTGGTACAATATTAATGCGGGATTCGTGGCCGACACGTGTAACGTTACGTCTTGTCCCATGCAAGTTTGTATCAAGTGGTACAACATGAAGGTGCCGATGCCGGACCTTCGCCACTCCGGGCGCGTCAAGAAAAACGAGATGTAGGCTTCGTTGTAGCCAACGTACGGTACCAATATCGCGAAGCCCACCACCAACTTTTTATACAACACAACGCACGTGAAATCTGGATACTGCAAACATTCGGTCACTAAAACAGATATTTATTATGCGCGTGCGATACACATACGCGATTTATTATAAAACTTTGCAAGATAGACACTTACAATCGATCCCAGGCCAAAAAAACTGACAACAGAGACTGTTGATCGCGGGAACGTGTTGCGGTCTGATGTAAGAATAATCGATGGACGCCATGGCCGGCGGTTTCCATCGGGGATCATTTCCGTTTACTTTCGCGCACAGCTCTTCCATGATCCTTAACCACAGTGGCCGACAACAAGCGTCTCGTCTTATAAACGGCTTCAAAAGTCTATTCGTATACGGGCTGTGTACGGACGTAGGTTCGTTGTAACCCTGCAACCTTTGTTCGAAAATATATCCCAGATCGTCGCTAAAAAATCGATCCAACACTCGATCGTTGTTTCTCGACGGGGTCGCAAAAGCTTCCGATTTAGATCCGAAATAGTGATCGACGTCCAACAGAGGAAGCCGATACTCTCTTTTCCTCTTTCGCACCGCCAGTTTTCTGTACAGCCTTTTAATAGCGGCCGGCGCTTTGTCGAGATCAGTCTTGTCCTTATTGAGCCTTTGCAACAAATACGCTTCCTCTTGACAAGTCATGCGCGATATTTTTTCATCTGGAATACACATATGCATGCATCTACATATAATTCACACAGAAAGAGAGAGAGAATGCTACTGCAACTCGCGCATGCACGTCGCGCGAAAGGATACGTACCGGTAACGACTGGTAAAGACTTGGACCAAGGTCGTTGACGGCGTTTCGCTTCTTTAAACAAAGAAGCTGGAGGCTGCTCTTGTATGGAAACTGGACTGTCGTTGCTATCCTCGTCATCGCTTTCCTCCTTAATCTCTTTAATTTCGTCGCCACTACAGTTTGGCGATAAAGCACTCTCTGTATTGCACAACCAGTCGCACGTATCCATCAGCTGTGCCAAATGGAACGCGTTGCTTTCAGATTGGCAGTCGCGGATTAAATCGGAGATGGATGGAACGTCACTCTCATCGCGTAACATTATATCATCCTCGAGATCCATATCTACAAGACAAAAAACAAGATACGTCTCTTGATCTAACGTTTGTTCGTTTGTGTGTCACAGTGCTTTCAGTTACTCAAACGTACCATTTGGCTCATCCTCTTCCAGTAAAAACTCAGATAGGGTTTCCGTAGGTTGAACGTACGCATGGGAATACATAGAGGAGCCTTTATTTTTGAATAGCTCTCCACTGCAGTTGCTATCCTCTCCGATCGAGAGACTGGAATCTGACTGTGCGGGACTGTCTGTGAGCTTACAAGGTACGTTTGCACCTGCGCATCTTTTTCTATCCATTAACATTTTGCTATCTGGAAAAAGAACGTGTTGATACTCTGCCTATTGATCTATTGATCCTCATACACGTTACGTGTGTGTGTTACTTTTGGCGATCAAAATTTCAGGAGGATCCGTGTCCAATAGTTTCCACCATCCAGACTCTCCTAATTCCGTGGTGCCGGATTTGAAAAAGATGCCGTTGTAATGAGACAATGTACCAGATATAGTGCCGATCCAATTCTTCTTCTTTTTCCTGAGTACAATCAACATTTTGAATTTTGCACCACACATTTGGAGTACGTTATACGGTACAATATTATTACAGTTAATGTAACGTGAATACAAATAATACAGAGTAAAATACTTACACAGTCCTCTGAAATAAGTAGTCCCAATTTCTCTCGACAAAAGTACCGATATCGGATTTCCAATGGAAGTATCCTCTTTTACTAATGCCACTCGATTTCTCACGTAGATTGTAAAGCGTCAAAATAATAATGTTGAGCCATGGCATTCTGTCGCGCACGACCGTTTCCTCGCCTAGTGGATTGCAAGAGGCACACGTAAGTTCGAAGAAAACATCTCCTACGAAAGACACTGGAACGCTGCCTCTCTTTAAACATGCCGTATGTATTATTTTGTCGCATCCACCGCTACAACGTAACGTTGGTTTGTCGTAAGGATCGCACGCTTCGCCACACGTCTTGCATTTCTCGACTTGCATGCTCTCGGCTTCGCTCAACCCTTTCGAATTTGTCGCGTTTTCCACGTGTTTCTCAATCTCAACTTCAACCTCAACTTCAACGGCTTCTGACATTTTTATCTGTTTTAACCCGTTTTAACCTCTTTAGATCTCTCACAGAAACGGAGTTTGCCTCGTAGTTTGCGGCAAAAAAAAACTCAAGTCTTAACCTAACCTCTATTATACAAATATCTCTGACTTTTCTGTTTCCGAGTTCCGAGAACAGCTGTCCTGCCTATAGCTAAATTCGACGTCTCGTCTAGTATTTTCCTGTTAAAAAAACCCCGCTGCTCTTTTACACACATTTGTCATTGTCACGTACATACATGTAGATTTAGAAGATAAAAAAGCCGGAAGGCTGAAAATACCATGTCTATCCATAATCGTAATCACCTAATCACCTTTCGTCTTGTACGTTGCGGCTGCACTTGCAGGAGTTGCAGGACTTGCAGTTTGCAGTCGCGTATGAGCGGTATGACGGTATGAGTATATGCGAGTGTTGTGATTTGTGATTGTGTCTGTGTGAGAGCAGCGCGAAAGAATTTAAGTGTTAGGAAAAAAATAGCTGACTTATCGTTAGGGTTGACGGAGATCTGGGTTGATCCAGGTTGATCTAGATTCTAGGATATAGGAAATTGAAAGTACCACAGATAATCGTGTTTACACGTTACATCAAGTTGGTCTTTTTATTCGAGATATACAGCCTTAAGAATACTGTATAAAATATATCGTCTGCAAGTTGATCCTGGGGAAGAGAGAGATTTCGCCATTTTTCTTCGGGGTTTAAACGTTTCTTTTAAAACTCTAAAATTCCAAGTTTGGTAAACTGCCGATCAAAAGACAAGCCGAGAGAAATAATTAAACGAGTTATATCTCATATCTCGTATGCATATGGACGACCAAATGTTACACATTACAATGTAAGAATACAAGAATGAGATCTCCTGTTTTGGCATTTATTTATATTTATATTATGGATAACATTTGAAATTGTGTAGGGTAATCATATCCATATGTGACATTAATCATTGTTACACACACGTGCCGAATACTTAACTTGGTCAACGTGTCAGCTGTGTGCTGTGTGTGTGTGTATTAATATTAACATTATTAATAACGTAGATCAGTCCACGTCGTGTAAATGTAAATGCATCGCACGACACAAAAAAGTCATGATTCATCTACTTTTCTACTTGATTTTACTATCGCTCGTTGTGAATATAAAATGTGTATGTTAAATTTATCGAGTGCCATGCCACATAGCATATACAGATAATGGATACAGATATGGCACATATCCATTAGCAAGTGCAAGTACAAGTAAGCGTAGCTCGTATAGCTCGCACATTTTGCAACAAGTAAAAAGGAGATTAACGATTTCTCGCAGGTCTATCTAGTCTTGTAAAATGTAAAATAACTGCTATTCGATTAAATGCAGGTACCTTTCCGCACGTGAGACGCGTGCTTTACACGAGTTAATAATAATAATAATAATAATAATAATTTTTGTTCTACACGTAGTTTTACTTAATTAGTAGAGCCTTTTCTCATAGGAGAACAAGCTGTGTACATTGCCCTCCTGCTGAGCCGAGGGCGTTCTTCTTTCGAATTTCAATTCCCCGCTATACATCATCGATCGCAAGGCGGCGAGCGACCTCGCTCCGATATCCTGGCAGCCGTGCTTGATCCCGCAAGTCAAATAAGGCAGAAATTTAAGCACCGAACCCTTGTCCACTATAGAGCCGCTGACACCTTGAGCTACTTTCAATTTGTCCATCTCGTTATGAAAATATCTATCCATCGCCGAGCCCTTGGCGTCCTTCCTGTCCATGGCTTCCAACGAGCCCATCCCTCGGTACTTTTTAAGTCGGACTCCGTCGCTGAAAAAATACTCGCCCGGAGCCTCGGAGGTTCCAGCTAAGAGAGAACCCATCATAACGGTACTAGCGCCTAAACTGAGACCTTTGATAATATGGCCGATAAACTGAATCCCACCGTCCGCTATGACGGGGATCCCAAATTTTCGGGCGTATTCGGAAACCTTGTAAACGGCAGTCGCTTGACCCCGCCCTACGGCCATCACCTCCTGCGTTATGCAGATAGATCCGGAACCCATACCGACGCGTAACGCATCGGCTCCCGCCTCTATAAGATTCTTGGCTTGCATCGTAGTCACGACATTACCAGCGATCACCTGTAAATTTGGATACTGCGACTTGACGTACTTGATCATATCGATTTGATATATCGAGTTGCCCTGGGAGGAATCCAACACGACCACGTCCACGCCAGCTGCCACGAGCAATTCGAGGCGGTGCTTGTCCGTCTCTCGCGTCCCTACCGCGGCTCCCACCAACAGCTGTTTGTTCTCGTCCTTGCTGGCATTCGGGTAGCTACGGTTCTTCTTCAAGTCGGTCCTCGCCATCAGGGACACGAGTTCGCCTCGTTCGTTGACGATCGGAAGCTTTCCCTTCTTGGACTTTTCCAAAATGACATTGGCCTCTTGCAAGGTTACGCCAGCCGGCGCGGTGATCAGATCCTCCAAAGTCGTCATTATAGAGCAGAGCGGTTTACGTTGGTACGTAGGCAAACGTTCGAGGAAGTCGATATCTCTGGAGGTGACGATGCCTAGCAGCTTGCCGCCGACTTTACCCGTGTCCGTCACGGGTACTCCGCTAAAACCGTGCTCAGCCTTGACGTTTAAAACGTCGTTGACCGTGTGATGCGGCGCCAACACAACTGGATCCCTAATGAAACCATGCTTGTACTTTTTTACCTGTAAACAGGAGACAAGCGTGTATCTATCTACAATTTAACGCGGGAGATTATTCACATTATTATCCACATATATGTATGTACACGGATGTGCGTTTCAACGGGTTTGAAGAAGGTCAGAGCGAGAGAGATTACCTTGTGCACTTCGTTGGCTTGATACTCGGGGATACAATTGTGATGTATGATGCCGATCCCGCCGGACAGGGCCATAGCTATAGCCATGTCAGACTCGGTAACGGTGTCCATCGGCGAGGAGACGAGGGGTGCCTTCAGCATGACTTTTCTGGTTAACGGTGACAGCAGATCGACTTCGTCCGCGGTAAAATCGATGTAGCCGGGAAATATGATAAAATCATTGTAAGTCAATCCGTCACCCGCGGCGAATAGCTGCGCGGCCGACAAACCGTCGTCCGGCAGCGGCACGTCCGCCGGCTTTATATCGCCCAATACGTAGTCTGCCATAATTTCCCGTCGCGCGTCGCGTTTTACGTTTCGTCGAGCCGAAACCTTGTGAGTCGTGGTGACTGGTGCCGCGCTACCGTCCTTACTTTTCAGTCGGGCCCGAGGAACCAAGCTTCTCTCTCTCTCTCTCTCTGGAAACAGGAAGAGCACTAAGAACACGTGCTACGTGCTACACGTGCGCGCTCGAAACTGTTGGCAGTCGTGGCTCCTCGGGCTCGGGCTCGGGCTCGGAGCTCGGAGCTCGGAGTTGCTCGGCTCGGTTCGGCTCGGCTCGGAACTCGGAACGATCTCGAAGAGATCAGCCAACCGGCAACCGGCAACGAGCCGAACGAGCGGCTTCACTCAGCTTCACTGTCACTGTCACTCTTCACTCGGCTTGAGAGCAACACTGACAATGAGAGCTGAAAGTTGAGAGAAGGCTGACGGCTGACGGCTGACGCTGCCGGCCAATGATCGTGTTTCAATTAACGCGCGTCGTGTCGCGCGGTACCTTTGTTCACTCGCTTTCTTCCACTCTTGACACTCCCGACACCGCTCACTCCGTTAGGCTATTATCAATTATCACCGGAGCATGTCGGAGTGTCCGGAGCGGAGCTGGGACTGCTGAGAGCGACTAGCGACGAAAGCGAAACTTGGGTTACGGAGTACGGGGTGCGAGATATATAAGATAGGATATACCGTCGATATTTCGATCGCTCCGAAACGCGCTCGAAAACGCGTAGTAACAATAGCGTATCACGTGGACATTTCTACTTTTAACCTCACGAGTCGCGGAGACTCGCTCCTCTCGCCGCAAGCTCGCACTGCTCACTACGTACTCGCAGCAGTGTCGCAGTGTCGCAATTCGAATCGTAGAATTTTCGCGTGTTATGCCATGGCGCGAATGATTGAGCAGATTAACGTATGTGCTGTGCCTTCCCTTGTAGCTCCCTCGAATCTTGCCTTGAAAGTTTCCATCCACACGCAACGGTGACGAACTGACGAGCGTGGACGAGTGCGAACTGCAAATTGCAAACTGGTAGAACCGCCCACGCACCGTTCAGAACAACTGTTGAAAACAATGCGGCAGGGCTGCCGTTTGGAAACTCTGACTGGTATTGGCTCCAACATCCATTTTTATGTATAATAAATTAACTTTAATCTCTGCAAAACGTACACGTTACGTTCGTCTTCTGCAACGTGATCTAACTGATCTTTGGCTCTTATATGGATTATACATATTTTCTCGCGCTATAACGTCGCGAGACGTGCTAGCCTCATTGCAAATTTCTTTCGTTTCTTCATTTTGTATTATTTATAAATATAAAAATCCACGGATGCATTGGCGGTATACACACGTAGTACATGTATATATATATATATAAACACTCGTATACGTAGGTATAATATACAATATAAGCACTTGCAGGGAATATATATTATAAAAATGTAGAGAAACGTCGCCAAGATAGAATAAAGATAGAACGAAACACACGTAAATAGATTCAAAAAACGTGCGTTATTACACATTACACACATCACGTTTATTTCACATTACGAACGCTGAAAGCTGAAAACGACACGTACACATTATTGCAGCTGCTATAGAACGTTTAATGCGATTTTCGCAGATACACGAGATGGAGATGGAATATAACGAATCTACCTGCTACCATGAATTTGGCAATAAGCCTATATAGACTTTGGGCGCGAGCGAAAGAGATAAAGATTTTACTGCTTTCGATCGAATCTTACTGGTCGTAAAAGAATCGTGGTCAGGACGTCGATAACTCCATCAAGAGCTTCTCCGAACGACGATACGATGTATCGGAACGTTAGTTCGATATACGTCGCGTTCTCGTCCTCGTATTCCTCGGCGAAGAAATAGTCGTACATCATAGGCAAAAATATGACCGCGACATACATCGCGATGCACAGCAGCGCTAAAAAGAATCAGAAACGCCAAATTGGAAGATAAATCAGAATATAGCTATTTTTTTCTTTTTCTCCTTTCTTTTCGGCTCGCTTCTTCCGGACGCTTATAGACGCTTATTATATCGTATATACCTATGGCTCGAAGTCCGAGCAACCGCTTGCTCGCTCGCTTCATCTTTTTTCGTTTCATCTTGATCTTGTTCGCAAACACGGATGACAATCCAGAAACGGCAGAAACTTGGCAAACGCTTTCACGCGCATTAGACGTTACGTTTGCAGCTGCAGGATCCGAAGGCGGTCTTCCATCGGCAGTCGTCGAGTCTCGAAGCGCCGTATTGATCATGCAAGAGAGTACGGAGCATTGTCGTAGCGTTTGAGATTCAGGTAAATGGTCCTCGTTCGAACATTCTCTATCTTTTTGTCTTTGTCTTCCTAACGCCGCCGCGTTATCCGGCTTGGCCGACGCGATCTTGCGTCGGAGTGGTCCGAGTTTCCAGTAATATTCCCAATAACTTTTGTTCAATAGCTCTCGAGTTTCTAGAGGAATGGACGATGGCTTCTCGAATGACGTTCCCACTCGTGGATTCGTCGATAAACGAGACGTGATTCGGCCTTGTTTTGACGCGTTGTATTTTACTAATATAGAATTCCACGTCATACTATTTATTCCGTTTCTTCGGTGTAACGGTAGATTTACCTTCGAGCGACCGTGGGCGTGGGCGTGAGTCTTTTCGTATCGTCGTTTACCTTTAACGCGCGCGGCGCAACGATAACCGGGCAGTATCAGAGTGCACGCGGAATCTGTACGCGCCAAACGGGATTTCTTTCGAAAGAACGACTTTGCCTTTCTCGACAGATTCATTGGTGCGGCTTTACGTTTTACATTGACGCGCCGCACCCGCACCCGCATCCGCCCGTCTTCCACAGCTCTCTTATATTCCTTCTCATCCTTGTCACTCTTATCGCTATATCCCTTAATCCCGCAAACTTGGCTCGAGACTAAACTTTCCATACCTTTTTCCAATATTTTGTCATTTGTCATTGCGTTTGCCGAAGGCGTACAACCCGCATTGTCTCGGTCGACCGCGGTTTGCTTCATCCGACCCGCCCGCGCCGAGGTCAGCGTCATCCAAGTCTTACACGTAACCATCTTTCTTTCGCTCGACATTTTTCTCTCGTCGCATTCTCCGTCCGCGATAGAAGAAGAATCTATCGTCGGCATCGTCGCGCAGCTTTGACCGCAACTTTCAACCTTACGGAAATTTTTCAATCTTACAGCGGTATTTAAATTTGAATAGCTACGTATTCTACCGTCGGCGTCGTCCGCATCACCGTTATTGTCTAATGCGTTGTCTAATGCAAAGTTTCCGTAACGATCTTTATCTTTACCGACATCCTGATTCAACGATACGTTCGATGCGACGTATCTCTCCGCGCGCGACGTATCCTTATCTCTCTCGCATATTCTTCGACCGGAAGTGCTTATTATTGCACTGTGCCCGTCGCAATACTTGGAAATACTTTTGTTAGTTTTCTTCTCCGTGATATAGATACCGTCGCTGTTCTTCGCTTGACTTTGACATCGCTCGACATCTAAAAACAGCAAAAGTCCAATATCGCGTTCGTGTCTTATCCTGCTTATCAACGCGATCGAGCGATACAAATTATATTGATAACAATTCATTACCATCAAGTGGGTATTTTTCATTCCTAGACTCTTTCAAGTTACACATCGAAATGGTCGATCTTGTACAGATATTTCCGACAGTTTCTCTCGCAGCATCGTTTTCGCACATCGACGGCATTTTAACATCCTTTTCCATTTGCGTAGGCATCCTCGATATATCGCGATAGGCGACTACGGGAACTCGAACGGGTGCTGATGCTGGCGCGGGCGCGGACAAACAAGTGGCTTCTACATTAAAACTGTCGATAGGTAACGCATGTATCTTTTTCTCATCGACCATTAAAAGCAGCGGCCTATTGCTCTCCTACATATATAAACATTAAATATACGATAAGAGCCATGCTCTTTTAATATTTTATATGCTAATCTGAAACTTTGCATACTTGTTTTTCTCCTTGAGAAATAAATCCGCTTCCAACATCGTGTCGCTCGTTAGTCGCGTGCTGCAAAGCTGAAATATATATACGTAAGTCAAAATGTTTATCATGCCATAAGCAATATCGTTTCGTAATTTAATTTGTACATACACGTATTCCAAGGGCAATGTTTCGCCTCTAAAATGGATTGTTTGTCGGTGGTTTTCTTCGTCGATTTTCCAACACTTGATAATAACGTGTCTACATCGTGACACGGTGCAGATGTATATAAACCATCCACGCTTTCGCCCGTTTCCCGCGATTTATCCTCGTGTTGCTCGGTTTCTTGCAAGATTTTAATATCTAACTCTGGTGTTTGTCTGTCGTGTTTTGTGTTACAGACGTCATCTGGCTTCTCAGCTTTTTGTCGCGTTATCTGCCTGTACGTACATTTCATTATTGTCAATCAATATAATTGTATTAGCGCGCGGCACGCGGCACGTTGACGAAACGAAAAACGTATATAGATAAAAATACATTATTAGAAATATACATATATTATAATATTATTGGAGGAAGGTATACGATATATTTGAGGAAACTGAGAAAAGTAATCATCTTAGAAATTAATAATTAATACCTTCTAAAACGCGGATCGAAACAGCCAGGCAGCCTTTTCCCTATATGCGTGATTGCTTCGTATTTTTGGCTTGATTTTGATTTCAGGTGTCTACGTGTAAAATAAAGAAGGGAAAGGAAAGAAAAGTGTATTAAAAACATGTAGCGAAATAGATTTAAAATATATAATACAATATGTACATTTATCTGAAATGTTTCGGAAACTTACTGACATGCAACAGGTTGCACTATGCTGCGACCTTTTTTAGGAGTTCCTGTCAAAGTGACCACACACGGAGGTTCAATAATGTCGTCGGTATTGTTGCTCGAACGACGTGGAGGTATTTTAGGCCAGGATGGATCAGGAGGAATCCTAATGTCGAGAATACCGTGGTAAACGTGAACGAAATCTCGTCCATGCCTAAATTACACTCAATAATACAATGTAGTATATACACAATTATGTACCGTAACGTGCCGACATTGCACTTTTCCGAGATTGCTGATAAATTTTGTCCATTTACTAAAAAACACACACATAAAGAATATTAAAGCCACATATGCTTTAATTATTTTCTTGCGACGATATTTTCTATTTTTACCTTTTATATGCAACTCGAGTGTATTTGTTTCGTTATCGCGCGCCATATCGCGAAATAGATAATTCTTAGTACTTGACGTCGTTTATAACGTCATATGTGACGCTATTTCAGTAAATCGAAACTTGATATATTAGCCTAAAAAGTTATACGAAGGACGATTATTGTGTCAATTACATGTTTCTTCAACGTCGAATGCCTTTTTTATGCGATCGAATTGTAAATTTTGTTTGTCATGAGTCAATTGTCTTGAAATTATTTCTTATCACTACCACATAGTATACTATATATGACTATAATGTTACTACTACCGGACATATAAAGATAAACGTGTTAAGGATTATACTTTATTATCACATAATTTTTATATAATATTATATGTATATTTGTATACAACTTTAAATTTAACTTTAGAACTTAATATATTTACATCGAATATACAATAGACATAGTTATAGCCAGTCTTGGGTTTCGACAGAGAGAGAGAGAAAGAGAGAAGAAGAGATAAAATGTCATTTTTTCTTAATTTTGAATACGACATTACGAACAATTAGCAAATATCTTTAAATTGAAAGATCTTTCCATTGGCGCGTGACAGAGTATGGTCAACGCACAAATTGAATTTCAAGTCTGGTTATAACATTGTAGGAACGATCAATTACTACTTATTCGATATTTTTTTAATTTAATGGATCGCATCATTATATATACTACTCTAAGGTATAAGGTTTCCGCAACATTATTATTTTTTTTTTATATCACATCACGTGTCATTAATCTAACATTGCAACTGCCCATCCCTTTGATCTTTCTATTTACTTTCTTCTTCAAAGATGTTGCTCTAACTCGTTTCCTCTTAAAACGGTCTTTCTCTTTCTATACGGATTACAGGTCCGCGGCTACTATACTATAGCGTAGTAGTGTGTGTGTGTGTGTGTGCGAGTATGCACATAATTTTTAAGACATTTTACAAAGTCGGGAAATGTAATAAAAATACGACATAGTACAACGCGTCGTATTTAATTGAATTGAGATCAGTCGAGATGTATATCAATTCTTCAAAAGTCGGATTGGACATGACCGTTGCGATTTCCGACCGTGTACCACGGATAAGACATGTGAGATGTAAATGTTACAACTATGAGAAAGCACATAGGTGCACCTTCGTCCACTTTACAGAACTATACCGTCTATCGTCTATCCTTTCGAATAATTAACATCTGTTCCGACACAGAATTTTGAAATCGATAAATAGTTATTCTCGCAATTTACGAGATACTCGTTTTACACATCTATCTTATCTAGACCTTGTTAATACTTGAACACAACATAGTGAAACTTGTGCGTGTGTTAATTAATTATCGAAGCGGAAGAAAAATGCGAACGTAAATTATTTCTATACAAAATAATGGAATCACTATTGTAACGACTGTCGAATTAAATGACGAAATTATAATATAGTTTAGTAGCGGAATATGAGTCGACAGATGTGCCATGACTAGACGCTTGGAATATAAATGTAGCTCGAATTATTATTCTCGTCGAATACAAAACTTTGATCTCACGTCATTGATTTTCTACTCTCTATGAATATGAATGAGTACTTCCTCTTCATACTTTTACTATCATGAAATTTTTAATTGGTCCAAAAAGTATTAGCACTCCCCTTCCACTATATATAACTCTTACTTATTAAAACTATATCTCATTTGTAATACTTTGTCTAAAATCAGCCGAATACTAAAAACAATAAGTACAGAACGCACTGGATGTGCCCCGTTTGTGAAAAACCGTTACTTTTTTCGCATGAAGCAGAGTGCTATTTGTTTTTAATATTTGTTATTCATTCATTAATCATCAATGTTATAAAGCTTTAATAGCATAAAAAATATTACTGCTTAGTGAAAAGTATAATCTTATAAACGAATATTTCTTTGATTTTCATTAACTCTTATTACATATAGTATATACAGATTTCGATAAAGACACTGACGTTCTTGTCCTTTGCGAACCCAGTTACAGGGTAGGGATAGGGTATAGCGCGAGACCCCAACCATGCGTGACCTCGAAATAACACGTATGTACCAGATCTTGGTAGCACAGTTTATGAAAACTGTATTCGCGTTTGCGAATACAGGATAAACTGGTGAAAAATGCAAAGAGGTAGTTTCAGAAATGCACAATGAGCACGAACAAAGCATGATGAGCACGAATAAAGCATGTTAATTGCGTTTGTCGTGTAAATTGACTCGCATGTGTTATTGTCAGGCAGTAATATCATCATTTTGTGTGATATTTAGCGCGAAATAAAGCGATACATTCGTATGGGAAAAGTAAGATTCTGTGGTTATCGTTACTTCGCCATAAGATATATAAAAGGATTGAGACAGAGTGAGAGGACTGAAATGAAAACTGGTATACACGGCCGACGGAGACACGTACACACGAGAAACTATGTTACTATACTTAGTTGATAAGTTTTCTATTATGATGATGTATGCAACACGAGATGTTTTACCATGTTCTCAATTCTCTTATTATTGTCTCATTAAGCTTCATGATCGCCGCTGTCTATTCCTATTAAAGACTCTGTTTGCTCTGCTTCAAGATCTGGGATTCTGAAAATATCAATTTCCCATGCATTTTATATACACATATAGTACACATATATTATGATATCATAACACTCTGGTCAATTTACATTTTATCATTATTACAATTTGATTTAATTACACACATACACGCACGCACGCACGCACGCACGCACGCACACAATGTATATAATATATATGGTGCACATATACGCTTTACCTTGCAGATCTGTTGTTGTTTCTCCTGCATATCCAGATGAAAAACCTTTTTATTAAATCCATAACAGGATCCCAATTGTCGTAATAAGATAAAAGAGATACTGTCAGGAATGCTAAAAGCATTGGAATACTTCCCAAATAGAAAATACAAGGATATTCAACCTTTTTCAAGAGGACATCGGCTACCATTGACATGGGCATTGTTAAGCTTACGGCCATCGTTGCTACGAGAGATGATGTCAGAAAGCAGCCCCTGTAGATATAATAGAATGCAATCACGTTACACAAAGACACAAGAGTTGTTATTATTATTATTAATGTATAGTAATGACACGATGAATTATATTGAAATTACCATAGCCAAAGAACTTCGCTCAGAACAGTGCCAATTAGACCGTTTATAATTAGGAATGTCCATTGGTGGCTATTGGGCCATTCAAACTCTTCCCAATGGCCATAATGAAGAATAAAGAACAAAGGCCACAGAAGTGTTAAATTGAATATTCCCACAAAGCCAAAAAACATTGGTATATCCATCTTGTCTTCGTGATCTACTTTTCTTTTTAAAAATACAATGTACGCAGCATAGAAAAAAGCACTGACTAGAGCTAATATTACGCCCGTTGACATGTTATTACTTTCTATAGTTAAATCCGAAATACCGACTAATACCTGTAAGTAAAGAAAATGTTTTTCGATATATATATATATATATATATTAGAAAATTTATTTTGTTTAATTGCATTAGCGTCAATAAACTTGCAACTTACCAGTCCAAAGATGCTAACTACCACAGCAGCTAATTTGGATAGCGTAAACTTATCTCCACCATTACTAGGAAAAGAGGCAGCGAGAAACAAAGTGAATAAACTGGACGTCGAAGACAATACAGTAACGATTCTGGCTTGAGTTTGCTCCAATGATATCTGGTATGTGTAATTTGCCATGAACCACTGGAAGAAGGCAGGATCGGTAGTACCGTATCGGTGATGCCGACAGAGGGACATTTGAATTTCACATTATGTTACCCACAAATAAGCAGAACATGAGGGCTATTTTAGCCACTTTTTGTACAGAAAATTTGTTAGCCTGTCGCCTCGCGTGTTCTCCAGCTCTAACACTGGCTTGATAACTAAGTCGCGCCAATAGAGCCTCGGTGGCATCGCTTTCCGACATATGCCGTACTTCCGCCAGTTTACTGAATCTTACAGAGCGAATGGACGAATCGTCGCTTTCCGTGCCCGACGAACGATCGCAATGGTCCGGAGTTTTTATTGGAACAAACGTTGGATCGCTCTACGATAAAACGAATGGTCATTATTAGATTAACAATTGACACACGTGGCGCGCACATGTGTTTCGGATAAATATAATTTACTTTGAGTGAGAGAGAGAAAGAGAGAGAGAGTTTCAACAGTTTTTTTCCAAAGCAATTTACTTGAAAAGCGTGTCGATTGAAATCTGATGCGTACGATATATATCTTATTTCGCGCTATCTTTGAGATACACGATAAAAATATACATGTACACTCACAATCAGATACAAGTATAATAATTTGACACTTACTAAACTTGTATTGGCCTCCGAATAAAAGTTGTCATCTTCAACATTGGGATCTATGAACTGGAAGAAAGTAATACGTGTATATATATCAGAGTCTAAAGAGACGCGTCTAAGGAAAAGGAGAAGAATGCACGTAAGTTTTATATATGTGACATCATAAGGTCAATAAATACCATATATGTTGCAGGTTTATTGCATTGTTCCCGCCAGGGTGGCCAAAAGCACAGACCAAGCAAATAAAGTGTAAACATGGATGTCCTTACATATGTACTAAAAAATGGCTTTTCAAACGTTTCATCCCTGTAGATGTACTGAAACAGGATATATTACGACTGTGACTTTATTGCCGCATACGCGAAGCATCTAACGTGGTTCAAGGACAATGTACAGGTAGAGGTAGAGGTAAACCCTAAGCTATAATAGTTGCACGCATCGCAAAAGAAGGCAAGATGGAGAAAGATTGCGACGAACGAGATAAAAAGCTTAATCTTACTTTGGTAAGCTCGGAACTGGAAACCCATATTATATCGACCAGCAATAGAACTAAAAGCCCCAGGACAAGTCTTTGGGATTTATTCATCATCGCGGCGAGTTTATGAGGATCCTCCGCCATCCCCTGTTGCCTACGTTGGCGTAATTCCACAGAACAGCTCATCTCGACTCTCTCGGTCTCTTTCCTTTACATTTACAACATTGCGTAAATACATCTGTCCCTGTAAAGCTATGCAAAATTTCAGCATTATGCGGTGGGTCATTAGAATAAACGTATTAGGACGTGTTAGAAATCAAGAGGGAGGTATAACACATCAACGTCAACACGTAGTTGTACGTCACTCTCTCCCTCTCGTTATAGTTGGAGAGCCTTTTGTAATACGTACCAGGTGGAAGGTGGAAGAGCGAGAAGCTGTGGCTGAGTGCCTGCTATGGCGCTATACGTCTGCTAGACCTGTGTAAGAATTTAAAATGCGAGGACGCGACAAACGTCGCATTAAGAGGTGTCAACGAGCGATAAGCGAAACTTGAACGTTGTTTCTCAACGTCAACGTCACCTAACCTAACCGGCTGTTTGCGTTTGCGGTTTGCGGCCCCGGTCCCGGCCCCGGCCTCAGCCGTTGATGCCGCGCGTCCCGCATCACATCGCTCTCTATCTCGCCAACGAGCTTCGTATCGGTTTTCGTGATTCGTGCACTGCTCGTGCAGAGGTGCACCTTCCAAGCCAAGGCAGGGTATCACGATCGTCGCCCGTCACTGCCGCACTGCCGCACTGCCGCACTGCCGTCACACGGGTGACGTTCTGGGTTCTGACGTTTCCGAACTCAGCCCGGCGGTGAGCCGGGTGAACCGGGTGAGCGGCATCAGCCGCGGCAGATTCGTGCTATATCTATCACGTTCTATGAACGAAATAAGAGAATAAGACTCGAGCCAAAGCGAACGGCGAGTCGCGAGCCACGAGCTGTCTGTCAGCTGTCAGCAGCGTCAGCTGCTGGAGCTGGAGTGCTGGTGTGCTGGCACCAGACCAGACCAGAGTGACCAGACCAGACACTGGCACTGCTGGGCACTTGGCAGTGGGCTGAATGAACTGCTGCCTGCCCTAGTGCCCATCCGCGTCTTCGCGTCTTCGCGTCGTAGGTAGTTCGTAGCGCGCAGTCCGCCTACATCTTGGAGCGCTAGCGCTACTGATAACAGGCACGAACAGGTGCGTCACACACAGAGCATTCAAGCATTCAAAGCGTTATCCGGCGTTATCGCATTTGATAGCACCGCAGTTTTATTTTCAACGCCCTGTTATTTTTATCTTCTAGCGTACAGCTAACGCGGCTAATGCAATTAATGCGCGGTTATTGCGATTTAACCGCGACGCAACTAAATACAACCGGCGCGGCGCCTGAAGTCTGAGGGGCTGAGCGCTGAGCCCTGAGCCTGCCTACTGCTCGGGCACGCTCCGAACTCCGGCTCCGGCTCGGATTCAAGATTCAAACAGCGGTAGATTTGGCGCGTGTAACGTTAGTGACATCGTTCGATGTTCGATCTCGTTCGCGATCGACTTAGAACCCAGATCGACAGTCGAGTCGAGTCGCTCCGCAGTCCGCGCTCGAATCTCGAGTCCTGTAGTCGATGTAGCCATGCCATGTAGCTTGTAGACAGTGCGCGCGCGAACGCGAAGTGAGCTTACACAATTTACAATTCGGTTGCCATAGCAATCGAATTCACAATATTCGCATCAATCGCATCGAAACGGTTCATTGCAATTCATAGGGCAGTGGGCAGCAGTGGGCAGTGGGCACGGGGGTCGGGGCACGGGACAAGACAGGTTGGAGAAAAAAAAAAACGAAAACTAGAAAAGCCGAAAAATCGTTATTGTTTTGCGATCGCCGATCGTTGGTCAAGTGTCAAGTTCCGCAACGATAAAATGGCAAATGACATTGTCAGCAACGGCCGTTTGCAGGAAAATACGGTTGTACAACGAACGAGAAACGACAGAAGCAAACGAGGTATCGTGTATCGTGTATAATTATAAATGTGTGTCAAGCAAATGTGTAATCATCGCTTAATCGATTGATTTTTCATCTCTTCACGCCGCGCGCGCGCGCGCGCGCGCGCATCAGACCTCTTTATCAGAAACCGCGCGGCCCTTAGGCCCTTTATCAAGCGGACCATCCTTTTTCTGTCATTTCTTACCGTTGATTTTGTTGGCCGTAGCACCAGATATACCAGCTATAGAGAGTCGCACGTGGTTGTTGCATCGACATTACACGAGACACGAGTACAGTGCTTGCAAGCTACTCATTGAGCAGGAATTGACGAAATCGAACGGTCACGAATACGCCAATTATTTGAAGGTGAGAGGTGAGACTCGGGTCAGTCTCCTAAGTCTCCTTTGACATGCAGCTTGATGCACGCGCACGCGAAAAGTGAAACGTAGCACCAACAATCGTCTGCTGGATAACTTATTCAGCTCCGTTCAGCTCTTGAGAATACCGCGTTTCCTTCTCAACTTTGCGCAAACGGATAACAACAAACAACCGCACAAATAAATATAAAAATTCCCTTCGTTGCGTCGGGTCGCGTCGGGTCGCGTCGGGTCGCGTCGCCGCGCCGCAGTTCTATCAGATGTAATACCTATAGTTACCTAGTACGTAATACGGCTGTTTTATCCTCGTAGGGCTTGATTCTCAGAAAGGAGGGCAAGATTCAAGATTCCCTCGATTGCTTTCAGACCGCGTACAATGTGAATTCGACAAACGTTGATAATGTTAAACAGATAGCGAAATCGCTGTAAGTATAATGTCGACGAAAAGAACATTGTTCGTAAAGATAAATATGCGACGACCGCGATCATATTAACGTGACAATTTTTAGATTAATAATGGGAAGTCACAAACGTGCGATAGACGCATTTACGGAAGCTGAGAAGATATCCTCTTTGCCAGACTGGGAAATATATCATGGCCTTGGCAAGTTACATTAGCAAAGTTTTATAAACTTGCAGATGCACGTAACAGAGAGTGTGTTAGTTTGTTGTCGAGAAAGATGCACCTTAGCGTTTCGATGTTTCGCATATAAATGAGTAACTGTGTATTTTCGATACTTTGATCACGTCCTTGGATACAGCATACAGCTGTTATAGCATTACTAGGATAGGGTAAACTGTTAAGTAAAATGAGATGAGAGATCCCCCCTATGCTCCCTATCCGTCCAATTAAACGGATAGGACGTGTCTATTTTGTATCTCGTTCAGGCGAGGCTTACGTGAACGTGAATCAATTACAAGAGGGCAAGAAACATTTCAAAAGATCAACGGAATTAACCAAAAGTGACGTGCCCAATATTGATCTCGCGAGACTCTATCTCTTAGACGATATGATTCCAGAGGCTAGAAACGCTTACACGGCAGCTTTGAAGTAAGTAACGTCATCAGCCACGAATCGCGCGATTATATGGAAATATCCTTTTTATTTCGACACCATTATGGAATGCGAGCGAACGTATCAAAAATATCACATTTATTACTATAGTCGATAACACGATAATTAATTTTGGCCGCTCTTTTTACGCATTAGCGGGAATCCTCAGAGCATCGATGCAGCGACAGAACTGGGTCTTTTGTATCTTAGAATCGGAGATATGCAACGGGCATTTCAGCAATTTGGAGCGGCTTTAGCTCATTCGCCTACGTGCGTCAAGGCAATTTTACCTATGGCTTACGTAATGCAAGTGTGTAAATTTATAAAAATGACATCTCGATAATTTCCAATTTTTGCAGCTCGTCATATCCGCTCCAATTTATATTATTTCCACGTATTTTGTGAATTTATTTTTAATCGCTCGACGTAGTTGTTTCGATTCATAAAGCACGATCGGCTTTACGAATATATCGTTAAGCATCAGATTGAGATTTACGTATTCTTACTTTGGACCTTACCTTTCGTGGAATTTTTGTTTCGTTGCTTCGTATTCGTTGTACTGACAGCGTACGTCATATTTTTCAGAATCATCGAGAGTACGATGTGGCCTTATCGAAATATAAAGTTGCGGCACAAGCTATTCCAGAGTCTTCGATCCTTTGGAATAACATCGGAATGTGTCTTTATGCAAAACAAAAATATGTTGCGGTGAGCTTATTTCTTTCTATATCTTTATCGCTTTTTCCCCCTACTTGAGAAGCACGATATAACTCAGTTTATAACAATATTCCCATTAAGGGAAAAGACAAAGCTTTTACAATGTTGTTTGGATAGGATGTACCGCATGCACCGTATTATACATTATACGTATAATATTAATATGTGCGTAAAGAAACGAGAAATTTTCTTTAGAAATAAAGAAAAGAAAGGGGGGAGGGAGGAGAACTTGTATTCGTATATTATTATTTTTTACTAGCGAGCTATTTAGTTATTCAAATAAACGGCGTGTACGGCGATAATGTTCTATTTGATCTGGCTCTTACTAAAGAGCTCGTAGTTCAGTGTTCGCACTTGATCAGCAGGCATATATCGGCGCGGCGCTTTGATATCGAGTATCCGCTACCGCATCGTTTTGTACTGCGCTTCGCGTAATACGATTTATCGAATGCGGCACGTTCGGGGAGAAACGGGATTTGTAATTTATTTATAAAACAATATAGTTGCCGCTCGATGCGTTTGCCTCGTAGAGATTCTGAAACACGAAGAGGAATCCCTTGTGAATATACCGGGAAATGAGATGCAGCAGTATTGCATCGCGAAAGTGGTTTAGATAGCGTCGAGAGAGTATGTCGAAAGCAATGGTGTGTACCGCGGGTAATAACAGAGGAATAATTCCGCTTGTAGATTCACAAAAACGAGTTTTTTATTATTAATACTGCAGAGATCGAAAGCAGCATTCTGTACTTCCGTACATTTAGACCATTTAGACATTTATCAATATAATACAACAATACGATGATTTTTATCTTTGAATTAAATCCGCGTTGTTGCGTGAATAGGTATCTCTACGTCTGGAAGCGATGCAAGCATAATAAGCATAAAGAATTTGAATTATTACCGAGGAGATGCAAAACCAAAATATTCTTTTACTATATTTTTCAGGCTATTAGTTCGTTGAAGCGAGCACATTATTTGAGTCCCATGTCTTGCGTCCCGTCGTGCAACCTAGGAATCGTTTTTCTCACCACTGGGCAGCCTGCATCGGCCGCGATTTACCTATGCGCTGCAGTCAGCGCTGAGCCAAAGAATCCTATGCCGTATATGTTATTAGGCTGTAAGTAGAAAATAAATTTAAGTCTTTAGCGAGTTTATAACTTTATATTATAAAGGGCCATGCCTCACCATACCAGAAGCTCATATTTTAGCCTTGCATGTAGCGATTAGCGAAACAAGAAGAGGGCATCCAAAAAAGTTTTAAATAAAACATGGGAGTTTTATTATCAACATAATACATTTTCGCTTGAAAACGTGACATTTCTTTTACGTAGGTGTACGTGTTTATTATAGTAAAAATCTGTATTTTTATTTCAGTGGCTTTAAAACGTTTGGATGATCTGGAAGGTGCCGAAAGATCATTGACGAAAGCACACGCATTAGCTCCTCAGGATCCATTAATATTAATTAATTATGCTGTGATACTCGATGCTCGCGGCAAACAAGCTAATGCCACTGAAATTTTAACAGCACTCAACGATATTATGGCTGTCGTTGAGGTTGATGCGCAGGTAATTTAAAAATCACGCATTACGTCTCGGTGTAGCGTGTATTAATTATACATTGATATACTGATATTACGACATATATATATATATATGTATATATATAGATATCGCAAATGGCAAAGAAGCTATCGAAGAGATTACAACGTGAGAAAACAGAATCGAACACCGGTCAGGAAATGCTAACGGAGGAATATGAAAAACGGCAATTGAGCGCTGACGAAGTTTAAAAGTTTCAAAGTCATTCGTCATGCGAGAGTGCCGATTGGTCTTACCCGCAGAGATTTTAGGAAAAAGAACCAAAAAGAAATAATCTGTGAAAGTATTGTACATTTCTATTAGAGAGTGCATTTTACACATATTTGATAAATTAATAACACATACTGCATTTATTCATCTTAAAAAAAAAAAAGATATATATTATATAAATACATATATCTATATATAGAATCTAACAGGATAAAGTTACAAAATTCGATATGAAGAGGTTGACTGTGTGCGCGGGCGAAGGGAGACACGTGTATTGAGATTATTTACGAAGTTTATTGAAATAAAAGAATTTGCATACTATGTAATACGTGCATGTACGTGATATACGTATATATTTAATTCCATTAACAACGTTATTAGCAATAATAGCCAAGAATATCCATAATATTAAAAAGTAAACGGCATATCTTGACTTTTGTTTACAGTCTTGTTTAAATCCAAATAGGCAAATAGGACAGGTACAAGGTGATTTTAACATCTTTTACGAGCCATTTTCAATACCATTTTGTTTATAATGTGTAATATATACTTGTGAATATCTTACGTTTTAAACAACATTTTAGAACAATTTCGAGAATATTTCATAAAATTACTTTTGTTAAACAAACTGCCGTAACTTAAACATATGTGCTTTGTACATCGGTTTGATGCTGGTTCGTCACTGGCCAGTTGTTCATAATTCTGGGTTTGAACAATTGCCCAAAAATCATACGAAATTGCCGCGACATAGAGCAATACAAGATAAAGTTTATGCTGCCATTTAATAACGCTAAAATATCCATCAACTCTCCGAATTTGTCGTAACAATTGCGAAAGAAGCACGTGCCCAGAGCCGCGGAAAGCAAGCCCAGGATGCCTTGTGGAATCTCCGTCATGAGGAACAGCAACAGTACCACCACAAGCATTCTCGTCGTTCTGTCTGTTTGCTTGTCAAATTTACTTGGCCTCCGCTGATATCCGTCCTTTTTATTATCAAACGGCCCGTTGCAATTCTCGAGATCCGAGATTCCTGACGACGATGAGGTTGGTTTGGTGGTGACCTTTGCAGCGCAATAACTGTAGCTCTTTAAAGTCCGTTTCCTACCTTTCGTCCTAAATGAAGAGTGAAATTGGCGAGTATCGTAATAGTAGATATAGACTATAGACTATAGACATGAGTGCGAATGCAACGTAAACAGACACAAGTAAAAGTAAGTCATTTTCAATTTTTCCATCATTTCACTTTACCTGTAAAGGACTTTTATTAGCCAGCAGATGATGACGGTGAGAAGTATGCATGGCAGAAGCTTAACGACTACGCCGAGTATCCAAAAATTTAATTGATATAGGAAGCCTTTATCGGTGGAATAATTGGTGTCTACGTGATACAATACTTCCGTGGTACCGTTCTCGTGAATAGTTTGCGCTTTTATCTGACGCAATAAAATTTAATTTTTATCATAAACGCAGCAGTAGCCTTTTGGACAAGATATATTACTGCGAATCGAATGACACCTACTTACTCCGAATACAAGATAGCTTGGAGCGCAAGTGAGAAACGGAGCGAGAAAACTACAGGAAAGAGCGATCGTGCAACGTCTCCCAGTACACCAGGTACGGTTATACCGCGGAAATCTAACACACATTGGGAAATAATCTAATAATCTAAATTTTCTAATCTCTTTGCATCTTTTCAAACAGCTATAGTATTAAAAGCTCACCTGATAGCGATGTACCTCCATACAGCTAAAGTGAGCGTGAGGGCGATACTGATTGTGTGAAAAAGCTGGGTGAAATGCATATGGAACAGGACGAATACGGCCCATCCGTACGGGAATATCCTGCTTTCTGGTAGCACGAGATACTTGTAAATTGCAAAAGGGATGTACTCCAACATCACCAACACATCAGCCGTAGCCAACCCCGTCAGAATTCGATTAATGGGCACAGTCTTCATATCTTGCCTCGTGAGTACGATGATGTTTAGCATATTGGTGAACGTGCCGAAAGAGCATACGATAAGAGAAGCGTAACCGTGGTAAGTTTTGTATTGCGTCGCCAGATCGCGAATCACCCCGTCGCAGTAACAAGAGGATGTCAGCTGTATCGTTTCATTACGGTCGCTTCCATCCCTGATGGAGACTTGGTCCCTGTCACGGCTCCCAAATCTGTCTTCGTTACGGCCGGTTAGACTGTCGATGTCGAGACTGTTAACGTAATCGATATCCTCGTCGGTTATATTCAGCCGACGGAAAATGTCCGTGTAATTCTGCAAGTGATGCATAATCATTGACATCTTATTTTCCAGCGGTATCAGCGGTACAACGGGGATGTTTTCCGGTATATTGCAATTCGGTACCGATTGTAAGTGCCCTCGTCCATAGGCACAACGATGCGTCGTGACATTCCGTTTCTTTCACTTCGCAGCAAAAGCGCACTCGCATTTATCTTCGAAATGTAGCTGTTGCACCAATGTTATCGCCGTTATTCAGGAACGTTATCATTTTATTTCACGACAAGTAATTAGAGACACGTGCGTCTCTCTATAATTCTCCGTTTAATTGTGTCTTATGATCGAAACTAACGCGACGTGCGATTTGCATCTATCAACTTTTTATATTCACTCATCGGGATTATTATATCAAGTCCACAAAAAGGAAAATGTGCCGTCTACTTAAGATTGATTGCACGTTTATACAGCATTATTCCGTTGGTTCGGAATTTTAATTGAATTGAATTGAATTTAATTAAGACAAGCACGTTATCAGTCTCGTTTTCAACGGAGCTTCCTGCTGGATTGCCTAAGGGAAGTATCCTGTTTTTTTTTCTCGCTTATTGACGAGGAGGAAATGTGCGAAATATGGGAAAAACGATATCATCACGATGTGTCTCGAGAAATGTGTGTATTTTGTAAATTAATTCGTAGGACGCCAACTACTCAGATTGTCCTACGCACACACGCGCACATTTACACACGTGGCGTTAATCGAATAATTTGTATCGCGGCACTGTGGCATCTGCCCATCCATGATTTACCTTGGCAACAGGTTACCGCACACAGAACGCACTACCACGAGTAGACTCAGCTGGATAGTCGTGCTACTGGCGAAAATTCGCGAACATCCTTTACTCCCTCTCGACGTTTTCCTCTTCTAAAAGAGTCTGCGCGCAGGACGATAGCGATGGTCTATAATGTCTATATCTATGTAATGTTGTGTGCGTGAGCACTTGCGTGTGTATGCGACGTGCGAAACAAGTGTGCTCGCTTCGAGTCGCGTTTGTTAATCTCGTTATTAAGTGCTAATGGATTAAGGAATAATTATAATGTAGAGGTAGAATGTGATATGTAATTTTTTCTTTTCTTTCAGTGCTTTGATGATTTTCCATGCAATTATTGTCGATTGTAGATCGTATTTGATTTATATGTATATTTATCTCTTCTCAATAATGCTACAAGTATAAAAAATATTGGTGGCAACCTATCAATCTCGCATTATTTCTTCTTTCCTTCGGGACAGAAAGACGACACCGTGTTTAAATAAGATTGCTTCTAAGTTTATTGCTAATTGTTTGCTATAATAAATCGTGCTTGATTGGCATAAAAAAAAAATCAAAGGAATTGAAACGTTGGAAATGATCGCGAAAAAAAGGTGAGGAGAGTATCTTTCATCTCCATTTGTAATTCTGCGTTTGGTGTGGAGACATATATAATATATCACTTGAGTTTGCTTATACGAATGTGTAACTTTGATCCCTGGAAAAATCGTGAGAAAGAAACGAAAGTTGAAAATAGAACGCGACTCGACTATTCGACGACTAACGCGTACATTTGTCGTTTGGTTTTTTAGTATGCAACAATGGTACTTTCAGCCAACCCTTCTCGCAAAGAAATACTATCGTAGATATTGATAATCCTATCAGTAGCATATAAAAGGACGATTGCACGTCAGACAGATTGAACGGCACGAAGCCGTCCATTCCATTTCCATTTCGAGTTAATTTTTCTTTAGCCAGTGACCACTTTTGAACAATGAAGGTGTGAACGATGTGTTGGCTCCATAACGATGGTAAACCGGCCTGATTCAATTGACTGATCAATGCGTTTATCTTCTCGTTTAAAATCGAATTCTTGGGCAGCAAATACGACAAGTAGAATTTACCTAAGGTATATATACATATACATGTAATATTGACTATGTGCACATCTATGCCTATGTAATGGGTATTCGTTAAATTCTTCATACCTGGACATTCCTCAACAAGATGAAGCAACGGCCCACCGTCCGTATCAATCAATTCCTCAGTGATAATGGGAAAATAACTTTTCCTAGCGAACGCCGAAACGTTACGATAATGAGCCGCGTTGCTTATGGAGTTTGTACCGAATTGCATCTTCTTTCGCAAGCTTTGCATGAGTGACGTCGAATCGACATCATCATCATCATCATCATCATCGAAGAGATCGGCCAGGCTGGCGGAAGTCAAGGATATCGGCAATCCCGAAGCGTCGAGATCGTGCAGATTATCGATGTCTGGGTAATACATGTCGTGCGCGAAACTATTGTACAAAATACCGCTGAAGATGCCAACTAAAGTGACGTTAGCGAGGAGAATGCCCGACAGTAATATCCTTTCCGCGTTTGTGTTTGGCAATTTCTGAGGGCAACCAGCAGTCAGTAGAAACGATCGATAGATCGTTGCGCGGAAACTTTTCTTTCCTGTCCTGAAAGTGTAAATACTAAAATGTATCTTTTTTCATTGTTCACACAGGCTCACACGCAAATATAACTAATAACGCACAGAGATGAGTACTGTACCTTCCTGGAGTAAATACTTGCAAAAAGTACCATATTAGATAGGTGAAAACGTGCGCCAGCATCGAGCAGATCCAAACCGAGAGCGGAAAGAAGTGATATATTCGGATCCCTTTGGGTATCTTGGTTGCTTTAGGAACCACCACGCATAATCCGTCAAAGTCCACGCACGCGGTAAAGTCTACGTCTTCCTTGGGATTTGTGCTGTATTTCTTTACGAAGAAAGACGCGAAGCAGACGTCCGTTCTACCGTGCACTACGTCGCCTGTGTAAGCTGGCTGTATATTATCGGATATTGAAAAAAGGACGGAATTTCCAAATGTCGTGTTACGTAAGTACCTATAGCACCGACGTATGTCCCATTGGGCAATTGATAACCGTATGATTTATTATCCGTCGGGTGTATGTGTTCCACTTTAAAATTCATGTCTCGAGCTATCGTATTTAGCACTATCTCGTCAAATCCCTTAAAGACATAATCGGCATAATGTGTATTCGACTGAACTTTTGTCGGTTCTGCCAGTGTATGACCTTGCTTGAAGTAACCCACTTTTAATTCGTATCCATTCATATTTTTCGTGCGGCGATATATCAAGTGCGACAGTACGCTTGATGCTTCTTCCGCCGTTTTTACACTTGTACGTTCGACCTTGCCCCATACTGAAATCAAGCAGATTCGCCAAGTATTTGTCTTTTTACCTCTTTACACACACACACACACACCACACACACACACACACACACACACACACACACACACACACACACACACACACACACACACACACACACACGCAGAAAATACAGATAGGGAATATAATGTCAAATAATATATAATTTTGCATCGAACAATTTCATTCAACAATTCGTTATCGATAATCTTTGGTTTTACTGGTTTTACTAGATGATAAAATCTACGAACCAGAATCGTTGACTTTGACGAACGGATTGTAAGTGCGAACAATTCGATTAATTCGAACGGTATCATTTACGAGGGTCGCCTCGGAGACAAAAATCTTTTGCACCTTACGTTTGGACCACAACGTCTTCAAGATATTACCGATTCTCGAGTTCGACTCGTTCGACGACGGTCCCTGTTCCTCTGGGAAACGTGTGATCAGCACGATAAATCGATCATGTGAATTCCATTCGAATGTCGTATCACCTCTCGCAATCTGATCGAAGGAATGTATGTCTTTCGCGAGAATTACGTGCACGTTCCATGTGTTTCCATCAAAGGTTTTATCGCTTCGTATCCGAATCTTTCCTGCAGCTGCCGACGGACGTACTCGAGAAGGAAGCGCGTCGTTGGATGTAACCTGCCAGATCGATGCCGACGATGCCCGTTTTGCGAACCTGTGAGCTATGTGAGCTATGTCGTTGTTACTCACGAAAGATGCAAGATTTTCCGCGTCGTCAAGTGCATGAATCCTTGATACGATCGTTGTCTCGCACTTGCGCGCGATATCGTACACGAAAGCCTGGAAACATCGCTCGAGAACGATAGAGCTCCTACCACTCTCGAGCACATCGTGAAAATTCACGGTTTTAATATCTTCCATGGAGCAAACGACGTTGCTCCAAAATTCTATAGCGTTATGCCATTGGCAATCGCTGGTCGATACTGTACGTGTACGCAGAAGAGCAAATAATGCCACGAGAGCAACGTGATGAATCGTCTGTGGATGAAGAGTCGATTGTGAATTTGATGCGTGACGGGAGAGAGAGATATGTCATGTTCAACGTACCATGTTTGCGAATCTCAAGGGACACGAGTGCTTCCTTATTTATGCGCGATTTAACACTGACGCTGGATCTCGCTTCAAGTTTTTCCTCCTACAAATATTTCCATATGCGTTATATACAGTAAAATCGTACATTACTCACCCTTATCGTTACCCTCTTCACTCTTATCGACTCTTTTTCCCCCATTTCTCCCCCGACTATCTCGTGTCACATCACTTTGGACACGTCTATCTTCGATCGTGTTCGTTCGAGGGTTTAACTTGTAATTGTAAGCTTACAAGAGTAGCACGAATACATTGCGCTCTCTTCAGATAGGCTCGTCAGGATAAGGCTCGTAATCAATGTAAAAAAAGTAATAATAAAGCCTACCACCTATTATTTCTCCGCTTAAGTACTTGTTATTTCTCCGATTTGTACAACGTTTCAAGAGACTCATCGTAATAGACTCTTAATCACACTTTTTTTTCTTTTTCTGCAAACTTATATATTCCAACAGAATTGGCAGAATTCTGCAGAAATTAGCGCTGCCGAGTTAAAGTGATGAATGTCATATACATAATATAAAAATGAAAAGATACACATGTTTCGCCCGATATGACAAGCCCCTGATAACGATATTAAGTTGTAAGCAATTCAACACTTTGTCCTTATTGCAAGGCGTATTCGCGATCGTTGTTGCCCTAATTCTCCTCATTTCTTTTCATTTTCAGTCGGTTCTATTCTCTTGAGATAGCAATAGGTCAATAGGAATTATAGAAAAATAGAAGAGATTCGAGGAAATAGATGAATGCTTTCGTTCGCAACGGAACGTGGTATTTGCACGCATGGAGAATCATTGCGTCGTATAACTAAGCTTTTAACTTAATGACACGTCGGGAACTTGACGTTTGCGAAGGGAAGTAAAGACGTTTGTTCCATTTACCCGACAGGTAAACATTGGGAATTGAGAAAAGGAATGAGACGGTAACGATGACGTTTTTAGTAGAGGATAAATGCTAAGCGGGTTGCGCAAGTGTAACATAGTATAGTTGCGCTCGTCCTCGGTCGCGCTTATTCTTCGTCTCATCGCTCCATACTTTCATCAGCGTTATACATATACCTACCTACCTACATTTCTCTCGTTTTAAATTGTTCCATTGGCACACCGTCTATTCTATCTAAAATAAACTCACTTCCGAACCGTGCTGCAATGGCAAAATAATAATGGTAATTATAATAATGGTAAAAATATTTTGCCAAGGAAGAGCAAATATACATTCGCTGTCGATTTCAGTAATGAAACTCTCGCTAGTTTCGCGCAAAAGATATCTACTTGGATGGGGATGTGCTTTCTAATGTGCGAGAGAGCAGGAAGAAGAACGGAGACGTACGTAGATAAATTACGAGTTTCCTGGAAGGAATCGTCGACCATTGATCGATCATCATTTCGCGACGATGATAAATTTGACTTTAACGCAGCGAACAATTTACGATTTGAGGCTCCTCCCTCACGTTCGCGCGACCATCGCGAAACATCGTATACTAATCGTGACATAATTGATAGATGTGCGTGGCACTTACTACGTACGTACGTATAAAATCGTCAAAAAGCTAATAAAATACTACTTGGAGCGAATACTAACGACGCTGACGACGCTAAGGACGCTCTTGTGTCGCGATTTATTCTCGGTGTTTTTTATCTAGGCATCACGTCCATGATTTCTATCTACTGTAGCACGCGACGCGCTGACCTGCTGTACCTATCTGTATAAAACTCACGCCTTAACTTACTTTCTGACGTTTGTCACTGTTGGTGAAGCGCGGATCGCGGATCCTGCCAGAACCGCGTCGATACAGTTCGAGACCTTTGAAAGACCTTTGAGCTTTGAGCTTTCACCAGCCACAATGTCACCGATGACACGTATATCGTTTTATTTATTGATGTCGTTGTCAACGTTGTCGTTGTCAACGTTAACAGCGAGGACTACAGTAGACAAAGCGTACAAGATGATCGTAAAAAACTATATACCGAGATCGGCGGAAAGTGAAAATTTGAAAATGATTTTGAATTACGTTCGAGGCATGCAAAAATTCTATCCATCGACATTTTCTCTCGTTTCTTCCGACGGCCGATCCGGCTTCGTAGATCTTTTATCGAGATACGTGGCGAGCGAGTCTATCGTTAGCTACAAAATCACGACAAACGACTTCTCACGGAAGTATACGTGGCAGAGTCGCATTGATCTTACATGGATCTTGATCGTCGACGATGGGATGAATATTTTCAATTCTTTGGTGCACGAGCAAGGGCATATCTGGACGGCTACCAATCAATACCTAATAATCGTCACCACTCCGACGAGCACGATTTTGCCGGGGGAGATTTTTCAGGCAGTTTGGAAGACTTACGGCGTCTATAGGATCGTCGTTATTTCGATAGAAGATGACTTTCGATGTCTGAGCAGGTATCTGCCGTTCGAGAAGAATCGGCGAAACGGCGAATACGGCGTCGTACGTAAGGTCTGTTTGACGGACCGGGAAGATAACGTCGAGCTGTACGCCAACTTTGAAAACTTGAATGGATATCCTATACGCGTGGTCGTGTTCCCGTCTCTGATGATGGAAGTTGCGTTCGACCAAGATGCGACGACGACGACGACGACGACGACGACGAGTCCCAAGTTGAGCGGACTGGACGCGAAGGCGATGCTGCTGCTGGAGCGAGCGATGGGAGCTCGGTTTCGCGTCAACGTCTTTCGCATCAAAGTCAACTCCACTTCCACTTCCACTAACGGGGAGGATTACGCGGATCCGTTTCATCGTACTCTTCAATACATCGAGACTGGTGAGTCGGAGATAATCATCACCAGTTTCTTCGTTCAGCAGTATCGAGGAGACAAGTACGAGTATCGAAGGTACGAGTTTACAGCTAGCATTTACGAGGACAAGCTGTGCCTGATCGCGCCGACGGCCGGTTTCGTGCCGAAATCGCACATGCCAATAATGTCGTTCGCGCCTGATCTTTGGGTGGCTCTCGCGATATACAACCTTCTCGTCTCCGTCCTGTGGTACCTCGTCAAATACTACAGCGTGTCGTTTCGTCGACGAGAGGCCGTTCTCCTTCCCCTAGCGCGAAGGACGACACCAAAGACACCCTCTTTCGCGGTCATTTTTTCACGCGGTCATTCTTTCACGCGATCAAACTCGAGTTTAGCGCCGCCGCAGCCGCCGCCGCCGCCGCCGCCGAGAATACCGCCTTACGTTTCGTCGTGCTTCGATCTCGTCGAAACTTCATGTTACCCGTTGAAGGAGAATGAGAGCGGTGGGAGCGCCGGCGGTGGCACGACGACCGCTCAGAGAGCCTTCTTGATCGGCACGCTTTTCTTCGGGCTCATCATCACCGGCCTCTATCAAAGTTGCCTCATGTCCAGCTTGAGCGATCCCTTTCATTATCCCGAACTAAATACTTTGGAGGATGTCGCTTCCACGAATCTCACCATCATCACTAAGTACTACAACATGAAGGAGAACACGTTCGCGGGGAATACCACTCTGGATAACAAGTTGCGGAGTAAGACCAAGGTGTTTGTCTCGAAAGAGCGTACCTACGACGTCGTGGCCTTTGGTAGGAGGACGATCGCCATCAGTCGTTACGCGTCGATCAAGCTGAACGACATGTCCAGGTACTACGATGTGGACGGCAACGAGCTGCTGCACATAATCGAGGAATACCCGACCACTTACTTGTTGGCCTACGTAATGAGGCTCCACTCGCCATATCGGGAGAGAATCAACGGATTACTGTTACGGATGCAGCAGGCGGGTCTAGTTCATTTGTGGTACGAGCGCATGGCTTATCCGTCCTATGTAGCCGAGCAGAGAAGAAGGGTGGACAAGAGCGAGAGGAAGATTAAACTCACCATTGAGCACTACTCTCTCACTTTCATCGGGCTTGTCGTCGGTTTACTCTCTTGCACAGTCGTGTTTCTCGCGGAACTTTATTTCGCCAAGATCAGTCACTCGCCTCATCAGTCGCCGTAGATAGTCGCGCGCTGTCTTTCTTCCTCCTAATAAATTATCCTCGCCAACGCCATTCCTCGCGTTTCCTCATCCTGCTATTACTGGTGCACCAAGATATACCTACTACAATATATAAACTTATATGTCAGTGATTATTTAAATTTATTCAAGTACAATTTGATATTTAATTCTCATCTTAATTAGAGAATTTATATTTTGTATGATTGTCTCGACATGTACATACTACGTATCTGTGTGTGTATACACACACACGCACGCACACGTTCTCTTTCTTGCGTGACAAGAACGACTCCGCAGACTTGGCCGCGATGATTCGATCAGCACCTGTTTCATTCGCAGCGTTCTCGAGTTTGATTAATCGGGAGCGTAATACGGAATACGGGCTTTTTGTCTCCCTCACTATCGATCGCGAAAAAAAAGTTCTTTATTCGCGGTGTAATTATTTGAGACAACGACGTCTAACGGCGCTAACGAGTTGACGCTAAAGCAATATTCTAGAGAGAAACGGAGTTTATTTTAAGAATCTACGAAAATACGCACATACGCGCCTGCATGTCCTTCTCTCTCCCTCCCTCTCTCTCTCTCTCTCTCTTGAAGAAGAAGAAGAAGAAGAAGAAGAAGAAGAGGTTCAGTCGTGGGTCGTTGTTCGACTTTATAGAGTCATGGCTTCTCGAAGATATGCGCTATTGGCAGCGATTCTAATCACTATTTTTTTAGGTACGTATGTAAATTGTACTATGTACTATGTTTGATCGCATCGATATTAAACTACAAGATCTATGTAAATATATTTGATATATTTTCATAGACGTATCATCAATCGTCGCCACTGCCGCTGCTGTCGCGTGGAATCCAAAAATATCTAGGTGATTATTATTATTTTTTATGTGTTAGCTTTTACACAAATATGTCATCTTTAGGCCCCTATTTTGACCAACGACACGTACAGTCGTTAAATTATCACGTAAAAAGTGAAAAATCATGTAAATTTTTTCCTCGCATTACGTCGAAATAAATTAGTTTTTCTATTGTAGTATATTACCGTAGTGTTACTCGTGCGTTTGATAACATTACTTACACTGGTAAAATATATCGAAAATTTCTTTTTTTTTATTATCTCGCTATGTCGGTAAACGCATCTATTGTCCAATCTTCAAGTTCTATAATATAGTCCGGAAGAGGTCCGAAACATGATTTATATACAACTGTTACAAGATTTACTCAACTATAACTGAGTAGTGATTACGAAGTACTTATTTATTCGCGTCGAAAATACGGTCTTCAATATATTTTATCGGTTCATCACATAATGCGTAATGGGGGACGTGCGAACAGATTAACTTATTTCGATGTATTTATTATATCGCGAGCAAAATAATTAACGAATCTCATACTTTGTGTAACTGTAACGTACGTCTCGTAACTCAACATAGCTGCACGGAGTCACGGAGTCTCTCGGACGACAGAAGCCTCTTGAAAATTAGGTGTGAATCGCTAATATCGTTCTTTAACGCGTTGCATTCAACTATAGGTACATAGGTAGTTACAACTTGGACAAGGGACCGGTGTTCTACGAGGCGTACTATCCGGACTCTCGCGACGCTTATCAGGAGAAACGCTACTTTGGCCGCAATACAGTGTTGGAGACGAGTTTTCAAGTGCCCTTGGAGCGCTTCGCCGAGTACTCGGCCGAGAGAGAGAGAACCGCCGCGGATCATCCTATTTCGATTAATGAATCGTTCGTCGTTGTGGATAACGAGGAGACATTACCGAGAGAACAACGGAAAGCGCGAGTGTCTCGACGCACGTACGATGCACGTACGACGAGTCAACTAGCGCCTTTCTCCAATAAACGTTCAACAATTTTCGACGATGATAAAAATTCGCAAGTTGCGAATATCGAGGAAATTTCCAAGCTGGTTAAAAGAGCGATTTCCCGCGATCTAGAGACGTGGAACGCCCTTGAAGGATATCTCGATCGCACCATCCATCAAGATCGGCCTCAGCTGGGGATGTATTCTAGAGAAATCCACAAAAATAGAGAAGGCGATGGTTTCGTAAGTAAATTGTTTCCAGGAAATCGTGGACCTAAAGATTTGTCGGAACGGCCGTCGATTTTTGAGGCGTCGCCGTCGTTGCCTGGAAAATTGGATGCGCATGATGAAAAACAGGGACCTATATATGCGAATGAAAATGCGATGACGAGCGAGACGAGAGTAAGCGGTACGCAAGCTGTTGATACATCACCGCCGATCGATGTCATCTCCGATTCGTCATCTCCGGAGAACATTTTTCAACCGCGGCCTCAACTGATCAAGTATATGTTTTTCAAGAGACCAGGACCTCCCCGGATCGACAAACAAAATGAGAAGACGATCGACGAATCTACACCACGGACTTCCGGTGACAATCTCATGCGTGAAGAAATCGTCGACAACAACGGCAGACGAGTAGAAGAAAATGTCAAAGTGACGTCTATCGAAATAAGCGACGTGCCGCGACACAAAACGCGTCATCATCACGGTGAATGGCCTAAACGAGATTACTCCATTCATCGTCATCACTCGCGACCCGCTTACCCGACTGTCTCATAGAAACAAAACGTACGTACGTGTAACGTCATTAGATTTATACTCATTTCCGCTATCCCTATATTATTAAGTAATATAATCTATCTATATCATTAAGTATACTGACAACGTGTACTATATCTCAAACTATTTATTGCGAATATACCATTGAATACACGTGCAACAATCATATATTCTTCATAGCGTACTTATTATAAAATATTTTCTATGACTTATCTTTATGTATTATATATATATATAAAGATATATACACACACGAGGTGTATTAGTTGTAACGGTTAATTCTATGTAACAGGAAACTTTCTTCGTCAGATTAATTATTAGCGCGATTTGGCCTAACGATTCGATCGACATTTTTCTACGTTAATCATGCAAACTCGACAAATATATCTTATATATATATATGTATATAATCTTATCAATTTTTAATCAAACTACAAATAATTACAAGCTTCGAATTGTACGCAGAGTGAAACAAGCGTGGATGTAGTACTAATTTAGGAAATGTTTTTTTGCACAATCCTAATGATCCCTTATGAATCATGGAGACGTTATAGGAATGTTTACATAATTCTTTCTACGATTTTAATCCCAAGTACCTGGGATGCTCGTATGAAATCTGATGTATCGTGATGTAAACCAGAAGCAACTATATTCCGACGTTTCTACGTCAATCATGAAGATAAGTACAAGGATGAAACCGCGAGTACTTTACAGATAGCCTACTCTACTGGAACACAACCTCTTTTGGTGAATAGTCTCAGTCAGCTACATCTACGATTTTATGTTTATTTCTTTGAATTACTTCTTGAACATTAAGCTAAAATCCTTATCTTAACGAACAAAAAATCTCTCCGCATCCCTATAAAAAAATGGATCCTTCATTTGGTAGTAAAAAAAATCAGCTGACACGTTCTCAGCGCTAAGAATAAAAATATTTCTTTTACCATTTGCTTGTCTTAAAACCACCAGACTTAATATTGCGAGAATGTAAAGATATAGCTACATGGATTCGCATTAGCTTCAACTTGCAAAGTATGTATATATATGCGTACACCACTCAATTATGTGTCGATCAGATATATATCTGAAATAATAGTTTGCAAACGTTTCGTCAGAAATATTTCGTTATTCGTGTCCGTCAGCTTTCGATACTGGACTAGCTTGTTGTCCCGCCTAAAAAATATTTTCTGATACAATACATGTTATATCTCTATCCTATGAAATATTAATATATATATATATATATATATATATATATATAATTTCTATATATCTTGAATCTTGTATTAATGGACTCCTAATCACACAATAGGTCTGTTTTCTGTTGCTGCACTGCTAAACTAGTGCACACTGGTGGAATATTCCAACTTATTGCATCAGTGTGCACTAGTTGAGCAGTGTAGCAACAGAAAACCTAATGAGCTTAAGACCTAATGTCTTAATGCCATAAGGATATATTTATCGCTATCGCGACAGAAAGATTAGCGTCGAAAGAAACGAAAGACACTTGATTCACCTGTACTGCAACGCAGATTATACGTGGCCAATATAAAGTTGCGCAAAATCTCATAGGTTTTTTCCAATTCGTCATTTTCTATGACAACGTCAAAGTTACCCGGTGTTTCACCTACAAATAAGTGTACGTGTATTGTATGTACAAGTTTTAGACACGCAAGATAAAGCACGAGCTTTGAAGATAATTTTCTCGTAGTATTACGTGCGACGTAATGTGTAGAGCGTACCGTATTCTAGCTCAGATCTGGCAATCGATAATCTGCGCTCCAAGGATTCTTCAGTTTCTGTATTTCTAGCCTTTAATCGTCGCTCCAATTCCTCAATGGACGGTGGTTTCACGAATACGTAAAAGGGATTGAGATCGGTGCGTTTGATTTGTTTCACACCTTGTATATCGATATCTAATACGCATACCTTTCCTAATCGCTGCACCTCCTCGACCGCTCGTTTGCTACAATGACGCTTGGATCGTATCATTTTCTACATATTTATCTAGCAGTACCTACTTGAGCTACATCTCTATGTTTACCTCGTCCCATATAGATTTCCGCTAAATGTAGCAGTTTCAATAAACTCGCCATTTTTCATTTGTTGTTGCATTTTTTCTTTGTCTGTGAAATGATAGTGAGTCCCATCCTCTTCGCCAGGCCGTGGCATTCTAGTCGTATGGGATACCGAAAATTTGAAGGTGTCGGGAAATTCGTCAAACAATCGTTTTATCAAGGTACTCTTGCCAGTGCCGGAGGGGCCACAGAGTACCAACGGACGTGGTCCTTTGTGAATCATATTGGAATAGCCTGGAAATATACAAGTTTTTCTTCTTTTCAATTCTCTCCTCTGTTCCGTCCTCTCCTGCCTGTGTGCGTCTCTTCTCAACTCAAACGATCAAGTTACTCTCTCAAACGTGTGATATTTATTCAAATTCAGCCTGATCTGATTTTGTCAAATTTGTCAGATTATTAAATTATCTTTATTAATCTTGCGTTATGGCATACGTGTAACACACCACACCTAACCATAAGCGAGACCAAGGATTCTGCATACCTATCTTTATTGTCCTAAACCATTGTATGGGCAATATGGGCATAGCGGCCGCTTATGGCCAAAATTCTCATTCTGTGTAATTCAATCGTACAAGAATCAAGTGAGAATACAACGGAAGAATATTAATAGCCTAAAAAAAAAAACAAAAAATTTATGACGATCTCACTATAGTGAGATTATCTCGAAATATCAAGATAAATCTATACGCGTTATATATACCGATCGATCGAACGTCAAAACATTCCAAGTACTTGAAAAACTGAGCTAGATATAATTATAAATTGCACAATTAGAATAAGCATCACCACTTATACTTAACCACGTCATGTAAAATAATACAAAATAACGTAAATTTGCGGGTTTTGGCAAATTTGTAGCGTACGTTCGTGCATGTACGGCAACTCGGTTTTTAAATGATCGAATAAAATAAGCGTATCTAAAATAATGTTTGTCGACATGGCGTAAAATTCAAGTTCGTTATAGGGTACGTTATAGGGTATTCAGATTGTCTTAAAAATTGTCGATCACATCGATATTCTAAATAGTTGATCCAACGCTTTGAAAACAATTGTCATTACCTTAATCTTTCTGTATAGCAACAAACGGTTGCAGCTGCGACAAGATACTAAGGCCGGACGCCGAATAAGCGATATAATACGATGAAAATTCAGCTGTCTAACGACTAACCACGTCTAACCTCAAACCAACCAATACCAATATTCGCTAATACTGAAGCAGAGAGAGACGAGAGACCCGCGAGCACGCGAGCCCGAGAGCTGCTGAGAGCGGCCGCGCCGCGGCCATCCCGCCTGATAGAGTCCCCTAGAATACGGGGAGTCTGGCAAAAAACTCCCAACTCCCAAGTTGCGGTGCCTGGAGTTTTTCTACTGGACTAGCCAATCAGATATTCTTATTTTAAATCGGCCAATTGAGTCCTACTCCATTTCCCTCGTATATAGACACACGGCCATTTTGTCTTCTTGCCAGACTCTGTATTCCAGATTCCAGAGACTCTAGTCGAAAACGCGTCAACTGGCCACTCGGCGTTCTCATGGGTTTCTCTCCTCGATATATAAGAATAATAATCTATACAACCATTAATTTATTTAACAAATTATCAACCAAGCATTACACAGCAAAACAATGATTACATATAATTTTATTCCGTTTTGCAGTTACTACACCATCATATTTCTTCTAGAACTCAAATTCGCGCAAACATCGAGATCTTTACAAGTGTGTTCCAAAATTACAAACCACGAGTTTAGGCGGAAATATAAAAAACACTTATCCGGCATAGGTTGAGTGAAAAAATTAAATGTGACTACGTTAACTACACAGCACAGATGCACAGATGAAATTTCACAAGTAACGTATCGCGAGAAATACTTGGATTATTAAATCACTATTGATTAGTTCAACACACACGTATTCCAGGCACCATCTTTTTCCACTTTCCTGATTCTTTTCTATAAGATAAAACGATCAAGTGTAAAAAAAATAATTTAAAAAGTAACTAAACTTGCTCATTTCGACCTTTTGCACTGTTATAGAATCATGGGTATTTGGTAACACGTAACATAGCTGCCATAGCACATGCATGTGCACATCCATGTGCTTAGGCTTAGGTATGTATGTGCGTGCGTGCGTGCATGGGTGCGCATAGGTATATGTATTGGTACATGTACATATTGAACGTACGTAACTTTAACTCTATAAATAAATATCACATTCGGCTCATTGTCTCATAAACGTTTTCCATTATATACTTTCCACGATGATATTAACGTCATTTACAATATGGGCACTTTAAACTACTTTTGCTTGTATGTACTTAGAAATATGATTTTGTTATTCTAAGTATTTCCATTTTGAGATAAAAGTAAAAGCTTTATGTACAAGAGATATTAAAGTTAAACTTGAGTAAGACCACTGGATTTGCCTTGTGTTCTACGACGTGCCAATTCGGACATAACCACGGGACCGATATGCGGTGATCTCGGATTACTCGCTATTACTCTATACGTCTCTGCGACTGCCATCTGAAATTCGGATCCATACTGTGAGATATGTTGCTGATAAACTTGAGGTGTACGAGTGATGAAACGTATTTCCAAATAGATGCTAGATGCATTAACGTCATTAACGACGACCTAGTCTGGAGAGTTAACGAAATATTCGCGGAACTGACACGGAGGTGGCTCGTACTTTTATATATATATTTTACATATTTCGATAGTACGACATACCTTGAGGCTATGTGGATCTTTAATAACATCCGGCAATACTTTTGGAGGGATACGATGTCGATTTACAATCCATGGATGCTTTAAAATCATAGCCGCCGTAGGTCTCCGAGTGGGATCTACGTGCAACATCCTCTTAACCAATTCTTTAGCTTCGTTGGAAATATGACACCATATCCCACTTTCCACATCTATATATCCTGAACCAATACGACCTAATATATCGCTCGCGCTATCTCCTGGGCTGTTACGGAAAGGCGTGTACCTGTGTGATCAGATCAGATCAGATCAGATCAAATCAAATCATTTCCAATCGTGTTATAAACGCATATGATAAAAATTTATAGTGGCATTTCAAAGTTTCCGGTACCCAACTAGCATGATGTACAATAAAACTCCGAGTGACCAGATGTCACACGCTGCGTCATATCCTCGTCGTTTCAACACTTCGGGCGCCACAAAATTGGCCGTGTAACAGGGCGTCATTAGCAAACCATTCTCCGCTCGTAATTGCGTCGCGAAACCAAGATCACATATACAAAGTGTCGTTGGGTCACCGCCAGGTCTCGTATACAGAATGTTTGATGGCTTCAAGTCTCTATGAACGACCTATTTGTTTTTTCTTTTTTTAAGCAACAATCCACCGTTTCGTACAAATTTAAATATGTATATAAACATGCATGTTTGTCGTATTGTACGCTTAAAGACTCCACTCCATCACACTTACTCCGTTCTCGTGGAGATAATGTACCACACTCGTAACAGTGTAAATGACCTCGGCAGCTTCCCTTTCGGTAAAATTTCGTCTCTGTAGTAAACGATCGAGAAGCTCACCACCGCGCAAAAGTTCCAATACGAGATACACTCGTTTATCGTCTTCGTGAACCGCTCTCAACGTTACAATGTGGGGATGCCTACCGTATCGCAACAGAATTTCTATTTCCTCCGTCGGATCTCGTTTCAATTTCTCAATCACCTATTTTATTCAATTATTTAGCTACCTCTCTCTCTCTCTCTCTCTCTACCTCTTACGTACATCTTATTAAAGATAGACTTTAAATTAAAGTCACCTTTTATACAGGACATTACCTTTACAGCGTACTCCATCTTGGATGCTATATGAATAGCCAAATATACCACACTGTAGCTTCCTCTGCCAATTTCGTGTTTAAATTCATACTCGTCAGTTATGGAAACAGGATTGACATAGGTTGGAAAAATGGCGCTAATATTATCATAGTTTCGATATTCGGGTGACATAACGTGATCCACATCCGCGAGCAAACACGGTGCGATAAAACTGAATCCGCGAAATAATTCGTGAGCGTTTGCGCTAGGTGGTACTCCGGGAGAATCTGAAAAGATACCAGAGATTTTTAATAAAGATATTAGCACGCGCGAGAGTACGTATTATTAATTTGAGTCTACTCCACTGTTCTTCCATTTCCTTGAGTTTTTTTATAAATAAGAGTCACCTTTAGGTGTTTTACAGGTGAATTCATTATCAAAGTAAAACGCATCGTCTTCTCGAACAGCTGGTTTAAACGGCGGTCTTATTTCCTTTTTATAAAGAGCGTCCCAGTCGATGGTAGCAAAGAAAATATGGCTTTTAATTTCTTCCACTCCACCTAAGAAATAAAAGGATTCACATAAAGGGACTATCATACGTGTACGACAGCGGATTAGTTTCGCTCAAAGCTTCATTATTTTTTCAAAGCACGTGAACGATGTTGAGATAATGCAAACAGGTCTTCCCTCCTCCCCCCTCCATCTGGTCCTTTTTTTTACATTACCAGATCCAAGACGATTCGCTGGATTTCTCTTGAACAATACTCTCAAAAGTGCTTGTGCTTCCGACGAAAGATTGTGCGGCATTCCGAGTTTAGCTTTCAAGATTTGCGTCATCGTCTCTTTACGATTTGCACCTTGGAACGGGAGAGCGCCTGTTAGCATTTCAAACTGGAAAAAAAACCAGCAAAAAGTGTCTCGTATAATGCTTTTTGACTCTCCTTTTACATCCTTTTACACAGTACGTTTCAACGATCACACCGATCATATCCACATGTGCTATATAAAATTTCAATTCTAACCATTAAGACACCGAAACTCCACCAATCCGCTGTAAAAGTATGTCCTTTTCTGTTGACAATTTCCGGTGCCATATATTCGACAGTGCCACAAAACGAATACGCTTTCGAATCGTCTAAAGGTTGCTTGCTTAAGCCAAAATCCGTTAAAGATATATGGCCTTCTGTGTCTAACAAAATGCTAGCGCGTAAAAGAAGAGATTAATCGAATATTTTAATAGCAGATTCCTATGAAATATATATGTATATAACGTGTAAACACAATACCAACTTTTCGGGCTTCAAATCCCGATAAATAATTCCGAGTTTATGTATATGATCCAATGCGAGTGCTAGTTCAGCCAAATAAAACTTGACGTCATCTTCCGTAAACATTACCTGAAACGTGTTACGTATACTGATATAATTACAAATATGTATTTCGGCTTTTATTCAAACGCGACGTGCATTTTCTTGCGAGATAAAAGATCGTTCTCTTAAACAATATTTGTTTGTTTGCGTTCTCTTATTACGTAGTGTGGGCACGACGATACATCTGCTGATTTTCAAGTATAACACGCACCTCTTTAGACAATCTGGAAAAGAGATCGCCACCTTTTAGAAAGTCTAGAATTAAGTAAAGTTTCCCTTCGGTTTGAAACGCATAATGCAGTCGGACGATGAATGGATGTTCCACATCTACCAATATGTTTCTCTCCATTTTGGTTCTGACTCTGTCGCGAACTAAAGAGAAGTGGATATAATGAAATAATTACTGAATAAAATCTGAGACGGTTGCAAACGCTCTCGCTGATCAGTTTCCAGACCACGTACCTTTTAAGGTCGCCTTCTTCAAGACTTTCATAGCGTATAGAGTCCCACTATCTTTTCCAACGACTTTTCTTACTAAAAATACCTGTAAAAATATCGAAGAAGCAAAATAAAATGATATATTATGTACGTGCAGTATGCTGTAGGTATATAAAATGTAAAACAAGTAATACTACATGTGCACTTGCGGCGCACGCATACAGGCATACACGCACCCCGTGCTCCCTATTCTTACCTTGCCAAAGGATCCTTGGCCAAGGACTTTTAATAATTCAAAGTGAGAAGGTTCGGCTTTCTCGTAACCATCCCTCGCCATATCGCGTACCTCGATCTCGTGAGATTCCGAGCAACCGTTCGATCTTTCAATTAAATTTCCTTGAGTAATCATTGTTTCTTCCTGATTTTCAGCCGGAAGAATTTCTGTACTTTGCTAAACATATGCAAAAGAAAAAATTGAACGGAAAATGAAGAAATATTTTCCGATCTTGAATGTGAAAAAGTGAAGGAAAAAGAATGGATCAAGTATTTCTGAAAAGGTGGCAACGTCCTTCATTTGGAATTCGCTGTCTCGAAGAAAATCCCAAGAGTATTGAGAAAGAGAGAGCAATATTCGAGAATACTGTTTTCAATTCAGAGAGAAATTAAGAGAGTTTTACCTTCTCATCTGTACGATGCTCAGTCCAAGGAGCCGTTAGATTCGCCAACGGCATTATATCTAAAGTTTTGTCTATTTTCGGAATTGCAAACGTTTTCGCGAAGCACTTGTTATTTTATTAAATGAGGTTACCAACATGTACACATACGAGCATTTATTCGCAAAAAGCAACTTTACTGTAGTTGAGTTTGATCAACACGAACCAACAGCGAAGATTCACAGAGATCAACTACTATATTAACCAAATAACCACTACTGACTACTGACACTGACAGTACTGACCAGACCCTTGAGATGAGACCACTACTATCGATATGTATGCATGTATACATATGTAACTTACATACCGTGTCGGATTATATTTATATATATAACACGCGCGCGCGCGCGCGGATGTATGTATGTATGATGATGTGTAACATACACACACCACACACACATCATATATATCACACACGTACGTCATGCATGCACATGTCATGTACATATGTATGTATGTACATACCACATACATAGCAGTAAACGTAAGCAATTTTTGGATCGATGTGACTATAGTTCCTATGTATATATATATACCGGCCCTATTTCCTGTTCCTATTTGTCTGTTGCCTGGCCTGCCTGGCCAGCCTGGCATTCACTGGCATTGTGCAAGGTTAGGGAGGAAGGTTGTGTTGTGGTTGTAATTTTATTTGCCATTTAGTGCTGTTTAGTGCATTAATGTATTAATTAATCGGAACTGCCGTAAAACAATTGTCAGTTTCTCAAGTTTTCCTAATTAAGGTATCAGTTATCAGTAAAGATATTGGTGAAGCACGTCAAGCAATGTCAGCGTGTCGTCAGATGTCAAGGATTTAATAATCGTTGCTAATATTAAATGCTATTTGAGAAGTGGTTTAAACATGCCGTGCTGGTATTATGAGAAAAAAGAACTTCGCAACACACCGTCTATTCAGGATGGTATCGATTACGAGACGGAATGTAGATATCGAAAGGAAGGCGCACGTTTTATAATAGACACTGGGACAAAAATGGATTTAGGTTACAACACGATGGCAACGGGTGTTGTCTATTTTCATCGATTCTACATGTTTCATTCGTTCAAGAACTTTCCGCGATATGTAAGTATCGCAAGTGTAAAATATATAATATATATATTTTACAACTCGAGTCGCAAGTTAATTAATTACGTCAGGTGTCAGATGTCAGGATTGATCAGCGTATATTAAATCGCGTCGCGTACGTGTCTCATAACTCTCAGACGTACATTACTGTGATGTTGTAGGTAACGGCTTGCTGCTGTTTACTCCTAGCTGGCAAAGTGGAGGAAACTCCAAAGAAATGCAAGGACATTATAAGGACTGCCAAAACGTTGGTGTCAGAACAGAAGTTCATGACTTTTGGAGAAGATCCTAAAGTAAGTAGTTGAAAGTTATACTGAAAGAGATACCTTGACATAGGGTCTGTTCGCGTTGCTTGCACTTTTTGCACTCGGCATCTTCGCTTTCTCTCTCTCTCTCTCTCTCTCTCTTTCTCTCTCCAATGGCCGAATATATATTTATCTCATTTCAAGTGCAAAAATGTTTGGTGATTTCAAGCAACGCGAACAAGCCTATAGATACGTAACATTTGTGCCCCTATATATCAGGTTTTTTTCCTTCTTTTTTTCTCTCTAGGAAGAAGTATTGATTCTGGAGCGAATTTTATTACAAACTATTAAATTTGATCTACAAGTGGAACATCCATACAGCTATTTACTAAAATATGCAAAGTGTCTAAAAGGTACGTTAAATACTGCGTTTATCATAAAATTATACTCAACATTATTAGAGGGGATTACGCTATCAAGATATACAGATATTTCTTAAGAAAATGGTCTCTATTTGTAGGCGATAAGAACAAGTTGCAAAAGATGGTTCAAATGGCTTGGACATTTGTTAACGACAGGTATATATATATATATATATATATAAACATATGAAGCACGAATAAAATGCCATCCTACGTGTGTCGTTGTGTTAATATTTCATGTGACAAAAAGCTTATTTGTACGTTGCTTCTTTTAGTTTATGTACTACTCTGTCGCTACAGTGGGAGCCAGAGATCATAGCTGTCGCTCTAATGTACTTGGCAGGAAAGCTAAGCAAATTCGAAGTGGTAGATTGGGTTGGCAGACAATCGAAACATTTACGATGGTGGGATATGTTTGTCGAAGATGTGACTATGGATCTTTTGGAAGGTAATCTTGCATAATTTTCATCTTGTGGTATCTTTGCCGTTGTCTGTTCGTACAGCTGTCAACTACACGAACTACACGGTACGAGCTCTGATACGGTTAAACGTCGTTCTAGATATTTGTCATCAGGTATTGGATTTATATTCGCAAGCTAATAATACAAAACCACCAGATTCGCCACCTATGGTACCATCTAGCGAAGTGTGCAGAGAACGATCCATCACTGCTGCTACTATAGAATCTGCATCTAATACACCAAACGGTAAGTAGCAACGATAAGTAGCGCTATAAATTTATCAGTTGCATTAAAGTAACGGAGAAATAAGGAACGGTCGACGAATGTTACAGTTACGCCCGGAAAGTCTTCGAAAAGCATCGAAGCATCAACAGTTTCTGCAAACGGATGTCCAGTTACAGACATCGCGGATACAATAAAACCGATAGACACCTCAACGGCACACTTTCCCACATATTCGACGACGTTTGCGTCCAACAACACAACGTATCCACCGGCGTTTCCACCTACGAACGTCTCGGTTCCTCCTCCTTCTGTAAATACAATGAATCATATCGTGCCGACGATACATCACATTGGATCGTCCGCTGCTATTCGCCCGACACCGCCATCGGGACCGACTGCCACGCAAACCGCTTTTCAATCATATTCCTACCCAACAAACGCGTCCTATTTTTCAGCGAATAATCCAATTCCGCCGCCGGCCGCGCCGCCACGTAGCTATTATCCACCGCAACCATAATGGAAACCACGGTATCGCGCATCCAACAAATATACAAGTGTTGTATCTCCGTGTCAGTGTCATTATCCTTAATTAAAGATAAATGGTAGACGTGTGAAGAGACATCACGTTAATTTTAAGTTTTGTGTATAATGTACTGTATTTTTATAGCATATACAGTAATATAATGGTAAACTCTCCTTCTTTGTAGTATCTCCTTATAAATAAAGCAAACGTTTATAACTTTTTTTTTCTTCATAATTTTCAATATACAATATACGAAGCAGGACGTAGCGTTCAACTTGTGTATCTACGTGGTTCGGATATCAAGCGTAGAAGGGAGAATAAAATAGAATCTTCACTAGACGTTCACATGTAAAGATTTCCTTTACTGAAAGGATTTTCCGCAAATTTGGGTTGCCGCAACTTACAAGGTATTTCATCAGTTAAAACTTGTAAAATTGGTTCCGCACATTTGGAATCCAGCACGAAACTGTCGATGTACAATATGTATAATTTGGCTGGCATGCCTGTGAGTTCGGCATAAGATAAAACTGAAACAGATGGACAGAAATGGTTTAACTTTTGTGTAACGTCCTTCTCTCCATAGCTTGGTGCTTGGTGCACGGTGCACGGTGCACGTATCTCTCGTATACGCTATTTCAACTGCTTATAAATACGAACCTCCTGCGCCAACGCCAAATACAATATTTGGTTGTTCCAATGGTTCAATCTGACATTTTGTGACATTTGTCGTTTTGGTAGCCAGTATTCTTAAAAACGACGGAGTCTCTGGGACCGTGGTACTTATAAACTGCGATACATGACGACACACTATTGAAATTGTGCTCTCCGAACTTGGTAACAAATCGTACATCTGTAAAAGTAAATACACATTCTTTAGAATTTATAGATTAGATTTATAAAATGATGAAATGTTGAAAGGTAGATGAACGTGCGGCATCAACTATACGCAAGTAGGTACAATACATGCCTGATTTACAAGCTTTCCAGCATTTTTTGTGTCAAACTGTGGTAAAATTATACACATATATATTTGTTTGTCAATTTGATAAATAACTGAAACTTTTCTACGATTTTCATTTTCTACAATGCACGCTTCCTCCGTTTTGGGACACAAACATTGCTCCACGAAAGCTAGAAACAAATAAAACACGTAAAAGCTCGTAAGAGTTGGTATAGCTGATCTGAAAACAGTATATATATAAGTTAATATTACGACGTAACGGATCTCCCTCCACTATGATGAACTTTTGCATACGCTCCGGTTTAGTTTTCAACCAGCGAACGTACAACTTTCTGAAATCACGCGTGCTTTTGGATTATCTCACGTATAACGTATGTCGTATAACGACGAGCGATCGTACGTAAAAGATGATCGCACGTACGACATGACACGTAATTTCAACTCACGGACAATGTTCCGTATTATCTGCTGGCTCGTATTCGTCCTCGTCATCCCAAAATGCTCGTGACGAAGGAAATATCACTTCTCCAAAGTGACTAACCATTTTTGAGTTAAATGCTCTAAAAATTAAGAGAACGTAAGACGTCGAACGTCGAATCAGAGAGTTTACATTCTTTTAAATTCTAAATTGTGTGTCTATTTCTTTCTTACAAAGCACAATTTAACTGCAAACACGTGCACGTGCAAATAGCAAACCTCGCGACGTGTCAGGTTAGGTGGGTCAGGTGGTGGAGCGTGGAGCCCACGGTACCGACATTACCGACTCGATTCGCGCGATCTGCCGTCGGTATCGAGGGTATCGAGTTCTATCACGTTGGCTGCCCTGCGCGGATCTGATCTCAAGTTTGAAATTTTCGCAACGACGAGAGCCCGCCAGTTCGCGCGTTCGCTGATCGCTGGCTGATCGTTCCAGCCGCCTCCAGGCTCCAGTGTCCAGTTTGCTCGCGTCGGCTAGTTTGTTCTCGTGATTTTCGCAAGGAGTAGAAACTCGGAAAGTTATCGTCTGGAAACGGAGGTACGCGCATAATCGACGTAATCGCGAACGGCGGACGTAAGGCGTAAGCAGGAAGGACAATATGGATCGTCCGGTGTCCGGTGACGATCGCCGAGGACATGTTCGCTATCAGCCGGCGCCGCGCCGGTCAATCCCGTCGAGGAGCACCGACCACCTGCTCAAGCAGCTGAAGCAGCTTGTCGACGGCGACGTCCAGAGCAGGATCGACCGCGACGAAGGCGATGGAGTGGCGCGCGCGCTTCACGGGTCGCAGATGCGAGCTCGGAGCTCGGACTCGGACAGCGAGGTAATCGCGCGCGTTTACTTGCACGTACAATAAACATGAGTGTTCGTTTCTTCGCGTAACTTGAATCTTTCCGGAGCTGGACGCAACGCTTTACGACAGCCTCTCTGCGCGTAATCGTTCAAGCATTTTCGATTTCGAACATTATCGGCAAACTACGTTTTCGGAATTTCTCAAGTCAAGTTGAAAATAAAACGCTTGATTTTTGCGAGAAATAATAATTCAAGTCCCTATCTGAAGATATAAAACATTTTTTTACTACGTTGAATCCCCTCAAGGGAGGCCTCAGAAGTAGAGGGATGTCGTATCGAAAGGAAAGTATCGATACTCCCAATGCTACATATTTTGTTATACACCAGGTGTGTTTTTCTTTGGAATTTTGTGTAGCCTTCATTAATGGAGTAACAAGGAAGGCTAAATAAAATTCCAAAGAGAATAGAAAGAAAGACCATCAGCGAGAAGGTCCTTTATAGATGTAGAAAATTGTGCGTTTTTCCTTCGTCTTTATTTCTGCGAAAGTTTCACTTGAAAATTAATCTGTCGCATTCAATATAGACAATATAATAATATGGGTATCACAATATATTGTCCATTAATTAAGTGGTATGTGAAATATTTAAATATGATATATTATAATATATTTTTGTGATGTTACAGTTGTACACTATGTTGAAGGAGTACATACCTCTGTGGCAAAGAAACAGAGAGACGCAGCAGCAGGGCTAGCAGCATAACAGAAAATAATTTGGAGCTGACATATCGCAGTGGTACACAATGCATACTTGAGAATAAATGGATTATTGGAATAGAACTGTTCAACAGATCCTGGTTGGTGAGTGATCATATTTGTCACGTGTGATATGTGTTCTAATGTCTGATACAATGAAGGCGACACACGTAGGGAACGTATTGAATTAGAAATGCATATTTTATAGCTGCAAACCTGTAGGAGACCGATAAAAGATTTCTACACTCAGAATATATCGTACAAATAATCTTTATTCACAACAATGTGTTTTACTTTGCGAGTATAGAACGCCGTAACGCCGCGCGCCGAGATATTTTTGCGTCATTCAAATGCAATCGTTGAGCGCGCACGCAGACAAATATTTCATTTGAGACTTGAACCTTGAGTATCCAATTATTTTAATTAATTTCTACTGTAGTGAAACGTATGCAAATGTCACTGTTGATTGACTCAATGTTCTTTACTCGGAAATATACGTTTTTTTAATTATTTCTCGAAACAACGTACGTCTACTTTGGATTTGTTCGGGAGTTCGGATTCCCCACCCGAGTGATCCGAGTGCTAAAAATTCTATAGCATATGTCACGTGCAGATAGGTTTTCAGCACTCGGGAGAGTTGGGAGTCGGGGGTGGTGCGTTCCGAGTTCCGATTCCCCACCCAAGTGCCGGCAAGTGCTGAAAATCTATAGTGTGTACTACGTAACATGTATATAGGATTTTTAGCACTCGGGTGGGGTGGGGAATCTGAACCTGAACGCAGCCCGGGTAGGCAAGTCTTGAAATAAAGATCCGACTATATGAATACGGGCCATATATAAGACTTTAAGCATAAGTGCCCGTCTACACGAGGTGTTTTAAGCCCTAAGCCCTAAGAACGTGACGACGCACACGCACGTATTCTCCTCAACGTCAACTGTGCGTGAACACGTTCTTAAGGCTTAGGGCTTAAAACACCTCGTGTAGATGGGCACTAAGCGTAGCTTTATATATTATATAAGACCGCTAAGCCAATGAATGAGCATCCAGCATAAAGTCGCTATATTCCTTCTGTGCTAGTAAACACCTGCGACATGGAGGCAAAACACGAGAAAAAGAGGCGTATCATATTACACATTGTTTTGTCCCGCAATGCAATAATTACTTGGGACAAAATATTTCGTTCCACAAACCCGGTGTCCACGATGCAAGAACTGTGTCCAAGTTTCGGTTTAAGCCAATGAAACTGCTACTTTTCTGTAAGAGCTGCAAGTTGATTGGCTTAAATCGAAACTTGGACACAGTTCTTGCATCGTGGACATCGGGCTTAAAAGGTCTTACGTGGCACATAGAACAACTTATGCTAGATCTACACGGCGAGTCGTAAAGTCGTGAGTCGTAAGACGTGACCACGGACACGCGACGTTGAGGAGAATACCCGACTGTGATTGATGGTCACGTCTTACGATTCACGACTTTAAGTACGGTGTCCACGATGCAAGAACTGTGTCCAAGTTTCGATTTAATGCCCTGTGTCCACGATGCAAGAACTTGGTTCAAGTTTCGGTTTAAGCCAATCAACTTGCAGCTCTTACAGAAAAGCAGCAGTTTCATTGGCTTAAACCAAAACTTGGACCGATTTCTAGTATCGTGTACACAGGGCATAAGCCAATCAACTTGCAGCTCTTACAGAAAAGTAGCAGTTTCATTGGCTTAAACCGAAACTTGGACACAGTTCTTGCATCGTGGACACCTGGCTTTACGACTCGCCGGCGCCGTGTAGACCTAGCATTATTAGCTAAAAAGTTTTTAAATGTGTATTTAGGACCACGTTCACCAACCACAGTTAGCTTAACCGATGGTTAAAGTTAGCAGAATTGACCAATAGAAAGCAGGGTGGATTCATTTCTATTGGTCAATTCTGCTAACTTTAACCATCGGTTAAGCTAACTGTGGTTGGTGAACGTGACTCTTAAGCGACTTTAAATATACAAATAGGTTATAAACCAGCCTTAGTGCACGCACTCATTGGCCTAGTTTACACCGATCTCTTGATACGCGTATCAAATAGTATATTTGAACTGATCAGCCAATAATCCGACTTATTTACTAGTTATTTACTATTTAATACGCGTATCAAGTGATCGGTGTAAACTAGGCCATTGTCAGTGTGCACTAGTGCAAGCGTTCGAATTCGCTATTATACCTATATACTGTGCTTATACTGGTGCTATTCCGAACGCAGCCAGTTAACTAAAATGCTATAGTGTACGTGACGTAAACTATAGATTTTAGTTAACTAAGGCTGCGTTCGGAATAGCACCACTGTGTGATTTCACTGCCCATGAAAACCCACCATTAGAGTGTTTCTTACATTTGATAGGGACTTTTGAAAACCATGAACGATTTCGTGCAGTGGCAGTGGCAATCGCTGATATCGTAACCTTGTTCGATTAACGCGACGATTAACGCGTTATATATGTTATTAATAATTCGCCGGGTGTTTTGAAACAATCTCTTGTTTAAATTACGTTACTGTGTACCGCGTCACGTGCATCCAGTGTTATCAATATCCTAGTTAGTGTCGTCTTTTTCGCACCGATCTTGTTTTTGTTGTCGTTGACGACGTCGTCGCCGTCGTCGTCGCCGTCTTCGTCGCCGTCGTCGTCGTCGTCGTCGTCGTCGTCGCCGCCGCCGCCGCCGACGTCGTCGTCGCCGCCGTCGCCGTCGTCGTCGCCGTCGCCGTCGTCGCCGTCGTCGTCGTCGCCGTCGTCGACGTCGTCGACGTCGTCGCCGTCGCCGTCGCCGTCGCCGTCGCCGTCGCCGTCGTAATCATCGTCATCGTCATTGTCATCATCATCGTCATCGTCATCATCATCGTCATTATATCATCCTCACCAGCCTCATTGTTGGAGTATTATTTTGGTTGGAAGAAAAGTAAGGTTAATTCTGACGATGGGAAACGTTCACACCTGCGGCCCGAACGAAGCTCTCGTTGTATCAGGTAAGGACAGATTTCGTATCTTAGCGTTTTCTAAAAGTCGATTATTTTTGTTAAAAATAAAAGTTGCTTTCCATTTACGTCAAAACTCGGATACGTCTCACTTGTGACGTCATAACTCAGTTGAATGCACGTTCTTTTTGCATGCTGGCAAGTGAGATTCAACTGAGTTTTTATCCACAATCGAGACCATGTGCTTTAATGAATCTAATAGACTCTCTCACATTAAAAGTGAGGTTATGAACCTGTGTATTATTATGCGATAGCTTTGTCACCAAAATAAGCAAGCTTTGTCACATATCTTACCTGAGTATAAAATATGAGTATAATACGTCATACGTGAGTGACTTATTAGATCACTTGAGTGTAAATGGAAAGCAACTAAAAAGATAAGACTATCTTAAAAAATAATGTCAGGTCAGGTCAGGTTCCGGCTGCGACTTTTGAGAAGTAACAAGAACTTATCCAGTTTATTTATTATCTCTTTGTATGAGTGTACGCGCTAGTTAATTATCATGTTACATTATGCTTCGTCGTAGTCAATTTTTTGTTGAATTTTGTAGTGCTCCGATAAGAAATCGGATTAAAAATCCATGTCAACGTAATATAAAATAATAAATTAAACGATAACACTCTCGCACACATGTAGAAATATCGTTTGGTGAAACGTTGTAACGTTAATAAATCGTCATATTTGCTATAAGCTTGTAAACTAGTCACGAATTATGATTAGAACGAAAGGATGTCGACTAAGTATATTAGCACATTAAAGTGACGCGATGTAATGACATATTCTGTTAGAAGTTATGAGTTTTTAATAAATTGGTTTCACGAGAGTAATAAATGGCGCAACATGATATATCGATTGACATCGATTATCAAGTTGAAAGGGTTGCTGACAAAATTGATGAAATAGATTACGTAAGATACGTTTTCGGTACTAAAATGTACAAATAATAGGACTCCGTAATAAAGTGACATTTAATTTTTTTCTATATAATAAAGTGATATAATTTACTTATTTACTTTTTACATACACAAAAAGTTGATATTTTTTTTTATTAAGACATGTTTGCTGCGCGTAATTTTTTTAATAGGTTACGATTACAAGTACGTATATTATCTTATCGAGTATTTTAATTTACACGCACGCATTACAAGAATGTAATTCAAAGAACAACGCGCAGATGGTTTTCTTAAATGTTTCTTGTGCCACATCGTGCGTTAATTTTGTAGGCAAATAGACGGATAAAAAAAAACTATATGACTCATCTCCTTTTTTACGTTACGATTTAAACGCACTTTAAAGGCACAACGCTTATTCGCTGTTGGAAAATATTTTTCGTTTATCCCCTCTCCCCCTCCTTCGGCCTCGTTGTAATATCGCTTTTACCATCATCAATCCATTTGTGCAAGTGTTTCGCTACGCGACACGCAAAGCAAAATGCAACGAGAACGATTTCCGCTGTAATGACAAAATTGCGTCACTAACGAGGACGATCGATATGGCTTTTCTCGTCCTCGAGAAATATTCTTGAGCAATAATTATAATTATTATACTACGTCTATCAACATTAACATTGAGTATACGATAGTTACGACGCATCGATCATTATTTTACTTGATTATTGAGATTAATGATATTTACGTGATCATTTAATTGATCATATGTTGGAAGAAATATATTAAATGCAACGAAAGATCTCTCTTTTCAAAAGAATTCTGTTTTTTGAAACTTTATCAGAAATAATCGTTCTCAACGACGAAAATAAAAATTGATAGTTATATGTATATTGTCGATAAGGACTATTTTAAGCTTATATACATCTGGAATTCGAGGGTTACAAGTTGCCTCATAATTTTTCATGTCTTTACATATGCACGCGCGCGCGCGCGCACGCGCACACACACACACACACACACACACACAGACACACACACAGCTAAGAGATCGACGACGTAAGGTCGCCCAACAGAAATAATGGATTTTTTCGTTATTTTATACATTGTTTCTTTGTTTTTAAATCTTTATGTATGTCGCAAACATGTTTCAGCTATACATCGTCTAAATATTTATGTGTGCGCATTCCACGTTTTAATGTCAAGAACGTTGCTTCACGATCGATGCTGCGTTTAACCTTGATCCCCACCTTTCTCCATGGGGCACCACGTTGATACCCCGATTCCTCAAACTTTTCGTAAAAAGCGGAATTTCTTTTACATTGCATTCCTCCAGGTTTCCTTGATCATGTCCGCGGCCTTTTCGCCGATCATAAATATTCCCGCGTTCACATGGCCAGTGGGCATCGTCGGCATGATTGAAGCGTCCACTACTCTGAGTGCCTCGATCCCGTATACTCTTAGCTGCGGATCGACAACTGCATAAGTATCCGTCCGAGGTCCCATTTTGACGGTTCCTATCTCGTGATTCATCATAGACGGCAGGTGCTTGATGGCGCAACGCCAATAATCATCGGTAGCAAACTCAAACTGTCTACAGTCTGGTATCTTATAGTCGTGCACGCGACTGCCGTAGGCCTGAAAGGCTTTGGTTTTGGATATGTTAATGGCGTGCTTTACTCCCTCCAGAATGATCTCTAGATCGGCCGGGTGGCTGAAAAAGTTTGGATCCATTTTGGGTGGCTCGAATGGATCCTTGGATCGCAACGTGAGACGGCCGACGCTTCTGGGATATTGAACGATCGGCCAGATCGACCAGGCCTCCTGATTTTCGATCGGTTTATAGACGGCGTCGTACAGATCTTCTGAAATTCTCAGAGCCTTCTTCAAAATCTGACCGTTGTCCGAATGTAGAGAACCAGACACGAAGAGAAGCTCAACGTCCGGTCTCTCGTCAGGAGCGTATTTAGTTTTCATGAAAGCAATCGCCTCGGCACCTCCTGGAACTGTGAGCAGGCCGTCTTTATGCAGAAGGTACTCCAGGAGCAGGCTTGGATTAAGGAGCTTGTTCTGCAGCAGCGACACGCTCTGATTCACCATAAAAGTCAATCCCAGGAAACCGACATGCTCGTACATGCTGTAACCGACCTTGGAGTTTTGAATCACTGGGATGTTCAGTTCTTCAAGATGCTCCCTCGGTCCAATTCCCGACAGCATTAACAATTTCGCCGAGTCGATCGTACCGGCTGATAATAAAATTTCCTTCGAGCAGGTCACCTTCTTCCATACGTTGTTCTTGACGTACTCGACGCCGTAAGCGCGCTTGTTCGCGTCGATTAGTACTTTGGTCACTCTAGCACCGGTGATAATCTCCAAGTTCGGTCGATCGATTGACTCGAGATAGGCCTTGGCCGCGTCGCAACGCTTTCCATGAGCCATGTTTACCTGGATGTACGAGAAACCTATCTGATCTTGACCATTGTAGTCCACGATTTTATACCCCAACTCTTGTCCGGCATTTAGATACGCAGTCGCCAGCTTTGTATGATATGGCACATGTTCCACGCACAAGTAACCGTTTTCATCGTGATACGAGGAGTTCTTGATGCCTGAACATAGGAATACGACGTTTCGTCAGTGTGCAGCATCGGGTGGTCGCGGCTTGCTATGGTATATTTGTAAAATTAATCCAGTTTAACAGGAGACAGACTGCAATCTCGCTTGCACGCCGCATTGTACAGAGATAGGGCCAAAGCACATAACATGGCGTAGCGATATACGACGGTCGTAGTCCTCGACCTGACAAATCAAGATACGCCAAAGTTTGTGCGTTACTTACGTCCACGACTACGACTGTCATATGTGCTTTGGCCCATCATATTCTGCACGTTCTCTTTTAGCTTTCGGATTATTTTGTTTTTTTGACTAAATCAATCTGAAGTTTAAGCTTGAACAGTTTGAATAAAAAAAAGAGGACGGTATATCATTTGAATGTACAACGAGAGAAGCAAAGAAACGTATATTATTTTCTACAATTGTCACGAGAGAAATGTAATTTTATTGTCCTCTAAACTGGCAATAGAATTTAACAGTTAAATTTGCTTTTGTAAAGTTTATTGTATACAGAGTGTCCAATTTTAAGCGCGTACTTTTATCAACAGAATAATGAAATGAGTCAAGTGATGATGTAAAGAAAACGCAAAATTACTTTTCAAAAAAATTATTTGCAATTTACAATATGCACGTACATACCTTTTTGCATAAAAGTATTCAGCTACGGTTATCAAAAAATTAATAGCTAATTCACGAGATATTTTATATCTCACGTCAAAATATGTCAGAATTTAGTATAAAATATCTCGTAAACTATTGATTTTTGTTGATAAATTTATTTTTGATACTTTTACATGCAGAATATAATATAACTAGCAGACGTATATTGTGTAAAAAAAGCCATATAATACATTTGAAAGAGACCTTCGTGTTATCTTAAAAAATCGATTTTTTCGAAAATTGATTTTATAATTATTTGTCCCATTTATTGTCCCATTACTAATTTTTTTTATCCGAAACATTTTTTCTAAAATTGAAAACAAAAAATTTTGAGGGAGGGAGTTGAAACATCCTATATATTGTTTACATCACGTGGAAATTTTAATTAAAACTTTATCTTGAATTAAGATTTTGCCATAAACGTAACACTTGATTTTCTTTTTAATTAAAAAAAGACGTGCAACGTTTTGAATCATCTACGCAACATGTGCTGTCGCATGAAGCAAAGTTTCGTTTTTTAAATAACTAAATCGCCGAATGAGAAAAAATGGAGAATTCATTTGTTTATAGAGTGTCTCATATACGTACGTGTAAGAAATTTTGATAATCCATTGAATAGTCTGAAGAACGTAAGTGAAAAGAGAGAAGGGAGAAGAGAAATGTCGTATAAATACCTGGTACGTTAAATCTTTCACTTTTCTTAAAATATGGCAGAACGTCCGCGTAGGACCAACCCACGTTGCCCAAACTGGCCCATTTGTCGTAGTCAAATCTGTTCCCACGTGTATGGATCATGTAGTTCAAGATACTTGTACCACCCAAGGCTCTACCTCGCGGCCAAGCGCACTGACGATTTATCATTCCCAGGCAGGCATTCTTCTGAGGCTCCACGTTGTAACCCCAATTGTAATTGGTTAGTTGAAATACGCCGACGAGTATTGGAATTTGATTCAATAAGTTTGGCGCGTATCCCGCTTCCAGTAATAAAATTCTCCATCTCTTATTCTCCGATAGACGATTGGCTAACACAGACCCAGCCGATCCAGCTCCTACGACGATAAAGTCATACCTGATGGTGTCGCTTGTAAATCCGTGCTCTTTCTCAGGTGAGTGAACATAATTTTTGACGATGTTTAGGAGACTATGAGCGTTGCCGGTCACTATGATAATGATGACGGGCCACAGAATCCTCATATTGTACAAGGTTCTGTAAAACTATAATTTTAAACGCATTAACACCACACACACACGCCGCGACAGGAGAAAAAATTATTTTTTCACAGTGTTCTCCCCTCTAGGAATAAAAAATTACACTACCATATCTTTACGATGTACTATATACCGCGCGCACTTTTCGTTGTGACGAACGTCGATAACTTGTAACAATGCTTCATTAAGAGGGCATATACATACCTAAGAGTAAAAAAAAAAAGGTCATTTTCTGGAATTTTTTTTGAAAAATTATAAGAGTTTGATCGGATTGTGGTTTTTTGTAGTTAAAAATATACATGTTTTTAGAGAAAGTTAATTTTTTCATTGAAAAATTTCGCAAAATGACAGAGATATGGCGTCGTGAAGAGACAGCCTGAAAAAAATCACACAAAACTGTATCAGGTGTATACGTACCTTCATCAAAATTCAACAGAAACAAAAAATGAAATAGAATATTAAAATATATGTAACAATATCTTTCGCGTATCATAGCCGATCGATTTCAAAAATATCGATTTTTGACAAAATCAGTGGGCGTTTGAATTTAACGTAGCGATTTTTAAGACAAAAAAAATTTGTTCGTTTTTCGCCTCTTCTCCCTAAAAAAACTATGTCGTAAAAAAAAATCTATGATACGCGAGAGATAATTATATATGTATAGAATAACCACAAAAAAGTGCAGCAGCAAATCAGTTCGGCGGTGGTTTTCGAAATTTTTCTGATACCAGTTTGAAAAGTATCGTTTCGAGAAAAACGCGTTTCGATACCAACTCGAACACGGACAGCAAGATACTGACGAAGCACGCTGACGTTCTTCTTGGATAGCCGTTATGTTTAAAATATGCGACAGCGAATCGAATACAATACAAAAAAACACAGTATATAGATTCAAACAAAAAACCGAATGGACGGTGGGGGGCCATGGTTCTGTGAGCGGCGCGCGGTGCTGCGCTGCGACAGCGCACCAATGTACTGTCGGGACTATAACTTTGTCATTTCTCAGAATTTCTACCTGAACGTTGCACTAGACATTCTTGATATATTAAACTTTATCAACATATAAAAATCCAAAAATCTATTTTTTGGATCCTGCTAGGTGCGTATATGCCCTCTTAAGTGTATATGTATATACAGGAGCCCCGTTAACTCAATCTTTTTCTTTTCACGCGCGTATTGTTTTTTCCGCTATTCACTGGAATTTCGATCGTAAACTTAACGAATTTCTCTTAAATAATTCGCTACGACATACCGTTTATGTGAGATAGTAACGACGTACCGCGCGGGACGGTCGTTTTTCGTGTGTCGATCCTTCGTCGTCTTTATTCTCGCACGCTGTGCCGATCGTATCGGAATATTGGCTTCTATACGGAAAACTTCTCTGCGAAGTTCTGCGAACTTCTCTTCGAAAAGTTTCTCTGCCACTGGCCAACGGCGGCACACGACCGACCACTCTCCGTTTCAAGATCCACCAAAGAAATGTACTTTCTCGTTTAGCTCGTTCACGTAATACTTACCGGAGTAGAGTAATGTATTTGGACCGCAAGAACCCCTCCTCTCGACGTGTTACGTTTTAACATTGATACATGCTTTTAGCGATGTGTAGTTTATTGCTGATCCGGCAACCCACGTGCGTTATGCAATAATAAAGGAACGAATATCAGAAGCTTACAAATAAATGGAGATTGGAGAAAGTCTATATACCAGTCAACTTGTAGCCGATTCGAATATGTGACGATTTGCATTTATATTTTTCGTTTACGATTATGACGTGTCTATGTCTCTGTTCTAGTAACTATCTAAATTTAAATTCTGACAACATTTATTTCTGATAAAGATCCATTTTTAATTAATAAATAATTTATTATAATTTAAATAATTTATGTTATGTTTTGACATCCTTATATTTGGTTGCTGATCGAAACGTGGCCGTCTGTCGCACAGCTCTTCGTAGCCGTTACATATACATATTTCTGCTACTGTAACTCGATAACAGATTATAAGTCTGACAGTAAGCTTGTAAGAATGTATAGATTAGTAAAGTTGTATCAATATTTATTTTGTTAAACACGCGAAAAATTTACATTTAAGGATTTACCGCGCGTACTGTCGCAATATTGTGATTAAGATGACATCAAATTTGGAAACATTATTATAGTACCGGTACCATATATTTAAAATTTTTAGCTACTAACTTGCCTGTTTGAAAATATATATCTATTTGAAAGAGCTGTACACTGCTTAGTTAATATAAATTATTAATTTATCTCTTACTCAAATTAAAAATGGGTATAACGTTCGAAATATAGTATTAAGCAAACACGTTATCTCTCTTTTTTACGCATAATAATCTTCTGACAAGATTCTTAATAGTTTTAATTTTATATATGTATATATAATAAAAGCATTACTTCAAAAATCATTTATTTCCGTGTTATAAAGCATTCAATGTATTCTCTGTTTGTTTCACGAGTATGCTTTGTGTAACGTATTTACATGCGACGTTCGTATATGCGTCTTTCACGAGCTTCTAAGGTTGACGACGACGGAACATCGTCGAACTTTTGGAAGATCGTCCTCTTCTACGTAGACAAAAAATGTGGTTTATGCACAGGATGGTGCCCTTGCGCATTTTCTCATGATTGTCAGACAATATTTATGTAAGCACGTGTTTTCAAGAAAAGTAGATACGGTGGTCCGCAGTTACATGGCCACCTCTCTCACCGGATTTAAATCCGTTAGACTTTTATTTATGAGGACATTTGAAGAGCATGGTGTATGCCACATCAGTTGACACTTTGGATAAACTAGAACAGAAAATTGAAAACTCTTGTCAACAAATAAGAAATAAACCTGGAATTTTTTTATGTGTTCGATCTTTAATGAGAAAGTGCTGACGTGTGTTGAAATGAACGGAGAGCACAACGAACATTTGTTGTAAAAAAATGCTTTATGACTCTGAAATAAATAGTTTTTGGAATAATACTTACTACGTGTAAGACCTACCTTTTTGGTTTGTTTTCACGAGTACTACATACTCCTATGGTACCATCTTTTTTTTCAACACCCTTTATATACATATATATATCTATACATACGTACATAGATACAATATATATGTATATACATACATGTATATGTGCAAGCGTATGGCACAAATGTAACAGAATGGAAAGCGATTATTTTGCATTTTTTTAACATTCAAAGATTTCGCTGACGTACTTCAATTTCAATTTACGTGTATGAGGAATTTGAAAACATATACAAGTTTGAAAAGTTTTCTTACTAATGGAATAAATGATAGAAAATGGACGTGGGTACATCAAACGTTAAGAATTGTCCTTATCTTGTATATTCAAATAGGTTTTGTCATGGGACAATATTAATATGTGTTGGTGCGCGCGCGCGTGTGTGCGTGCAAGTTTCAATAAAATAATATCGTATATATCGCTGTTAACTTTGAACTTTTTGCATGATTGCAAAATCTTCTTTTAAAATATTCATCCACATAACGACTTTCGATATTTTGCCCCGAATTTCAACCGTGAAAACCGGTTGGGTCAGGGATATATATATATATATATATATATATATACCATTTATCTAATACTTAGACAACGGCTTGTGGCCAGTAGTTATTAAATGTACAGCAAATTACAAAAATATTCGTATTCTTTCAATTAATAATTTCAAACGATATAAATTTAACAAGTTGAATATAGCCAAAATATAAATTTTAATAGTCTTTCAGTGAATTAACAACGCATGAGAGTATTTGTTCTGAATCATGTATATATGTGTGTGTCAAAATATTTATAAATTTGATCTACCTCATCTTTCGTCTTGCTCAAAGTAATACTCGGTATATTAGCGGTGTCTCAACGTTAGAAATAATCAACGTCGAACGCAGACAATCAATACACGTTCCATTACAGAAAGATAATCTATTACGATCGTAACGAAAGAAAAAAAGATCTTGATTAAAAATCTCTAATAAATAAAGATGTATAAATGTGCAGAGTACGCACGATATGCAAGAAATACATTTTAATAGAAGTATGAGATTTTCTGGAAACGCGTGATATTCTTAGGATAAAGATAACGTAAATATACAGAAAAAAAGAATATTCTTGATTTGAAAATATATCTTCAACGTGGAAATCTTGAAATGAGATTATCGTGCGTTAAACAAAGAAAACTTGGTTGAATGAAGTCCGTATATAGTTCAATCAAGAAAAAAATGTTGAAATAAAAGGTTGAAATTCTTATAAGAAGATTATAGTGATCTTGCTTATTGTATACGAAAAAATCTATAATCTTTTATAAGAATTTCAACTTTTTATTTCAACATTTTTTTCTTGGTTGAATTATATATAATGACTTCAATCAAGCAAGTTTTTCTTCAAGCAAGTTCAGTCGCAGTATAATCTCATTTCAAGATTTCCACGTTGAAACTATAAAGATATTTTCAAATTAAGAACATCCTTTTTTTCTGTGTAGTCCGTATAGTGAACGAATACGTAGATATAAAGATTTTTTTTAACGCATTCTTACGTTATGCACGTAGTCGGAAGCGATATTGAATATTTATGTATGTACAACCGTATGTGTGAAAAGCAACAGTCGTAACATCTATTTGTATACATAATAATGCCCTTTGGCAAGATCTGCTTGACATAAATCTCACTTATAAGTATTTTTATAAGCAGAACGTAAGGGAGAAGATGAAGATTGTATTAAACTACAAAATAAATAAATTATGAAGGCAAACGTTTGTAACACGTTGGAATATCTCGGGAACAGAATATACAGAAAATCAAACTTGGTCGTCTTAGTTCTAAACTAACACGAAGTATGCTAGAGATTAAGTACTCTAAAAAGTATCATGAAATCTAAATCAAGTTTGCTTAAATAAATATTACGTGTTCGAACGATGCGTGATGGCGACTGGTTATAAAAGTATTTCCGTAATATCACGTTGCCGATAATTTATTTAAATTTTTACTTTTGTTATACACATTGCGAGAACTGTTTTAGTTTTCAATGAAGTCTTATATCGATCAAATGCTCTTATTGTTAATACAGTACCATCACATTCGTGACTTGTCCGCGTATCCCCATTCTTCCTTTATCATATCGGCCAGTTTCTCGGCAATCATATAAATAGGTACGTTGGTGTGGGCCGATATAATCTCGGGCATGATGGAACCATCTGCTACTCGTAGTCCTTGAATGCCAATCACCTGCGTTTTACATGACGTTGTATAAATTATATATGTAAGTAAATCGATATGTTTACGTGTGCGTGAACGTGTGTGCTTACATCACGCAGGAATATTCGTTGTAGATTTGGAAATGAGCACTCTATAGAGTACATCTTTCGCACGAAATAAATACCTTTAATTTAGGATCGACGACAGCGGTCGGGTCGTCTCTCGGTCCCATCTTACAAGTACCAGAATAGTGATAGATGGTAATAGACGCCGTCCTTATCGCGCATTCCCAATAAGCATAAGAATCATACTCGTAGTTTTCGCATCCGGGAAGAGTATCGTTCGACAATCGTGAACCAAACTTCTGCATCTCTTTCGTCCGACCGACGCTTATCGCAGCTTTAATGCCGGCAATCATTGTCTCGACATCTTTCGGATGGTCGAAATAATTCGGCACGATTTCGGGTTTAACGTTAATGTCATTGGCCACTAGTCTTATCCGACCACGACTTTTTGGCTTCAACAGCATCGGTAGTATGCTCCAGCCGTGATTACTGTTGTATTTGTGCCATATCTGACGCATTCGATCATTGAAACCCATTATAGTCGGAAAAATAATATCTCCTTTAAATCCACCACCGATAAATAACAGTTCGATGTCCGGTAAACCGTCACGTCTCTTTGGATGTTTGGTGTCGATGAAAGCGAGGGCTTCGCACGCACCTGGAACCGTGAGTGGTCCCGCGCGCTCTATCAGAAAGTCCTTTATATACGGAGAAGTGGGATTAATAATGTCGAATAGATTCAAAGATATCGGATCGTTCACTGTCCATGTTAATCCGCCAAAAGCTACGTGATCCATTAGATTTTCGCCAACCGGCGAGTCCCGGACGACGTTTATGCCGAGCTCGTTAAGATGCTTGGCCGGTCCGATGCCAGATAGCATCAGTAATTGAGGCGATCCGATGGAGCCCGCACACAAAATCACCTCTTTGTTGGCAAACACGCGGATAAGTCGATCATGTTTGACAAACTCAACGCCGATCGCCCGATTCGCGCGACGATCAATCAGCACTTTTCTCACCGTGCTCTCGCGTGTCACGTGAAGATTTCGGCGATTTTTCGCGGGGTGTAGGTAGGCTCTGTTGCTGCTCATACGGGTGCCATTCATAATCGTGCTCTGTACATACGAGAATCCTATCATATTTCTCCCGTTATAATCCAACAGCGGGTATCCGAGCTCCTTACCAGCTTCTAGGAAGGCCTCTGCCAATTGCGTGTGGAATAACGGATAAGAGATGTGCAACGGTCCTTTGGTTCCATGGTAGATAGCGTCCGACTGCAGCTCTGGGATATCGATTGTCTCCAGTTTTCTAAAGTATTCGAGAACGTTTTCGTAAGCCCAGCCCTCGTTTCCCATCTCAGCCCATCGGTCGTAATCCTCGGCGCCGCCTCTGGTTGCGATCATGTAGTTTAGCACGCTGCTGCCACCCATCACTTTCCCTCTAGGCCAGTTGCACCTGTTGTCGGCCATGCCGAGGCAGTATTTTTTCGACGATCTGGTCCGGTACTTCCAATTGATATCGTTGCTCAGCTGCAACATGTGAACGAGAATTGGGATGTCCATAAGCAAATTCTCGGTAGATCCAGCTTCGATCAGTAACACCTCGACCTGACGAATCTCGCTTAATCTCGCGGCTATCGTGGCGCCGGCCGTGCCGGCGCCAATTACCACGAAATCGTACGTGGCTCCGACGTGCGGTACCGTGTCCGGTATCTCTTGGCTCATGTAACGTTGGCCCTGCTGTAGGAAGTTTAGGGCCCCGACACCCAGCCCAAATATATTCGTCAACGCATGTCCGCTCACGTCGTCGCCATAAATACTGCGGTACCGTTTCGGCGTCGGTTGTCCGCCGCCCGACTGTAACGGAACGATTACAGCGACAGCACTGAGAAGGTAAAGGAGTCTCGATACCTTACCCGGCATATCCAAGTGGCAATTGGCTATTGAATGTGTCTCGCGAGTGGGGCGCGATAATAAAGAGCAGCATCTGGATGCATTCGTCTAGCATATATACCTACATTGAGGTCTATGTTTTACAAGTGTGTCACTGTATGCGTAAATATCTATTGCGCAAACAGACACAACGAACAACGAAAAGAATTATCCGTGCGATGTGAAGGACGCAACGCCATGATGAGAGATAAAAGGCGCTGCCAATTCCAAGAATTTGACTGCAAGAAGGAAAATGACACGTCTGAGCTTGCTTTTGCATTTCTGATGCACGTTCGATCTTCACGTAATGTTCGTTAATGCTTCCTCTTATTTATCGTAGCAATGCTTTTTGATAATGACATGTATTAAACGTTGCGTTTGTACTTAATGCGCGAACGAAGATAGATAAATCTGGTCTGTCGTTAATATAGGTCGTATCTATCTTGCGAACAGATTCGATACGAGATTGCCGTAAATTTGACATCGTAATATCTGTGCTCATAGGGCACGTAAGGAAAAAATAAAAACACTTGGTATATAAATCGATCACAAGCTTTCGAGAGCAAGCCTACTTGATCCGTTTACTCGTTATTGAGATCTCTCAACATCTCGGAGTACTCGCAACTCGTCGCGTCGCGTAAATGAGTCACGGTCGGTCTCGCTCCGCGCGTATTTGGCGCGAAACACTACCGTGTCTCCGTGATAGATTGCTAGATTTGCATTAGACGCGAAGACGCGAATTAAAATAATAATTTACCTCGATAATCTATATTTCTTGACCACGAGCGTTTCGTTTTAAGGATGGTCTGGAGCAGAGCACGGCAAAAGATACACTTTTCGGCCGATTTTCAGCTGCCTTCGCCTAGCGCCTTCCCCTTACCTCGCCGTCTCGCGCGCAGCCCACGAGTCGCTCGAGGCTCAGGAGCGTAAACATGTGTTTACACGTGCTTTCCACGTCACCCGTGAAATACTATTGTTGACGCGTTTTTTTTTAACTGGTATCCTTTGTAGTCTTAATCCATTGATGACTGAAGTGACTCTTTAACTACGTGAAGCAGAATTAAAGAAATAAACAAAAAATGAAGAAAATTTAGGTCAATTTTTGAGATCTTTTATAGACGAGAGCGGAAACATCGATTTGAATATTAAACGTATAGCAAGCCGCATAAGATGCGGTAAAGAATCGTCGCTTAAGAAAGAACACTTTTCATTTTTTATAAATTTTATTTTTGAAAATGAAGAACACGGCAGTAACTTTACGTTCAAGGAATACATTCATTTCGTAGATTGTCTCATAGAAGAATTCACGACGCGTTTTAGTTGTTTTGAAAAACTTGGAACCGAATTAATTCTTTTTGAGAATCTCCTTACAGCGCCAATCGAAGAACAACATCTTGATTTGCAGGATAAACTATGCGCGTTGCATAGTTTGTGATATATCTCTTAAAACACGCAAAGAAACCGGTGCTGATTCTTTCAAAATTTTAAACAACGCATTATTTATAATTTTGGCCAAAACTTGGTACGTTCGGCCTTCGGATTTATTCCATGTTTGGGTCCACATATTTATGTGACTTTTTTTTCAAAAATGAAATTTAGTAAAAATGAAAAGCATTTTTCTTTAAGTGACGAATCTTTACCGCGTCTTATGCGGCTCGCAACATCTAATATGAAAATAGATATGCTCGCTCTCGCCTGTAAAAGATCCCGAAAGGCGACCTAGATTGTCTTAATTCCTTTAATTTTGCTTCACGTAGAATCATTTCAGTCATCAGTGGATTAGGCCTACAGGGGATACCACTTAAAAAGAAACGCGTCAACAATAGTACTTCACGGGTGACATGGAAAGCTCGTGTAAACACATGTTTACGCTCCTGAGCCTCGAGCGACTCGTGGGCTGCGCGCGAGACGGCGAGGTAAGGGGAAGGCGTTAGGCGGAGCCAGCTGAAAATCGGCCAAAAAGTGCCGATTTTTTAATGCCGAGTTCTGGTCTGCGGAGACTGCACCGTTCCAATTAAAAACATCGATATTAATTTTCTAGGGAGAACCAAAGACAAAAAAATGTACATAAATAGTTACGGCAAATCTAACAGAATGTAAAAGACGTAATAGGTTTAGTGATTGTAAATAACTGTTACTTATACTTGTTTCCTTTCCTCCAAAAAATCTCAAATTTGACTTCTCGTGCTTATTCCGTATTTCGGCTTCTAAGAACTGTAGTGACGTACTAAGAGCAAGTGAACATGTTATTTTAAGAGAGAAGTATACGTTCCAAAGTTTTTGCAACACATAGGAAATCATCTTACCGGACAAATGTCATAATCGAAAAGAGAAAATGATAGTTTAGGTACGTTGAAGGTTTTCAGAAAACAGCAATTTTTTTTATTTTTAGTAATCGAATAGATTCGTTTTCTAATTTAATCTGAACTATATCAACGTGCGCTCGCGCACGTGTATATAATAATATCAATAATTTTCCGCAAGTTGTCGGGGTTGTTTTCGAATAATCTTTTTCATTATTTTTTATTTTTTCTTCGAAATTCAAAGTTTATTTCTTTCTCATTTATCTCTGAAAGCGAAAAAACATCTTTAATTTCAAACATTTTTTTGTCGCAACATTTCCAAGTAACCTTATCGCCAAATGGAATAAATGAATAAAGAAGCAATTTCATAACGGAGCAATATAGTACGGTCAAATGTACAGTAAGGTGCATTAATTTGCTGGGTCATAGTAGCTTGACTTTTTATCTGCGCAAAAGAATGCATGGTGAAATAAAAAGAGAGAACTAGTAACTTGTTATTCTTCTCGTTATACATTTTAATATTAACAAATTAATAAACAGCTATATACGAGTCAAGCGCGGTACGTGGTGCGTAAGTAAAGAAATTAAGTTACAGAAGTAACGACGTACAATGTACAATATATACAATATGTACAATATACATATACATATATTCTAACTTTTATAAACTGCGCGCCGATTATTTGTCGAATCTGAAACACAGCTATCGTTGGAACATTAATACCCTTCCCTCCTCGGAATTAAATAGACGCGATTTAATTATTTTAAAAAACTGTAAAGAATTTATTGCGAAAAATATTACCTCAGCCAGGATTACCTCGAACCTGGAACCTTCAACCTCCCTCATTTCGTGAAAGGCGTCGTTCCAATTCGACTACCGAGGCATGTGGTAATATTTTTTGCAATAACCGGTTAATACCTACGAGTTAAAAATGCATGTTTCAGCCTGCGTAAATTCAAATATGTCATTAGACTCGTGAAAATGTCAACAAATTAATAAACAGCTATACGAGTCAAGCGCGGTACGTGGTGCGCAAGTAAAGAAATTAATAGTTACAGAAGTATAACGACTTACAATGTATATAATTTACATATACATATATTCCAACTTTATAAACTGCGCGCCGATTATTTGTCGGACTTGAAACACAGCTATCGTTGGAACATTAGTCCGGAACGTTTAGTCCGACAAATAATCGGCGCGCAGTTTATGAAATTGGAATATATGTATATGTACATTATATACATTATATTATATTTTGTACGTCGTTACTTCTGTAACTATTAATTTCTTTGCGCACCACACGTACCGCGCTTGACTCGTAATAGCTGTTTATTAATTTGTTGACATTTTCACGAGTCTAATGACATATTTGCATTTTAATATTGCAATGAACCGTATTGATTATTAAAGACCTAGCAGCCACGAAGGCTACTATGACCCATCGACGTAATGCACCTTATACTGTAGCTACTGCGCGCATATATAGTATGCACGCAGTCAAAATTAATCCTGTATAATTGGCTCGTTAATAAACAACTATTACGTCAATTTCAAGCGAAAACAAGGCTAAATTCAAATCAACACAACCAAATTTATCGTAACTGTATGTGCGATACGTTTCGTTTTTTTCGAGACATTTACTGAAAATAAAATGTCTCGCTAGCATCTGATAACTCTCTTGTTGGTACATCACGTTCCTTATATAAACATTTTATCGCAACAGCAATGTAACTTGGATTGAACGTATACTTAAAGAATGAATCAAAAATTTATCTTACATCTTCTCTGAAATGTGATCGACATAATTTTTTTTTTTTTTTTATTTTTTTTAATAACAATATCAGCAACACGTACATCTGGATATCTCGACATTCGGAAAACTTGGTACGTCAGATGGATGATCGGTGTACGTATTCGCCATGGCATCATACACAAGTAACTCAAAATTTAGAGCACGTATTAGGCCGTCTCGTCAGATTATCGTAATACTCACTCGTGTTACGTTGATATACGTGATGAGCATTGCGATAATTTATTTTACCTCATTATATCTTGTTTGATGAAATAGTTTTGACCAACGTACTCACCATTCTATAAAAAATTACATATCAGCGAAGCTCGGTCGTATATTGAATAGTATCGAATCAAACTCTCGCTAAATATGTACATGTATGTATATTAAACTTTTATTTGTTTAAGACGTGATAAAACTATTTTACTACGTATTGTGTATGTCAACTAAAAATGTTTACATGTCCAACAAGTAAAAGAGGTGTAAAGCAGTGCGCAGATTAATCTTCAATTTTATCAAATGTTATTTATTTAGAACGTTTCGGCTCTATAGTTTTGGACCATCCTCAGCAACTGGGTATAAAATGGGTCTTGATTATTACGAAGCGTGCGTGAGAATCGTAGAAACAAAATAAATTTAAACATAAAGCGAGAGACTTGGCTCTCAATTATATAGTCCTGCACCTCCTTTACTCGTGGTTACTCTCTAAATCAGAGCTTTATATACACCAACTCAAAAATGTTGTTCGTTTCCTAAAAAATTTTCCTATTTTAGCTACCACTCTGTTATCAGACATTACGTATGAAATCTCCTTTTTTTTATCTTGTCTGAAACGTTGAGCAAGCATTAAAATCTTGTGCTTGATTTACGGCGATACGCTTATAAACGTATACGGCCAGACTTATTTCTCGTAATTTTATTAATCAATATCGTTTCGATCCGCGCGCGCGGGTTTTTGATTGCAAGCTCAAGCGACCGCGAAAGGTATACGCGAGTAACGAAAAAAGAAGAAGAAAAGTAAATGTCAACTTATATCTTTTGTGCTAACCGCATTATTTCGCGTTTGATTATACGAACGAATTTTCGATTTTTTAAACGTACGTCATGCATCTGTGTCGTAAATTATTTCGAAAATAATGAATGCGCGTTAAAATATCCGTACGATTATATATGTGTATACGAAAAGAACTTTTTACATCAACCTCGCATACATATACTATACAACAGTTATATATATACAAGAACTGTAAAGGAAAACATTTTCAGAAATGCCTTTTTAGGTAACACACAGTTACGTCAATTGAAATTGCGTATATAAATTGCGAGAAATAGTATTAGAATAACAATCACGTTTTCCGTTGAAAAAATTTAATTCTATCGGCAAGTTATCCACGAAGTTACATTACACAATCGCCGCCGCATCAATATATCTGTTTATGTGTAGCTTTATGATTTATAATTTATACATGATTGCAACGTTCGAGGAATAAAAAAAAGAAAGGTTATAACAGAAGAATAGAAGAACTTTATTTATTTTACAAACGTACAATTTACAACGCGAAACGCAATTCTTAACAATTCTTATAGTTGCTCACTTAATCTTTAGATTAATTTAACGTGTGACTATATAATAGGCAACAAAGTAACAAGTAGCAACGTGTAATCTCACTCAAAGAATCACGACGAAGAATTATCAGTTATATTTTCTCTCGTAATATTATAAAAGTATACATTAATATACATGCGTTTAGGTAATGAAACTTACAAGTTGACTTATTCAATGCTATAGAAAACGCTAGAGTCATCATATGGCACGTTGAAGGAAATCGAGAAACTTTAATAATGTTGCACCTGAGAAATGTACGCGACACATTTAATCGTTTTTATGTTTTACCTCGTGACTGTTTACTCTGAACTGGCCTAGTTTTATTATTACGTGCAAGTTCCATTTTTCTCGCCGATTATATCGATCTTTCTTATATCATCCTTGCTTCAATTTTTTTTTAAATTACGTTTTTACACGATAAACATATCTACTGTTATTAAACGGACTTAAGGAATATGTAAAATATCATCGGATCATTGTGCATTTCTGCACAATGATCTATTAATATCAAACTTATCAAGTAGGTTTCCCGTGTAGTCCTATAATTATACAATTTTAGATAATCAAGACTAGCTCTTAATATACTGCTTACATACCGTATAGCTAGCTTTTATTGCGCCGTACATATAATAATGTGCGCATGGAATACGTATGAATTATTTATCGAGAGACATGCGCATGAAATTAGAAGAGCAAACATATTATTGGTCGATATATCGGTTAGTTAGTTGATTGGGGTTAGACACGTCAATCTCGTAACACATCGCACGTAAATAATATTACAGCTTAAAATTTTGGAACGTCTTTGTAAACTTTCTCTCTTTCGTTTAGAAATAATACGCGCTTCTGCGCGATACGCTTTTCGCGAAACAAATCTGATGCAAACAAGTCGACGCGGTATTATAATCCAAATCGCTTTTTTCTCAGCCCCTTTTGCGCTCGCACCTATTATACTTTCGCGCGTAGCTGCCGACGATGGTCGGCCGACCAATCTTGCTTAATGAGATCAGCACCTTTCTCGCCGATCATAATGATAGGAGCGTTTGTGTTGCCGCTGCATATCGTTGGCATGATGGACGCGTCGATAACTCGAAGACCCGCGACACCATAAACGCGCAATCTCGGATCCACTACAGCGGTGGGATCGCTAGGCGGTCCCATCTTGGCGGTGCCTACGGGGTGGTAGATTGTCATAGAGATGTGTCGAATGTGACACTCCCAGTAGGCGTCGGTACCGAATTTGAGGTGTCTGCATCCCGGCAGCTTGACGCGATGAATTCTCGAGCCAAATTGTTTAAAGACCTTCGCCTCGCTTACTTTGATTGCAAGTTTTGCACCTTCCACCAGAATAGCAATGTCCATGGGATCGGAAAAGTAATTCGCGTTGATGATAGGATTGTGAAAAGGATTGGCGCTTCTCAAGCGTATAGTACCGCGAGACTTGGGCCTCAGTAGAAGAGGCATGATGGTCCAGGCGTCTCGATTGCTAATCGGCCTGTAGACGGTGTTGTACACTTCATCCGTCAGTCCTAAAACTTGACGAACTTGCGCCCCTGCGTCGGAATTAATGGAGGCTGGCGCCATGTGGAATTGCACATCCGGATAATCGATAGAGCGATTGGCATACTTGGTATTTACGAAGGCATAACCTTCAACGCCACCCAAAGTCGTCATGGGGCCTCTGCCGTTAACTACGTAGTGCATCATCATCGGGACCGCCTGAAAACGATCTTGAACTATGGCGACCGGCTTATCGATCAAGAAAGTCAGACCGCCCATGCCTATATGATCCTGAAGATTGTCGCCGACTTGAAGATCTTTGATAACAGGAATACCAACGTGTTGTAGATGCTTCTTCGGTCCGATCCCCGAGAGCATCAAAATCTGAGGGCTGTTGATGGCACCCGCTGATAATATCACCTCCTTGCGCGCTTTCACTATCTGTCTGCGACCGTTCCTGACAAACTCGACGCCAGTCGCTCGCATAGTCAATGGATCGATCACGATTCTCGTCACGTGGCTGTTCATAGCTGTATGAATGTTCTTACGTAATCGTACAGGCCGTAGGAAAGCTTTCGCGGTGGAGCATCTGCTTCCCCTGCGAATAGTTCCTTGCGCGATCATAAAACCCGTCTGCCTTTCGCCATTTATGTCCCTGTTCTCGTATCCCATTTCAACGCCGGCTTGTACAAAAGCGACCACCAAGGGTGTCTTCCACGGCGACTCCTGAACCGTTAGATAACCGCCGGTCGCGTGATAAGGACTCCTCCGCAGGTATGGATTCCTATTGTCTTCCGACTTTTTGAAGTAGTAGAGAACTTGATCGTATCCCCAGCCGGGATTACCCAGCGACTCCCAATGATCGTAGTCGTGTTTATTACCGCGCACGTACAACATGTAGTTAAGAACGCTGCTTCCCCCCAAAACCTTACCACGAGGCCAATTGCATCGGCCGCCCTTCATAGCCAAGCAAGCCTTACCCGTAGCCTCGATCTTGTACTTCCAATCTAACTTGGTCAACTGTAGGTACGCGGCCAAAGACGGCACGTCTGTAATCTCGTTCTCGTCTGGTCCGGCCTCTAACAACAGAACGTTCCAGTCTGGTATCTCCGAGAGTCGACTGGTAATTACCGCTCCAGCCGATCCACCCCCGATCACGATGAAATCATACGCGGAGTAGAGAGGATATTTGTCGACGAGTCGACTCTCGGGGTCCAACTGATCGTAACGATAATAAGAGAGACCCGCGATTAACAATGGTACGAGCCATAAACCTGTACCCATCAAGCCGATAGCGCCCTTTAAAGCCGACGTTACCACTATCGCGCTGAAAACCATTCCGGCGAGAAACGACGTCCACCCTCAGAATTTCTAGTATTTTGTAGTTTAATCTTTCTCCCTGTCTCACATTGAGCTTTCTCGTGCTTGTCGTACGGGGATGCTTCGTGTAATGGTAGTTCTATGCCTTTATAATCTTTTCAGTCTCACGAACATTGAAGGACACGTCGCCGTTTATACCTTTCATGACGCTTCCATTGATTTCGATAGATTGCTTCCATACTGCCTTGTCCTGTAATAATAATAATAATACGGATGATAATAACAACGACAACAACACAACAACAACAATACGAATACGTGTAACACGGACGATGATGATTCCGACGACGTTAATAATAAAAGAGATTGATTGTCAAGTTATTAAGTAGAACGTGAATGAGAAAGCTAGCACTGAATATAATAGTAAATATCATATCAGGCAACGCACGTTAATGCTTTTCTCAAAATTTGATTCCAATCTTGATTTTTTCGTATATTGTAAAGATGAGAACAACGTCGTTTTAAATTTGTTTAATTATTTTTTAACGTGCACAGGTCAGAAAGGTCTAGAATCGCCAACCGTTATTATTTGTGCAAAAAAATTTATCGAACGTCGTTGAATAATATAATTAACTTTGCTCGTAGCGACACATTGTAGAAATAGCTATATGTTTCTGATCGCAAAAGGAAGAGCGCGGATATCGCGCGACGTGAAACAAGGAAATGCTGAAGTCTCAACGAATTAAAGACGATCGTACCCTATCAAAGCGCAGTAGCGTTTAATTTAATAAGTAGCACTTCAATAGCCACACAACACAAGCTTCAATCTACGTGTAAATTAAATGAGTAAACGGCGCACAAAGTGCCTCGTTATACCTGATGCGGGTTATGTCCTGATCCGCCGGAAGAACGAGATGGTGATCTCATAACGGGAAAGGAGAAAGTGTTTTACCGACGTAAACCTCTGACTCGTTTCTTTTTACGAAACGACTCGTGGAGTTACGTTATGCGCTCTCTCCCTCCCTGCCTCCCTCTCTCTCTCTCTCTCTCTCTCTTTCTCTCTCTCTCTCTCTCTCTTTCACGAGCGCGCACGCGCACACATACACACACATACACAAACCTTTTTCATTGTCCTTATTTAGCTTCACATTAAATATTTTATTAAATATATCGGTTTAAAAAAACACGCGCTTTTTTTGTTCACAAAAACGTCTCCGATTTAACGTTAATTATATAGATGTCAGGTCTATTAACTCTTATATCTTAGTAGTGCGAGAGGATTCTTGCAAGAAGCGAAACGTGAAATCGCAAATACGTCTGTGGTCTATCAACATTTGTCGGCAAGAACCAAACGACAGGAATTTCTATTTAAGATTGCCAATCTCAAATAAATTTCTCCAAATATGTAGAAACGCAAAGACGCAAGTAATATTTGGAAAATTAGAGAATAGACTATCAGCTTTGAGAGAGAGAGAGAGAGAAAGAGAGAGAAAGAGAGAGAGAGAAAGAGAGAGAGAGAGTTGGAGAGAGAGAGAGAGAGAGAGAAAGAGAGAGAGAGAGAGAGAGAGAGAGAGAGAGAGAGAGAGAGAGAGAGAGAGAGAGAGAGAGATTTTTAATGTATACCATTTATAAACCAATTAAGATTACATGAAATATAGCGTGCACCACGTACCTGTAATCGCCAAGATAATTCCAATTTTGTAACTTTCACAACTTCCGGCGAGCAATTTCTATTTTCTAGTTTCGTGTATTATAATTTTCTCAAAAATCTCTTCTTCCAAAGACTTCCTTATTGGCGCACAATGATGAGAATAAATAGTGCTTTGTGGAGTACTATGCACGGGAGCATTAATGTTATTCGGTGCGTGCGCACTCAGCAATTCAATGTCTCTGTAATATTTGAGAAATGAGTATTTTTTTGCTTATACAGTTTATCTACTTTATTTTGTCGAAAGAATTGGTAATGTATATTGCGCGCGAAGCCTTTTTGCGAATGCAAACTCACCGCAGGCGGCATAAATGCTCTCGATTGTACGATTGTAAATTTTGAGAACTGCCATTTTCCAACGTGTAAAATGCATTAAAGCGATTTTATGATATTATTGAGTCGTTCCGAATAATAAGAAAAAATGAACGTGTGAAAGGTACGAGAAAGAGGAGAACACGCTCGGCAGATTTCATGTATTACGCACGCGGAAAGCGACGCGGAAGCTGGCTTTACTTTTCCTGAAATCGCTCGTTAGATCTCGGACATCGTTACGGAAATACAGACGTGTTAAAATTGTAACTGATAATATTGTAAATAATCTCAAATAGCAGATACATTTACCGTACCGTGCGATATTGAACTATATTTGAAATAATTCGTTGTTTTAATTTAAGAGGCAACGGCGCACATATGCATTCATGCAAATAATAACGTTATTGATGCTGGCATATACCATTTATGCACACATATTTGTATGTATTATATGTATGTGTATGCCATGCATATACATTAATTTCAAGTGGAAATAATAAACGCGCGTCTTATAAAAAATGTTATGGTGCAGTAGTTTTCAAGACGTCGAAAATTGAAAAGCATAAAGGAAAGTCACTATTCGGTGAAAATTTTCCAATATTTGCCACGAACGACGTTATATTGAAGGAGCACAACGTTGTAACGTACGCGATAATCTTTAGTAGATAATTTGTAGATAACTCAAATACTTGTGCGGAAACTGTGGAACGAATACTTTTTATGGTCTTATTGTCGATCACGCACGGTTTAAACATTTCTTGCGCGTTTGCGGGATACGTACTTCCGACACGTGGAATGTTACATAAATTTCTTTTTATCATGAAAGATGCAAGAGGCGAAAAAGTTGATTACGAACAAAAAAAATAAGAGGATACATCGCTAATACGAACGTGAAACATACGAGATGTAATTAATAAATTATAGTGTACGCGCGTGTTGAGAATGTAAATTTTCTTTATTTTAAAAAATATAAAAAAATGTAAGCAGTTAAAAGCATAAAATAATCTTGTTTTATTACTTACGTCGTGTTTGAGAGAAATTTGTTTAAAAACAAATATAATCAAAATATACGTTTATATTGAATTTGTATCAGTTAGGATCTACTTCCTTGTCGTAATTACTTAAGGACGTGAAATGTCATTTTTCAACGCGAGTCTCTAACGCTGCGGAAGACGTAATGGTTTTAATGTCAATGTATTTATGATAGTATTATTTCAAGAAATCAGTTCGAAATAAGTCGAGATAACTAACAACGGTATTGGCTATATTAGTGCTATTACGATACCGATACTCATACTACGCACATCGCGTAGAAACGTTTAAAGATTAAAGACCCCCACGCCGGGTTATCGATCAACGCCGAATTCATGCAAATACCACGGCATAGACGCACTAGATAGGCACACTATTTTTTATATTCAGTTATTACATTAAGTTATACGTTATAACTTATGTTATACATCGTTATAAGTTGGCATTGATCTCTCGATGTTTGCGACGCAACGAAAACGTTTTTTCATCTCTGTCAGAAGTTTTCTATCACGGACAAGAAATCGTATCATCGGAAGTTTTTTTTATCGCGGAACAGTACGGTTTCTTTTTTTTCCAATCTGAGGTCGATCGAAACCGGTTAATGATTTTTCCATTTGCACTGCTGTAGCAATGCTATGAGCATTTGCTGATGCTGTAGTTTACCGGGAATTTATCAAGGGCGCGTTGTGCGTCATAAAGTCATAAAGAATTAATATCGTTTGCAATATTTCCATTCTCTATTGTATTCTCGTATAATCAACTTCATTGAATTTATTATTGTGTAGAGCAAGTTTTTATAACAGTCTTTGCGTAATAATGATCCCTAAACAGAAGCATTATACACGTTACATATACAAGAACACTATTTTTAGCGCAAAAATTGTACTTTTCACTGTTATTTTCTTGACGTGTCAATGATACGTCTCCCACGATTCGATCAAGATTACACTTTGTCACTGCCCGATAAGTAAATACACATCGTTGAGAGAGGGATACGTATTTCAAGTATTTTCCACACGTAAGAAAGATTGTAGAACTCGTCAACGACTCCCGGAGCGTGTCGATTGTATCACGAGAACCGTTCGCGATAAAAGTTCTGTTATTGCCAAAATTCCATTACCAGAAGAATTCTCTGGGTATTGGAAGCTCGTCGCCGGGTGACGCGACGATGGTCGAGTGTCCGCTATGGAGTCGGTAATGATAGTCGGAAGGAGCGGTACAGTACTGCACCGATATACCTCCATCCATTTCACTCTCACCGTCCTTGTCGTTCCCATTTATGCCTAGTCTTCTTCTTGTCTTTCCCGAATGCTCTGGCAGTGAAAGTATTCTCTTCCTGTGATTACGTACATGCACCCACCTATCTGCCTACCTGTCTGCTTCCCTACCTACCTACCTACCTACCTACCTGGCTACCTATCTACCTAACCCACCCTAGCCAGCAACAGTGTAATAACCGAATGGCACTTGCACGAACGTTGCTGTTTCTTGTACATCCGCGAAAAAATGATACAGTCTCAACGAGGATCAACGAGGAGAATGACCGGGGGTTTGCTTTTATATTGAAAAAGCGATAGCCTATTTTACCCTACCGAGATAAACCGCACGAAGCGCGGTGCACATTGTTATTTATACAGGGTGTCTCCAAATTAAATGTCAAAATTCTGGAGCGTATAGGGGACTTATTTATTACTTATTTTTATACATGTTGTACTTCTTTAATGAAAATATATTGTTAAAAATGGCCTCTTTTGCAGTAATGCAAGCATTGCATCTAGCATTGACAGCTCGTGTTGCAGTTCGACACTATTCTAGTGAAATTTGGTGAACTGCAACCACGATTCGGTCTTCTAACTGCGAACGCTCTCTTGAGTCGACTGGCAACGAATAAACTCTTGCTTTAGAGCTTCTCACACGAAGAAATCCATGATGGGTTTATTCGTGTGAGGAGCTCTGTACATAATAAATGTACCCTGTACATAAAACTATAATGGAAAACTTTGCAACGCAAAATTTCCATTTTCAACGAATCGATTAAAACTATACGCGCTTATATCGTTATCGCTAAGATCACTTATTATTTGCATGATAATTCAAATACCACGTTATTGCGGTCACACGTAATATGCCAATTACGACGTCAATCTATTTATATTGTTATCGAAACGCGTCATTAATGAGTGATTTGATGAGTACGTTGTTGACGTTTTGTTTTAAATATTTGTTTCGCAATGTATAGCGAAATAATCAACGCGTTATGTTTAATTTTATCGCGATAGCAAATTTGTTTTTTCTATTATAGTTTTTCTTTCATATTTCATCGACGAAGTAAAATGGGTTTAAACCTTCTTTTGAAGAAGGAAACAGGAGAGAAGAAAAAGAATCTTACCGTTTACCGTACAAAATATCGTTAAGAGGAGCACGCGCTTAGACTTGCGTCAGTTGGATAGCATAGACGTCAATAAATAGGATACGATAAAAATAGCACGTGACTTTAACAAGGGTCAGACTTGATATCATCAAACTTGATATTAAACGAGTAGATTAAATCGGAATGCCGCACGCAAAATAAACAAATTATATCGATATATATAATATAGAATTTTGGAAATACACATCTCGTATTTCCAAAAGTTTGTATTTTTACTTTTCAGCGGTACGAAGCTACTAGTGTTTGATTAAAATTTGCACATAGGAAAGTTTGTCCCAACTCCATGTAATATGTTTCTCAGGAACACACCTTTCTTCTCTCGTCTACACTTTCTTTCGTTAGTTATATCTTACGCAAGCTATTTTCGCGCATAAAGTTAACAGACTAAAGTCTGATGTAAATACGACGGCAGTCGGTTATATACTTTCACTCTCTTGGTAGTCCACCACTTTTCGTATACGCACTGAATAATATTTTGTATACGCTTGAACACATTGGAAAGAAAGATCCACTTAATGCACCGGATATCGATTTAACGATATAACGGAGACGTCGAGAGAGAGAGAGAGAGAGAGAGAGAGAGAGAGAGAGAGAGAGAGAGAGAGAGAGAGAGAGAGAGA